CTTCACGTACATCTCATTCCATTCCATCTCATCTCATCAATTCTGTCGATTCATTCTAACAACTCAAGCAATCTACAATCTACCAATCCACCAAAAAAACAAAATGCCTCAAGGCCCAGTAACAACCTACCAACAAACCCAAGCGAACCTCCTAATATCCCTCTTATCGCAATCAAACTCTCTAAAAGTAAATCCAAAAACAGCATTAGAGGTCTCAAAGGCCCTCCTAGGTCTCGTCCCAAAAGTGCAAACCCTCAAAGCCGCATCGATGGCAATGGTCAAGTCTGCACGGTTCAATCCATACGTTACTGCCAAACCATTTGGGTATTTCGGTTATGAGATACCACGTATGTGTGATGATGTCGTTGCTTGTTTGTTGCATTGGGCTGATATGCTTGTTTTTACTGATGGGCGGAGGACAGATAATATTGTCATTTCGGGAATTGAAGGGGTGGTTGCGAGGTTGGGGGGTTAGTTCATATCATGTTGAAGATATGGATTAGACGAAGACCAATAAGTCAAAGATCTAAGATAAGAGTAGGATCAAAAAGAAAAGCAAGAGTAATATAAGAGTAAATAGGATATAAATAGATATCGTCACGTTCGTATGAAATAAGAAACCTATAACTTGTCATGCACGCAGAGAAACCAAGCCAAAACTCGAGCTAGCTCGCTATCAACCAACTCCAAATTGAAGAAAAATAGCAGACGCTCGAGCGATGAGATATAACGTATCACTTGCAGGCCGTGAAAGGAAGTAAATGCTAGTAAGGGGACGGGAGGGGCAGGGGGAGGGCGATATGCAAGAGGGAGAGAAGGGGCAGAAGAAAGACAATGCAATAACTAGAAGATATAGTATGCCTGTGTCAGGGGAAGTTCGGAGGCTGGTTCGGCGTCGCAGAGCATACCGTCTGCTTCAACGGTCTGTTGGGGGTAGAGGTTAGTACGGTAAACCAAAGGAATTATAAGGATTGCCAAAAAGATAAGAAAAGGTAAACTCACATAACTCTCCGGGTCAACCTTCATCTTTGGCATGGTATCATTGAATTTCATATCCTTCTTCCCGACAGTGCGGCAGTTCTTAACGGGCAGAATCCGTTTCTTCAATCCGTATGACTGGACGATTCCAGCATCAATGGAAGCCTGCGAGACGAACATAATGGATGTTTCGGGGACGCGGACCTATCAACTCGTTAGTATCAATCAGACCAACTCCAAGGCTCTCAGGAAAACATACAGCAAACATTGGCCGCATAATCATCGGTTCAATCGTCGGAATCGAAGCATTCGGATCACCCATCTCCGCAACGGCAATCATACCACTCTTCAGCACAGAGACCGGCTTCGTACCGAAGGTACTGGGCTTCCACATAACCAAATCGGCCACCTTTCCAACCTCCACACTACCAATAGCATGCGCCATACCCTGCGCAAGGGCCGGGTTGATAGTATACTTGCTGATATAACGCTTAACGCGGAAGTTATCCGCGCCAGTATCGGCATCCGTTCCAAGCGGTCCACGCTGGGTCTTATTCTTATGTGCCGTGTGCCACGTGCGCAGGATGACCTCGCCGCAACGGCCCATGGCCTGCGAGTCCGAGGACATCATGCTGATTGCGCCGAGGTCGTGTAGCACGTCTTCGGCGGCAATGGTTTCGGCGCGGATGCGGCTCTCGGCGAAGGCTACATCTTCCGGGATGTTCTTTGACAGGTGGTGGCATACCATTAGCATGTCGAGGTGCTCGTCCAGGGTGTTGAGGGTGAAGGGACGGGTTGGGTTTGTGCTGCTTGGTAGAACGTTGGGGTGTTCGACGACGGAGATGATGTCTGGGGCGTGGCCGCCTCCTGCGCCTTCGGTGTGGTACGTGTGGATGGTGCGGCCCTTGAAGGCTTCGATTGTTTGTTCGACGAAGCCTGATTCGTTGAGTGTGTCGGTGTGGATCATGCATTGCACGTCGTATTCATCGCATACTTCCAGACACTTGTCGATTGCTGCTGGGGTGGAGCCCCAGTCTTCGTGGAGCTTCAGACCGGCTGCTCCTGCTAGAATTTGTTCTTCGATGCTCTTTCGTCCGCAGTCGTTGCCCTTGCCTGTAATGCCGATGTTAATCGGCAGACTGTCGCATGCCTGCATCATCTGGCGCAGGTGGTTTGGTCCGGGTGTGCAGGTTGTCGCATTTGATCCAGTGCTAGGACCGGTTCCACCACCGAGGAAGGTTGTGATACCTGAAGCCAAGGCTTCCTCCACTTGCTGGGGACAGATCAAGTGGATGTGCGTGTCAATACCACCAGCAGTAATAATCTTGTTCTCTCCAGCAATGACATCCGTCGAGGCACCAACAACCAGATCCGGATGCACGCCATCCATGACATCGGGGTTTCCAGCCTTGCCAATACCAGCAATCAGCCCATCCTTGATACCAATATCGGCCTTGTAGATACCAGTCCAATCGATAATCAAAGCATTCGTAATAACAGTATCAACGCATTCCGCATGGCCCCGACCAGACGCCTGACCCATACCCTCACGCAGCGTCTTACCTCCACCAAAGGCACACTCATCACCATAACTCGTCAAATCATTCTCGACCTTGATCCACAGATCGGTCAAGCCCAATCGAACCAAATCACCCGTTGTAGGACCAAACATGCGCGAGTACGCCTCGCGCTCCATGGAGAACCCAGAAACAAGCGCACTATCCGCCTGGGGCTCGGGCACATGCGCAAACCCAGCAGTCTGCAACTTCGTCACAATCTCCTCGGCGCGGTTCAGATCAACAGGTCCATTCGCCAACCAATTTCCACCGCGAATTACTCGGTTCCCGCCAATCTCGACCAGCGTCACGGTCTTGGTATCGCCAGGTTCGAAACGGATGGATGTACCAGCGGGGATATCCAACCGGAATCCATAGGACTGAATGCGATCAAAGTGCAGCTGCGGGTTCGTCTCAATGAAATGGTAATGCGATCCAACCTGTACACAAGTTAGCACAATCCGACGGCACCAATTTCACGAATCAAAGTCCCAATCACAGTTCCCGTGCATGGATTGTACAAGGACATACCTGAATTGGCCGATCACCCTTACTCATAACCTTCAACCTAATACGCCTCCGCCCACTACTCAACTCGACACGCGCATGCTTAGCCGGGATAACCGCACCAGGCATCTTCTCCGGGTGGAAGTCCTCGGGATCGGGATCAGGGAAGGCCTCTGGCGCAGGCACGGGCAGGAAACTGCCATACAACGCTCTTTCGAGATCACCTTCATTGCTACTGATCGGGTGGTGCACGGTGACGAGATACGTTCCGGAAATGAAGGTTCCTTCGACTTGTAGCTCGACTAGAGTTGCGACGACGGAGGGGAGGACGTGGCGGCGGCCTAGCATTGTTTTGCCGATTGACATGAGATCAGCGACGGAGTAGTGGCCATCGCGGATTAGCTGGTGACTATTAGTCCAATTGTTCAATTGTATGTAAAATTATGAAGAGGTGTACGTACCTCGTGCAGGACGGAGGAGATCAAGGCCTAGGGAATTAGATGTGGAGATTAGCATACTGTATCCCACAAGGCTGAGAAGTACATACCACAGCTTCGGCATGGTTGAGCCGCACTCCACGTGCTAGACGCCTCTGTGCCAAGAACCCGAGGTGCGCAATAGTGAGCTTGTCAAGCTACCAGGGATGTCAGTTGTTTGCTATGTCGAGTGTTCCGTGCCACCTACCTCCTTTGGAACGAGCTGCATGGCAGTGGAACCCGAACGCGGGTCTTGGCGTGCAGGGTAGGGTTGACACTATATGGAAGATATAGAGAACAGAGAGAGGTAAGACAGAGGGGTGACCGGTGACAGGTATATGAACTTCCAGGAGAGGGCTTAAGTCAAGAAAGGACATAAAATGAGGAATGTGGGGAGGGTTGACTGCCGTCTGTTTCCCGAGATAAGGCACTTTGATAAGTGCCGCGCAGGCCGATTGGGTCGGGCGAAGCTGTTTGGCCGCTTTAGTCAAGGCTTTGCTAATTGGTTGAAATTGAATGGAAATAAATGTGTGTGAGTGGAGGAGACGGTGAAGCTTGAGACCCGCTTATCTGATGGTTAACTGTTTAGCCTTTTATACTTCACTCTATACTTTATAACGTTACTTCTAACACTTCAGTACATTTTACTCCCGTAGGCATATATTAAATCCGCATCGTTCTCTCAACTAGTAACAACGGTGGGTATAGCCGCAAAATCCACAGTGATTGTAGAATATGCGCTTGCCCGGAAGACCAGGGTTAACACAATGCGGATGCGAACATCTGCCGGCCGCTTCAAATAACATCGATATATCGTTCTCTGATACACCTTTCTGCATCACAAGTTGCTCGTATAGCTCGAGGGATCTCACACGTGCGTCGAGTTCTTTGCTGAGGTCATCTCCGACATACGCAAGTACCGGACCATTAGGCTCTTGAATCACCCAGCCTCCGTTCGCGGTGTCGAGATTGAGATCTGGATGGGTGGCCGTAAGCTCTCGCAGTTCGTTGTCGTTGTGAAGCACTAAGGCGTTCTCGGGCAGGGGCGCGTTGTAGCGACTTGTTGCCGCATAGCCCATGACAACGCTGGTGAGCAAAATGACGATAAAGAACAGTTCGGGAATAAGGGTAAGAAGATTCCTTCTGATCGAGGAAGAACTATGTGGGATCTACTGGCCATGTTTGGGAAACCCAGCTGACTTAAATGAAGCCTGATCCCCCATTCCATAACGTGATACAGAATAAACTGCTTCCCCGGGTCAAATTCATTGTCTCATCACCATCTCCCACAGCCTTCGGGTGGCGAAAGCATACAATCACGAGTAACAGGTGAGAGCAGGGCTGTTTCCAGGATTAGCAAAAAATACAGTGACACTGCTGGACGACTAGGGCCTTGTCTCTCACCTAGCCTAGGCATGCATCATCACACCATGTCCTACAACCCTCCAGGCTCGCCGAAAGCATAAATTTATGAGTAAACCCCCTAAGGCCCGCTGTGGCCTTTTTCAGACTGGGCATTGATACAGTTCTGACAGGGTCCTCCTCCTTCGCCTAGGTGGCATGTCTCATTGTCCGACAGCTCGCCCGATGTAATCATGGCTTCGATCTCGGCCTCTCCGCGGTCGGCGTATTCACACACTTCATCTGATGCCACGGCGATAACTGTGCCATCAGGGTTCTTCATGTAGTAACCACCGTTGTCGGGCCACATACAGGCATTCACATTTGCGGCTTGGAATTGGCGGCCTTCTTCGACTGTTTTCAAGATAGGTACACCCTCGGGGAGAGGGCCTTTGTAGCGAGTGGTTGCCATGACGAGGATGAGACAGGTAGTGAGTAAATAAGGGAAGAGCATCAACTTGATGGGTGAGACGAGGGATTAAAGAAGGGAAATAGAGTGATACAAACACAAGGTTGGAGCCTGGGGAGACAAGTGTCATGTGATGGATTGTAATGATGAGGTAGCTAAATACAGTTCAAGTTCAGTTCAGTTTTCCCTAACGCCGAAAAAACCAGGGCTACACAGCCAGTCCCCAAATACTGCCTAGACTTAAGAGGTCTCGCTCTTGCGCTTCTTGCCACTCTTGCGCTTGCTATCAGCAGGAATCTTCTCCTTGCTAGCGGACACAGGCTCAACAACAGCCGCCTTGCGGCCTCTCTTGACAGGCGACTTGGCAGGTGTCTCGGCCTCCTTGGCCTTGCTGATGCGAGGACGCTTAGCAGTGCTGCGGGGAGGAGTGGGAGTCTTCGCCTTGGGGGGAGAAGGGGACTCGGACTCGGACTCGGAAGACTCGGAAGACTCATCGGACTGGGCCTGCTCGGGCTCAGCTTCAGCCTCGGCCTCGTGCTCCTGCTCCGCGCCGGCAAAGTCCTGCTGCAGCTGGTTGGCGGCGGGGTCGTGGTCCTCTTCAGCCTTCGTGGCCTTGTAAGCGGCCATCTCCTTCTTGTACTTTTCGTAATTCTCAGCATAGATCTGCTTCCAGACCTGCATTGGTGGGTTAGTATGGGTATGTATATTCATCGGTTGAGAGCGGAATCGTATGCTTACACCGCGGTCCTTCTCGTCCATGTTCTGCCAGCGGCGGGTGCCCTCGTCGGCGACATCCTTGGGGCGCGCATTTTCGCCCAGGTCCTCGGCAATCTGGGCACGGTTGGTCTGCATGAAGAGGAAGTAGGGAGTCAGGGCGCGCTTGGGCGCATTGGGGTCGGCGGGTGCGCGCTTGCGCTTCTTGGGGCCGCCGGCCTCGGACTTGGCTCCGGGGCTGCTGGCGCGGCCGGGGAAATCTCCACCAGTGAAGGTGGGACCAAGGGGGAGCTCGATTGTGGCGCCTTCACCGTCGGTGATGCTCTTCACGTGCTGTACGTAGGCCTTGCCTAGGTCGGCGAGGTAGCTTTGGACTTCCATCAAGCGCATGACGATCTAGTATCATTAGTGATGCTATTTATATAGATAAGGTAACAGTGCTTCGTCGCTTGAGGGTTTGGAGTAATGGTTTGAGGTTGGGGTTGTTTGGCGCGTAGCTGGTCAAGCTACGCGCCAACACTTTGACTGTGACATGATCACAGCGAGGTGTGATTTGCGCACAAGAAGCTTAGGATGATACTAATGAGGCCTCACAGAGTATCTGTAAAGCTCTAAAAGCTCACTGTATAGCTTTGATGTAGACAAAAAGGGAGAGTGTATGTGCGACGCGTAGCGCGGCGCAGTGAACAAGAAAACAACACACAGAAAAGCGAAAGGAAATACAAAAGAAAAAAAAGACGTGGACGTAAAAGGTATATAAAATGAACATACCAAGTCGCCAGCCCGACGGAGCTCTTCTTTGTTGACCTCGACGGTCGCTTCATTGTTGGGTGGCATGGTGGCGATTCTGCAAAGATGAAGTTTGAAGGTGAAGAAAAAGAGATTTTCGGGGGGAAGGGGGGGGATAGGAAAGCCGAGAGAGGGTCCCACCGGCCATCGACCCCCCGAATGCACCGGGCATGCTCCGCTACTTTCGGCTTAGGTTCTCTATTGTTGTCATGAGACCCAAACTTCAGGGATTCCTGGGCAACACCGGTGCTCCCGTCCTTCCCCCCAACTTGCCCAGTGACATGCCCCTCTAGGCACCTGGGACCGGGTGGTGACACTGATGTTTCTTTTTCTTATTTCTAAAACATACCCATGGTGGTCTGGGTGGATGGATGTGTCGATTGTGTTTTGGACTGATTTAGGCCTGCTTTTAGGAATCTATCGCCCTTTTCAAGATGGGTGTGTTAAGGATACGTAACTGGTTTCTTCATGACGGCTTCTAGCAGGCGCTGGTGATTCATATTATTGGGCTTTCCTATTGTAGGATGGAGTCTATACGTAATTGATATCGTTTGCCTTTGTGGAGATTTCCTAGTCCATGTTTCTTTTTCTAATATCGTCCTTGTGGTTGTAGAGAGGGCCTTGGGAATGCTGCTGCTGTCTTTTGGGGGGGGGGGGGGGGGGCGCGAGGAATCGCGCAGGCTAGGCGCCCCGCCTACCCCTCAACTCTTCAGGGTCGCCGAGGGCCTGCAGAATACCTATGAGGGATCCAACTTTGCCCGAACTGTCGATGCTGCAGTATGAACAATGCTCTTGTCTTGATATCCCTAGACTTCGAATTTTGAGTTGCTACATTTCTGCTTCTTGTTTCCTCTCTACTTGTCGCCTTGTTAGAGCTCTATATCTACCTTCGCCTACCCCTCTTCCTGGCACGTATACTATTTACTGTCATGATATGTTGCGCAACTTCTGGACTGAACTGGTCAGCATATTCTAGAACATTAATACCCTTTGATGTTTCTCTCTTGACACTTTCGTCAATAGCAAATTCTCAATGGCAGACATCCTTCTATAATAGAATGTTTCGGTAGTCCACAAGATATATATCTGCAATTCCATTTTATGATACCACTATTTATTATCGCTTTACTTATACCATCTTATAAAACCAACTGGTATAGATAATAGCAGATATGTTGTTATAATATTTACTTCAATATCCAATGATAAAATATCAGCCTAAATACGTAGCAGTGCGCTCAAAAAGAAACCAATATACACGTCTATCCTACACGTATTTCCGGCTATCTATTATGCAATCATCTAGAACTTGAAAACCTGCTCCTTGTTGTAGCCGAGCTCCTTCAGGATACCCTCGAGCTCACCCTGGTCCTTGGGGCTGACCTTGGGACCGGAGATGGCCTTGTACATGGGGGGAGGACCACAGATGAAGAGCTTGATGTTGTCTTCCTTGGGCTCGGGGAGGACAGTCTTCAGCAGCTCCTTGGAGATGTAGCCCTTGCCGCCGGTCCACTCCTTGGGGGGCTGGTCCAGGACGTAGAAGGCCTTGAAGCGCTGGGGGTAGGTGTTCTCGAGCTCCTCGAGCTCCTTCTTGAGGAGGATGTCCTTCTCGGTGACGTTGCCGAACACGAGGGTCACCTTCGTCTTGTCCTCGGGGTTCTTGAAGATATGGCGGGCAAGCTGGTACATAGGGGTGATACCAGTGCCACCGGCGATCAGGCAGATGTGGTTATGCTTGTTGGCCTCCCAGGGGTACTTGACGATAGGACCCTTCATCGACAATCGCTGGTCGACGTTGAGGGAGTGGATGTGCTCGGACATGGGGCCATTGGGGTAGGCCTTGACAACGAGCTCGAGGTATCCGGGGATTTCTGATTCGTTTAGCAAAGGAATAATTAACGGTCATGATTGAACTTACCCTCATCGCTGGTGGGAGTGTAGGGACGGATGACAGCCTTGCCGCCCTCGGGCTTGAACTTGGTCAACAGAGCAGCTGTATACAATGTCAGTGGTAGGAAATAACAGTTTGAAGCAGACTACTCACAGGCAACGGGGAGACCAGAGACGGCATCCTTGTCCTCATACTCGAAGCGGATACGCTTGGTGTTGCCGCTGAGGTTCTCAATGGCAGCAACCTTAAGGTCGATCCACTCCTCACCATTGAAGACCTTGGGGCGGTCCTTTGGCTCGGCAGCAGCGCTAGTGTTGTAACGGTAGAAGCCAGCACCCAGACCAGCAAGACCAACACCGACGTAGATGGGGGCCAAGTTGGCCTTCTTGGGAGCGGCCACCGCAGAGTACTTGCGGAAGCTCTGTGATGTGTTTTAGTTTGAGTCTATATAGACAGATTGATGCCTGCTTACCTGCTTAAGAGGCTGCGCGCAACGGAATGATTGACGGGCAAACATGATGGCTATGAATTGAGGGAGTGTGGAAGGGAGGAAGTGGAAGAATTCGGATTACATATGCAAAAGCGGACAGCCCTCCCTATCCCGAGCATGACGCAATTGCGGTACCTGGATTACTTTGTCATCTCGGATTTGCGGTAATGTGTCTGCATTTCAGTTACTTGGTACTTAGAAGTTCAGTGCCTTTGCTCAACCGAAAGTTTGACAACTTGCAAATCAAAAAAGGGCAGTCGGAAATCACAATCGACACCTAACTTACAAGGCATAAAGGCACCAAGGCCACAAACATCTCGCTATCCCCCGGACAGTTGGACTCGGACGCCGAATATATGTACCGAGTTCGATTGATAGAAGTAAAGCGAGATCATTCGATAGGATAAATCAGATGTTGGACGATGGTCTTCTCGAACCCATTGGTATCTGCTCCCTTGAAATGAAAAACGCAATCGGCAAAATAAAACCTTGAACAGGTACATTTCGGTAGGCATTTCTTGTGTTTAAATATAATTCGAGTGGGATAGCTATGCACGTTCTGATGTCAAGATTCCAGTAGTGGGGTACACTTTATGCGGGTGATCTGATCCTTGAAGTTGACATATCGTAATGGCATGAGGGATATAAAATCTACAATACCCTACTGGGATATAAATGATTCAAGAAACCCGATGATTTTTTTCAAAATAACCTAGAGATGCCACCATACGGGACTAGAGACATCCAACCATCTCGCCCATCCGGGCAGTGGTTTCCACAGACCATCTTTCATGCATGCTTGGCCATAAAACAGTCATTCGTCCACACACTCCAAACCCAAACCCAGAACGATACATTTAAGCAAAGGTCGAGGGGCGAGAGTGAGTGAAGATCTTCTTGCCAACCTTGCCACCAGCGCGGTGGGGCAAGGGGAACTTGAGGTCCTTCTGGAGGAGCTGCTTGATGTAGGGGCGGCGGATGCTGTCGTTGTTCTCGATCTCAACAACCTTGAGGATCTGTAGAAATTGTTAGAATAAAGTTCGAGTCTCGGCTTATCAGAAAAACGTACGTGGATGGAACCGAAACGAGAACGGTGACGGGCAGCCATGTCCTGGTAGAGGGCTTCAACAGCGTCGGTGCGGCTCATCTCACGGAACTCCTTGTACATGTTGTGGGTACCGGAGCGCGAGTCGTAGCGGATCCAGATACCGAAGTTCTTGACCTTGAGGGGACGCTTCTCGTTGATCTAGAAAGTAATCAGCACCGCTTTTGTCGTGCGGGTGTTCATCCCAACATACCACATTGAGGGTGACGATCTCGCCGTTGGCCTTCTTCATCTTGCGGAGCGCAGACATGAAGTACCAGAAGCGCGACTTGGCCACAACGGTGTTGGGCGCAAAGATGCGCATGCGGTACAGCTTGGGCGTGGGGTTCGCCTCGGTGGGCAGGTGACGCCCGATGACCTGGTACTCAGTAAGACGCCCTGGAGATGTTCCGTCAGTCATGGTTCTGAATGTGATCTCGAATCTCCAGATATTCAATTCAAGGGATATGGCGGTGCGCGAAATTAGTTGGCGAGAGTTCAAGAAGTTCAAGGGGTCGGTTGTGGATGTTGAAAATTTCGAGATTCGATAGATAACCCAAATCGACAGTATCGTGTCCCTCCATTGCAGTTGATAACAGCCGTTGATTTCCTTGCATCCTTCTCTTCGTGATCCTCATGTCGGTATCGTGTAGTCTTGTTGCATCTCGAATTCGTCCAACAATTGCGCGCACCGTCTCTCGAATGATCCAGGAATATCGGGAAGGGAATAGAAATCACTCACCCATCTAGAAGAATTAAATGTTAGTATGAATCTCTCAATAAATCGAGCCAGAGGTACTCACTGTGATTGTCGCTGTGGTGGTTGAGTCGTTAGTGTGCCGTCGGTGGAAAACGAGAATTGTGAGGTTCCGATTGTGCTTAGGGTTACCGCCCTTGCCCTAAGCGAGTGGAGGCTTTCCGCCTCACGCTAGTCCGCTTCTGGGATTTTCATGCGCCACAAGCAGACCGCCCTCACCGCCCTCACCAGCCACAGTGCCGGACCTACCCCACATGTCTCCAACAATCAATGGCTTTCTGTAAGTCACGGATGTTATCCTCCCCGGACACTGTTGTTTTCACAACTCACCATTCTGCGTCTCGCTTAGGCCGGTGAGACAGAAATTGAAGATGAGCATTTTTGCAACCGGCTTCAAAGATGCCTACCTCAGTGGATCTGGCCCGCAACTAGCTGCAGTGCTCACTCCGATCGCGACGCCCGATGACCCGAACCGACTGCGCTCCTTTTACCAGTTCTCCAACGCCGCATTCCTTTCCAAAGACCTTCAATACGCGTTATTCCATGGAAAAAGCTTGAGAATTCCCAAGGCCGAACAGAATGCCTGGGTAGACATTTTCTCCGCATTCTGGGAAGCTATTGGTGAGGTCCTGAAGTGTGAAGATCGTCACCCCGGTGCCAGCATTGTCGCCGTCTTCAATGCGTGGAAAAAAGTTGCCAACACTTTGATCAGAGGGTACTCCAGCTCTTCCAGCCTCCCTGCTTGGACACTGCCATGTTTGTACACAGTGGGAAAGTACCTGCGCATCTTTGCGATCAATGCCGACCTCGAGGCCTCATCTTTGGTCTCGGCTGGCTTTGGGTTCCAGGATGATATCGCAGCAGATGTTGAGAAGAATGCCCACCTGGAGAACGCGGCCCAGGTCATCAATCGCATGTTTACTCTTTGTCTCAGTGATAGGTAAGTACTGATGAGATCTGTCAGACCATTCCTGCTAACAGATCAGGGCACCCATTGAGGAATCTCGCAAGTGGGGTATCTACCAGATGACCAATCTGTTGTTCAAGACTTATTTCAAGGTATGCTTTTGCCTACTATTGCAGGGACCCGCTAATGTCTGTCGTTTAGATCAACTCTGTTGGCCTTACCAAGAACATTTTACGTGCCATCAAAGCCTCGTCGGCTGATTTGCCCTCTCTGGATGCTTTCCCCAAAGCCCACATCGTCACTTTCAAGTATTACGTTGGAGTCATTCACTTTTTGGATGAGAACTATGCAGAGGTATGTCCAAAGACTGCCACGGGCGATTGCCGAGACTGATCTTATGTGCAGGCCGAAGAGCATTTGACATGGGCTTGGAAGATGTGCCACCGAGATGCGTACAAGAACCGAGAGTCAGTACCTAAAACTAACTACAAGCTGCTTTCGCTAACAAGCTGGTAGATTGATCCTCACATATCTTATTCCCTGCCACCTCGTGACTACTCATACACTGCCCACCAAGGAACTTCTTGCGCCATTCCCACGACTTGAAAAACTTTTCCGGTCTCTTTCGACCTGCATCAAAAAGGGAGACTTGGTTGGATTCGACCAGGCCATGACCGCTGGCGAGGAGGAGTTTGTCAAGAGACGCATTTACTTGCCTCTTGAGCGTGGACGTGATATTGCTCTTCGCAATCTGTTCCGCAAAGTGTTCCTCGCTGGAGGCTTCGAGGAGCCCAAGGATGACCAGCCAGCCATTCGACGAAGCCGTGTTCCCGTGGCCGAGTTTGCCGCTGCTCTTCAAGTTGGTACCAACGCGACTGGCAGGTCCCGAGTGGATATCGACGAGGTGGAATGCCTACTGTCCAACCTCATTTACAAGGTAAGCTATGTCGATGTTCATGACGAGCTCATTAACTAACTATTCTCTCCAGGGCCTCATGAAAGGATACATTGCTCGTGAACGTGGCATTGTCGTCCTGAACAAGAAAGGCGCTTTCCCGGGTACTGGTGTCTAAAATTCGGTGGCAACAAAAATGGCATTCGCCATCAACTGGCACGTATCGACAAACTTTTCGATTATGTTGAGCATGTCCGCGTTGGACTTGCATCAACTGGGCTGACATCCTCCTCAGCCCACATTCCGCGGTACTCGAGATACTGATCCGAATAGCTGCAACGCTAATCCTGACCCAGATAGTACATCCAGATAAATGTGTGATCCTTGGGCGTAATGCAGATGAAAGGTCAATCAAACCACCTCCGGTCCATACCTTCGTGCATGAACTGTGGGTAATATGGCCACCAGAGCCACAATGGATCACGAAATTACGAATTGATAACCAATGAAATCAAACAGTTTTTAATTATCTTCGATTCTATTAGCAAAGTATAGTAGTACACGAGTATATACGCAGTAAACCTAAAGTAACCCAATGTCCAACCAATCCTACCAGCACTCCCATATCCACATCATATCCATACAATACCAAATACAAATACCCAACCTAACAAGTAGTAGAAACAGAACTAGAAACCAACTCACCAGTCTGAAAATCATCCTATACAACCAAGTTAGCAAACCACTTCCACTCTCACTTCCGCCCAAACCACACATGACACCCTCACCCCGTCACCAACTCTAAGGAAAGAACTCACCATATGATTACACAAAGCAACAAAAAGATCAAAAAACAACAACCCCCACGCTCCATTTCCATCTGCATAGTCCCACTCCGCATGAATGTAGACCGCGACCTAACAATCAGCGCCAGATAATGCGCTCGCAGCCTCGATTCTGTATCTGGTGTGTGGGCATATGCAAAGCGCGCACTGGCCAGGATCGTGCTGCAAGATATGTTTGTGTGCAGGCCTTGTTTTCGGAGGGAGAGGCGTTGGAGGACGGGGAGGTTGTATTTTAGGGCGGCGCAGCTATTTTATATAGATATTAGTATGTGGGAGGAGAGGAGAGGGGAGGGTGGAGGTGTGGATGTGGATGGGATGGGGGAGTATGGAGAGGGAGGAACATACTAAATAGCCGTATCCCGCAAAATAACACACCCAGCCCGATGATGATACACTGTTGCCATTGCACCCTGGCTCAATTCTCCGTCTCCATCACTGCCTGCAGTATCTGTGTCTACATCCTCGAGCTCCCAGACTCGTTTTGTGGCGTTGTGTCTCAGTCGTGGGTAATAATCTCCTTTATAGAGGAATTCTAGGACACAGGATAAGACCTCGGCTTGTTCATCCGGTAGGTCGATGAGCTTGCTTGGATGGCGGGGAGGTGTGCGGGTGCGACTTGGGGTCGGTGTTTGAGTTTGGGCTTGAGACTGGACTTGGGCTGCGAAGAATGGGGATGCGCTGAGGATCGCTTCGTGGGCCGCGAAGAGGCGTTTTTGGGGTCCCACACGCAGCATTACTATTGGGGATGTTGGGGGTGATCTATATATTTTGGTTAGCTAGGGTAGCTTTTGTCTTTGGGTTGGTTCTCGGTTTGGAATTGGATTTGAGATGGCATTATATTGCACTGTGTTGCACGGATGGATGGGTCTCTGTAGATGGTGAGGGTTTTCACATACCTTACGTCGGGAGGATTCTCATATCTCTTCCTTCGCTCAAGATGACGCATCCTGTCCGAAGAACTAGAATCGTCTCTCTCTTCCCCCTCCTCTCTCCCGCATTCGCTCTCGTTCCCTCCTATCTCTATCCCTCGGCGTCTGTACAGCCCTCCGCGACTGAGGCGTAAAAGCCGAAGACTTGCCCGCGCGATACCTAGGCATAGATGGAGTTTCGGGTGTGCGCAGCATGATTGCGTTCTGTTCTAGTATTGTATTTCAATTGGAATCAAAGGGGAACAGAGAATGACAGGATACACAGAGAGAAACGGACTTCAAGTTGGATTGGGATTGAGATTCAGGGGCTACCTATTTATAAAGAGTGAGATACAAGATACAAACCAGTTTCAGTTTCAGCTTCTGTATACATGTATGCACCCGGAATAACTTATGTTATATACGGCAGATCGTCCCGCTAAAGCTGTCAGTGACTCGATAGGACGCGTCACGACTAGTAATACGCGTAACGCGTAAAGTGGAAAAGGGGCGCGTGGTCACGGGATGTGGGTATATTCGGAGATTGCACTCGACAGAGTAGAAGTGATAGATCATTTGTTCAGGGGTTTGAATTGTGACGTGTGGAATCGCCAAATTAACTAGTGGATTCGACCGAGATCTAGCATTGGTGCTTTTTGGTCTGTACCGAGTTACTACTGCTGCATCTACAAAATTGGAAACAGATTAAGGTAAAAATTCGATTGCATGTACAGCTGAATGAAACCCGCACTAGGTACAATGCAATAACTCAAATGGCCACCGAACGCCGATGCTTTAACGCCCCCGGAAAAGAAAGACATACTCCCCGCATCCGTATTCCACATTCCTCCGTCCAGGCGCCATATGCCAGTGCAAGAAAAGGAGACAAGAAAGAGATCGAGAGAAAGGAGAGCTTCACAGGAACACTTTGCGCGCGTCCTTGGGGTGGCTCTCGCTTGGACAGTATGGGCACTTGAACCGGTTGCTCTTCCCAAGACGCTTCAGTGATTCCTCTGCGATGACATGTCCGCAAGGCATCATCATTGGTGGGTTCTCATCTGTCGCTTGTTCCTTGGATACGGGGCAGACGAAGATCGAGTGGAAGAGGTATGAGGGCGGGAGTGAGATTTCGACCTGGTAAGAAATGAAGTGTTAGTATGAACATGGAGAGCTGGTTGGAGGGGAAGGATTCTCCTACCGGAAGCTCGTTTTCAGATGTCCACTCCGTGCGCTTCGCTCTCATAATAGTCTGCAACTTCAGCAGCGTTGGCAAGGCGATCGCACCGGCAGTCGCAGCAATGTAAAGTGGCGAGTCAGCCGACAACCCGAGAAGAGAACAGAACTCGCGCGTGAAGAAATGGGCCACATCGTCCCAGGCGGATGCAGTGTTGAAGAGAGATGCATAAGGCGAGGCTTCGAGGTTGGGCGAGTAGGCCATGGCGCCGATCAGCTGCTGCACTTCTCGCAGGTATCGAGGAACAAAGACGTGGAATTCACGGCGGGCGTATGCTAGAGCTTCCTGCCAGCCTGTTGGTCCGCCTTGGCCGCCCGATCCTCCGTGGTACAACCACACGTACTGTAGACGGCAGAGCTCGAATTCCAGATTACTGCCCCGGGCTTCCAGGGCGTTGCGGTGTTCCCTTGACCATTCGATTGCGGGTAGAAGGTTCTTGTGTTCTTGTAGTTGCTGGAGGATGTAGTACATCGAGGCGAACTGTTTCCTGATCTCAGTTGAGGGGACTTCGTCGAGGTCGAGGAGGTTTGCGGGGTCGCTGGTGCTGGCGCTCGCGCTCTCATTTGTCTGCTGCGTTGGAGTATCCATCTTGTGCTCGGCGATCTCGGAGAGGAACGTTGCGGCGACCGCGAACTGACCTTCGCGGAGGAGGTGCATCGCAATCGCGCGGTTGATCAGGTTTTCTTGTGAGGAGAGGGCATCGTGATCGGTACTTGGAAGAGGACGGTCTTTGAAGAGCTAATTCACATGTGAGAGGGGCCTTGCGAACGGAGAATGTAAGACCAAATACCTTATCGAGAGATTTGGTGTATTTGTTCAGGCCGCTATGGATTTCCTTCAAGCTGTCATTGATCGAGTCAAAGGACGATTTGACCGGCGTCTGAAGCTTGGCCATGGTTACCGGCGCCGAGTCTGGGTCTATCAACGAACAACCTCGTCAGTTGAAGTGAGCGGGGATGGTTTCTACATGGTTTACTGACCAGCAGCTATGGCATCGCGGGCAGATTGCAGTAGATCGATCGTCGACTGGACATTCTTTATGCCTTGTGATGCCTTGACCCTTTTCAGGAGCCGGTCGTGTTCTTTCTGGACTACTTCCATGCTTCCCGATATCGCGGAGGTGATGTGGTTACCGCACACCGATTCCGCTTGCCATGTGGAGGAGATATAAGAATGTTTTATCGGCGCGGCCTCCAAGTAGCGTAGAGTAGGAGTGTACGCGGTAGAGCAATGGAGATTGGATATGAGGGGAAGATATCCCAGCCCGAATACAGTAGCTTAATCTTGTTCCGGCTGATCGCCTGACGACATAGTCCACGTGATTTACCTCTAAGCGGAAGTGAGTGCGAGAAGTGACATCTCGTCAAAGATGTTTGTTCGGCTTCCCTTCGCTTTCCAGCATCTCCAGGAGTGCTAACAGTGCCAGGTATCCGATGTAAGGGTTGTCCTCCTTCGATACTATCCTCCCCTGCCGAAACTATTGATTGACAGTCAGCTGGGCCTCATACACCGCCCTTTTTTGCCATGTGTCCGTACAACCAATGAACGCCCAGTGTTTGCCTCGGCTAAAGTTCCCAATTCAGATTAGCGCCAACTCAATGTTTGCTCACTCGCGGGTATAAATACGTCTGCCTCCCCCGCCCTTCGTTCTCTTTTCCTTTCTTCTTCATCCAAGTGCACGGGTTTTACACGCATCAGTGAGGAGACATCCGAGATCGTGTTTTTGCTAGTTGAAAACTACCAAATTGACCACTTCAGTCGGCCCCTTGGGGAAGACTGGGAATTTTTGAAACAATACATGCCCTGATCCTCCTTTCTCATCGAGGTCAGATTTGGTATCCACGATGGGAGGCTATACCCAGCCACCGCGCGCATACCATGACGGTCTGCTTTTCATCACTTGTCGTCCTTGCGATGGCTTTTGGAGAAGAGAGCTGGTCGTCGTCTAGTGTAGATACTCTGTAATGAAAATTTTATTGACATGAGAATGTTTATGTCACCGATCGCGTCAACAAACCTTGCCATCATCGCCTGCCCCACGATAGGTGCTCGAGCTCGCAGTTCATGTTACGCTCGCACTGAGTACTCATGGCGCTAGCTTCGTCGATGGGATCCTTCTTCTACATCTTGGCAAGCTGTCCCGTTCTCATCTGGCTTGTTTCCAGTCAGTCGACCACTTTCCTACAGTGCGGCGCCTCGTCACAGAAGGTCGTCCTACCGTGAACGCCCAACACTTCTACTAACAGTTGGACGATCAGTCCAAGCAGTGTCTCAGTGCGGCTGAACCGGCGGAGATGCCCCTTTACCCTGTCTCTCACTCGTCAATACCAACCCAGCCCCCAGCTGCTCTCTCCACCATCGCGGCTTCCGCGAGACGCTAGGAGGCATTAGCCTGGAGATCATCAGAGACTGTTCCTTTCAGTGCCAATGAGTTGCCCTGCTGCGATCCGATGGAGCTTTCCAATTTTCTCATGAATCGGGTCAGGGTTCCTGATGCTGTCATTCTGACGCTCGAACACGAATATGGTGTTTGCTGACCTGCAGATCAGCTTGTCCCAACCACCCTGCACGTTGCATTCCACGATGATGTGAATCGGTATTGTTCCTAAGTAGACAGCGAACAACACAATACTCCTTTTCAGCCGACTCTGATCGTGCACCATGCAAGGCATCTGCTTGGGCAGACGCTGCTCCGAGGAGGTCACCGACTATACACAACACATGGAGGATCATGGGATAACCCGTGGCAGTCGAATCTCTTTGCCGATTCGGGTTCCACACACAGGTAATGCAGGATCTACAGCCGGCGCAGGTCGCATCGAAGGCTCTATTCCATAATGTCATGCCCCTGCGACCGTCGGGCTAGTCACACAATACATGAACATCTCTGCCTGGCACTCTTCATGGGACCGGCTGAATGAAGATGGGCTGACGGGGAGTGATGGCCAGATTGGATCCTCCTGGATGAGGTTATCGGGCTTACTCGCTATTATCAACATTTGATTGGCCATACCGATCGATATCGTACTTTGCACCGAATGTTCCCTGCCTCAGAGTCTGCGCATTGTAGGCTCGCATCTTGTGAAGAGTGGGTGGTTCTCTGTAGTTCCGGTACCGTTAACAAAGAATAGTCCAGATAGTAGTCAATATGCTACCAACTTTTACTATTTCAATTCATTTCTTCGAAGTCCGATTGGAAGAGACATAATTTGCCTTGGTCACGCGACTTTGTTGTCCGTTTTGTGACTAGCCTCGGATGATGCGCCTCTTCCTTGGCTGAGGCGCAATATTCAATCTAAATTATGACGACCCCCTGTACTTTGCAGGAACCTACATTGTTTAAAACCTGTTTCTCCTTTGTTTTCATTCTGTATCGATGAAAATGTCACCACTAGCTTATTTGTATATCGCGAGAATGCATCCTAAAAATATATGAGCAACTTCGAAGTAACATGCCTATATAGGCTTTGCTTGAGCGGGAACCGATTTCTGTTATGATTATTTCTGAGTCTCGGAGGCCGGTAATTTAATCAATAGTCCATTATCCAGAACGCCGCTAAAGTCGAATTATCAACGCCTCTTTTGGATCCGCTAGAGATACGTCTCAATACCCAAAAAAAAAGGCCCCTTTGAAAATTTGAGACGCCGAGTGTCATATCCGCCCTATAATACTCCTTTGTTTCCCGACCACAGATGAGTCTTGGACACTGGATATTGCTCCCGGTGCAGAAGACTGGGATATATTCCTATTATGTCCAGAACCCAATGGTCGGCCATGGCCAAGGCGCCAGTATTGCTAATCTAGCAGCCTGCATGCGCGCTAAAGCCGTTGAAAGGTTTGTTATCTTTACGGCTCCTCCCGGTGGCTGATCTTGAGCTATGGCATGAATCATCCATGGATTGCTTTATGCATATTTCTAACCCCACCCGACAGTGCCTTTGTATACGAGTACGGCGTATTATTCATAAAATTCCCCCTGGAATGTAGCCTTGATCGTCGCATATGACGACCCGAGACAAAGCTTCAGAATTTCTGTTAGAAAGACAGTCTCGCCCTACAACATGATACCTATGAAATCTTCACTGCCATCCATTTTTCCAATCACTCTCTCAGCTGCAGGTAAACATGGGGTGTGGGGAATCAAAAATGGGTGAAACATTCCTCAACATTGTACTCGCAGCCACGGCGTAGTAAATGGCATTTCAATCAAGGGCGACAAAACAAAGACCCATATATATAGCACACCTCGTTTCAAATTTGTTGTTCTTAATCATTGTGCATTTCCCACAAAACGCGAGTGTCTTATCCGAAACAATCGAGGGTCCCTGTTTCCCTTAATAGACCCACATACCATATCTGTTGTCATCAGGAGGCAGAGTAAGGATCGACAGGCACAATCCTTTGTCGCCTGATTCCACACGCAAGGTCAACTTTCTCCTTATCATCTGCTCAATGCCGATGTGATGTGGCTGGTATCCAACTTCACCAGCCGTCCATCTCTTGTCGTTCCTTATAGACTATGATTATTGCCAAAACACCCTTCTTTATACGCCATGTCGCTCTTCTCGCCTCCTCCCTGGGTTTTTCCGACCATTTCGGCCTCTACCTGGCTAGGTGAGCTCTTCCAATTGTCCACGGTCGCTGTTGGCATCGATTTAACCGCTGGATTTAGCAATGCTGCTGGCTATGCTTGGGCACTGGACTATGATCGGTGAACCGAGATATGGCCTCATGAAACCTGGCCAGAATATACCGTGAGTATTTTTCCTTATGACGTCTTGGTACCAGAGTACTCCAGAGTGAAACTAACAGACCAAAGGTTCATTTCGGATATAGGAGCTCAAGAATTGAAGCCATTGTTCATGATTGGATGTATCACCACAGTGTTGCTTCTCAACCTCTCATTTTATCAATTCATCCAAAACAAGGGATACGTCAACAAGCTCTGCACACACGCATCCTTCTTCTTTACAGTGCTGGGAAGCACAGGCTTGATCCTGCTATCCGTCTTCGACAACATCGACCACCATATAACACATGATGTATTCGTCACTATATTCATGTAAGTCTCCGCCAAGATATCATATCATGCAACTGCTGACAACCGAAAGTGTGGGGTATCTAATCAGTGCTGCCCTGATGTGTTTAGATTATGTCCATCTAGGCATCTCGCATGCTCTGCGAGAGCCTATGATCTTTACAAGCTTTGTGATCAAGCTGTCCTTCATCATCGTCGAACTCTCCCTCGTCATCGTATTCCGTGTCACCGAGGCCATCCACTATAACCAGAACAACATGGCTGCCACACTTGAATGGGGTATGTGCTCCCTACTCTTCTCGTTGGTCTTGTCAGCTGTACTAACATGCATTTTAGTCATCGCCTTCGTGTTCACTGGCTATATTCTCTCCTTCATCGTCGATCTACTACCATCGACTCAAAAACAGCTCCATGTCGAAAAAGGCTATGAGCAACTCGAGATGGGGATGGCCCACCCATAACCCACGGCCGATTCACTCTTTTATATAGACTTGGCAATTTGTTAGCGTTCTTTTACTTGCCAGGTGTGATTAACATGTATATACTTCTACGCTCGTGACATGAATCTTGGACTTTTCAACTCTTGGCTTTGAGGTAGATCCTCGGCTACAATCAATCAATTGACTCTAGCAAGCTACACTAGGAACACATCTAGTCTCGTGAACTATATTTGAATATAGCGCTGCCCAATTAAGACAGGCTAGTGGCATTGGCCTACACTGCGTTCCACCCGCTTTCCTATTCCAGTCCCCAAGACCGAATCTCGGCCTAATAATAACAGCTAATACCTCCGAGGATTGCCCACGACTCCCTAGGCTACCGAATTGCTGCAATGAGGATACCGATTCACCTACAGGGCTGAAGCTGTGGGGAGTGGTACGTACGCATCCGCCTCATAGCCCTAGCGCCAAGAACTCGGCAGAAGCCCAGCGCCAGCAATTGATGTGCTCTAAGGGAACTTTGTAAAACCCAATATTACGCCAATTCTGTCTGAGAAAGCTTGTCAATATACGCGGGTAGATATAATGGGTGGCTACAAGGTTGGTTTCTCTCATACAGATTCACCGAAGCCCGAGATAGAAAGACGTAATATCTGATCAACCGATCGTGAAGACGTGCGAGTACGATCTACTGTAGCACATAGTGACGTCCTCCGCTATCGATCGATGCTGATTCAAGTGGCGGAATGTGTCTGATCCTTGATAGGCCTCCGCTACTCCACATCTGATAATGGGAGTCGTAAGAGGTGACATTGTTCCCAATTTGAGACTAGGTCCCGGCCAGAGTATCCTAGTTGCTTGTTAGTATCCTGCTTGGTGTTGACGCCACTGCTGTTTATAAAAGGGGACCTGGGGCCCTTCCTCTTGTTGGAATCATACTCACATCTCTTATTCATACTCGCGTCTCGTACTTTCCCTACCTTGTTCGTCACACCACACCACACCACCACATTCAACCACACATCATGGGTCTCTTCAGCCACCATCACGACCACCACCAGGGACCTCCCCACGGTGGTCCCCAGCAAGGTCCCGGCGGTCCTGGCGGTCCCGGTTTCGGTGGCCCTCAACATAACGGTGGCCCCGGTGGCCCTGGTGGTCCTGGAGGATTCGGCGGTCCTGGCAGCCACCAGGGAGGACCTGGATTTGGCGGACCTCAGGGTGGACCTGGCGGTCCCGGGGGTCACCACGGAGGCCCGGGAGGCCCAGGTGGATTTGGCGGACCTCATGGCGGTCCTGGAGGTCCTGGAGGAGATCATGGTGGACCTGGAGGTCCCGGTGGCCCTGGCGGTCGCCAGGGAGGTGTATGAATATCATCCATTGATTGATGGAAGAGCTTTTGCTGACGTTCGTATAGCATGGTGGTTGGTAAATGGATAGATTGATTGCCATGATCGGGGTGGATATATCATCATTGCGGAGGATTTCCGTTGGAGATAATAGTGCCATTTACTATCTCACAATGTCTTTGAGACATCATCTTTATGTCGCAATATAACTGCCATCTCGCTGGGCGAGCATGATGGTGGCTTTGAATGAATTGGTTCTTTTGACTCTGGAAATCTGAACTGCTGTAGAACAATTAGCACATAAATCCGAACTTGCAGGGTTATTCCGTATCTCCATGTCCAAGCATTGTCAAACAACGAGGTTAATGGAGTGTTGACAATCATCCTCTCCCTGACGCTTGTAGATCCAACTCACCGCCCAGTGACGTCGCCGCTTCACTCTCGGAGTTCGCCTTTCAGGTCTGCGGAAGTCGTCAAGGCACTCGACCAGTCCCGCTGCTCTTTATTCCGGGCTCATAGTATGCCAAAAGACTCGTTACCTGGATATGTCACGATTGTCCCTACTTGAGGCAAAGCGCAGGAGGATCGCAGGAAGGTCGGCACCTCCCTTCGCACCTTGAGCTTGGAGAGGTAGCCTGCTGTTGGCTCAAATGAACCCCCAACCTATTCATTCCCCGCCTTACAAACAGCCCTGATCGGGAACCCGCCCATCATGCAGGCAAGTGCCCAGGCTACACCATCGGTGGAACGGACCGACTTCATGCAGACATCGGATGGCATCAGGAGAAACCCCGCCTCCAACACCAACACAATCGACCACCAGCCCCCGCAAGGCCATCAGAGACTCGTCTTCACCGACCCGGTCGCCCTCCGCTACCTCGAAGAAGATCCCTCGACCGATGTGCTCCACCGACGCTCGACGCTGCAGGGCTATGAGATCTACATCGTTGAGCAATGGGCTTGCTCGCGCGTGCATCCTACGTTTGTTATCTCGACTTATACCGGTGATCCTTCGCACACTGTCATTGTCGGGGTACTAAGCGTCCCGACGAATGAAGCTACGTGGTCGCCGCGGCTGCGAATGTACTTTGATGCTATGAAACAATGTCACGCGCGAAAGAAGGAAACACCGCTGGGGACTGTTATGGTTACGGATCTGAGCTCATTCCCGTCCGCTTTGAGTGTCATTCCTATTCCCGGTGGCGATCTCAAGAAACATAGAGAGGACTTTATTGTGAATGAGGACTTGAAGAGACTCGGTTGCGCTGGCCGTGCGGGCTTAAAGCTTCAAGCTCCGTCGGCTGCGACCGAGGCCAAGTTTCATCTGTTGTACCGGACGAGTGAACGGGTTCCGCTATATGCTGCTGTTATGGAATTGGTCAGGCAGTGCCAGACAGCTCTCATGGTGTTTGACAAGCTCGCCCCGGAATATGTGGACGGGCTACTTTGTGATGTGACCGAAGCGGCCATCAGCGATTGGTGGACAGACATAGGAACAGACTTGTACAACATTGAGCCGAGCGACAGTAGCTTGGGACCAACAAGTGTGGCTGCTTTGCTGGGGACGCTCCTCGGAGCGCGAAACCGTCTGCATGCATACGGCGCCCCAGTGGGCAAAGATGCATTTGACATTGCCAACCTGAAGAGAGGCATTGGGAGTTTTCAAAAATCTCAGAAAATGAGAAAATCCCGGAGATTGGACCGTCATACATTGGATCGATTACACCGCGCCACAGCCAAGGCTGCCAATTCGGAGGGCTGGACCGATGCGGTGAAATCTACGATGGCGGAGCTCAGTGGACAAGGTGGTGAAATGGTCATGGGGATGGTTCGTGGGCGTGACAAGGGCGGCATTGCTGATATTGAAACGCTAGATATGGACACATTTGTACAGTGTTGCAACGGAGAACGAGCCAAGTGGTTGTGGTTGGGTAGACCACGCAAGAGTGGCTTTGAGGATGGCTTCACGCGTGGGACTGGATCGGACATGATGTTTACGACCGATGAACAGGGCGGCTATGTCTGGACCAGTCGCAAGAATCATTCGACAGAAGATGTGCATGAGCGACTCAGCTCCACCTTCGATCGCTCTTGGAAGATGCCAGAGCCATCGGCGGTTGAAGAAAAAGAACATCGCAAAAAGGGTGTTAGCGGACGCGTTTCAGATGCCCGCGCAGGCTTGGGACGCTTCAAAGATGCAGTAGGACTACAGGGCCTTCGCTCGCATCACCATCAGCAATCCCGAGAAAGCGCGGAGTTGACACACGATGCTGCTTACCGCCCATCGATGGACAGCGACTCTGAGATGCCCATTTCAAAAGCTCGGACAGACTCTGGTTTCCGATCTTCGGAAACAAAGATCGGGACTGAGACAGAAGATCCCATTGAGGAGGAGCAGGAGGAGAAGTCCACTCAACTCTCGTCCATCCCCGGCTCTGCAGAGACCAAAGCCCCAGAAATTCACATCGAATCTGCACCACCTACTGTTGGTCTTGATACACTGCCCCAACCCGATCAACTTACACCACAACCTGAAGTCATTGATGAGGAGTCGGATATAGAGCGCGTCATGTCTCGGTCAACGGCGGCATCAAGTGATCGCGATCGTGAAGGCTCAGTTAGCGGCCTGGCTGTCATGGCTCTGCGGCGGCCACAAAGCTGCGAAGATTTCCAAGGAAGTGAAAGGGAAATCGAACGACGAGACAACGACTGCCCGAGACACCTATCTTTCAGCACGGTCGAAGAAGTGGTACTCAAATGGGAGCCAATAGGCAACAACCCGGTTATCAAAGAAACAGACAACCTGGAAGACTCCATCGCCCAAGAAGACATGCTCGCCTCCGACGGACGTATCTTCAGCTCTCGGATCCTGAAGTTGAGCCAGCACACCGTGCCATGGGTTGAGCGGCAGGTCGATTCCGTGGACGGTCTCAACCAAGTCCTCCACGACCGCTATGAAGAGCTCAACTCAATCTACCTGGAGCGATTCGCCGATTACCAGAGACTACGAGAACGATCTAGTGACATCCTCTTGGATGAAAACCACCACCTTACCGATGGTGTGAAGCGCGTTGAGCTGCTAGGCGCCAAACTGGACTACGAACTACACGTCCTCGAGTCCAAAGTCGAAGACATGGAAGCCGGCCTGAGTGACTTCGAACGCCACCTTGTAAATGTCGAGACGAGAATCAAAGTCCTGGTCAAAGGCGAAGAACAACACAGCACATCCTGGACAGCCTGGATCGCCCGCACCATTGGCTTCTCACCCCGATAACGCTTGTATGATAAATTCCTCTTTTTCATTCTCCTGTTTTTCCATTTTCCACCATATTGTACATATTCAGATAGATCGGCCGTTCTTCGCCGTCCACCCGGTGATGGTTATAAACGTATGAAACCATCATTGAAACAGATCCAAGTTCCTAGTAGGCCGAACCAGTCATATAGCCGTACACCAGAAACCACGATAGTAACCACTGAGTTCTCAATTCTTCTTTCTCCCCAGTTCAAGTCGTCTGGTCGCCCGCAAACGCAAACCGCTTTACATGCCGAAGCCCATGCCGCCACCCTGCTTGCTGGCGGCGGCTTCACCCTGCATCTTCTCGCTGACCTTGATGTTGACGTCGAAGAACTTGGAGACGCAGCGGTCCAGGCAGACGGACTCGCCCTTGTTCAGGTCGCCTTCGCGGTAGTCGGCGGGGACACACTTCTTTGTGCAGGACTCGGTCAAGCTGTGCGACGGAATGTTAGCCACTGATATGGAAAGTCGGAACAGTGATGGATTGCATCGAAATAGCTTGGATTGAGGGTCTCGCAATGCTTGACAGCAAAAGAATAGCGATTCCTAACCCGAGATTCCGCGCGACTTACCGGTTGAACATGTCGGAGATCATCTCAACTTCTGTCTCGGCGGCAGCAATCTTCTCTGCCGAGGACATCTTGGGGGCACCGCCGAAGAGGAAAGACATGATGATAGTAGATGGTAGATGGTAGGTGGTATGTAGTAGAGTGTAGAGTAGAGTGTAGGTGATGGCTATTACGGAGCCCAGGGTGGAACGGGAGAACTGGTCGGAAGCTTGGGCCACCCGCGTGGAAAAACTCGGTCCTTCTGCTCTTCTTCTTCTTTTCTTCTCTTCTCACGATGTGAACTCATAATGAATTCAACCAGGTTATTACAACATGGGCTGCGAAGGTAAGCTACAATTGCATTTACTTGCATTTGCATCTCCCCTATATGATGATATTATACCCCCTGCATTAGAACCGCTACAGTAATGCCCTTCGGGGCATATGAACACTACTGGATTTTATATCTGACAAGCTCCTTTCAATTTGGATCAATCTCGTTCATTTCTTCTCGAGCATTGCTAACCCAATTTCAGTGCAGGATCGCGACTCGCACGCCCATGTCGGCCTACCTGGACACTAACACAGCACATCCGGATGAACAGCTCATCGTCAGAGAAAGCCATGCAAGATCGATACCAGCAATTGAAATATATCTGTGGAGATCCATACCCTCGCCTTAAAGTGAACAAAAACACATTGACGTTGCCTGAGTTCCGCTCTCGATACAGCGGACTCGCCAACAATGACACAGTAGAAACTACAGTCTCCGTCTCTGGTAGGTTACTCTGGCCATGTTCCAATGCCCTTGTACTTAGATTAGTTAGGTAGGGTCCATACCTCTAGAATCGCCGGAAGCAAGCTGGTCTTCTTCGATATGTGGCAAGACGACCATAAAATCCAGGTGATGTGCAACATCCAGAGCGTCGCCTCTGCCGAATTCAAAAGATTCTTCCGTCTACTGCGTCGTGGTGACTCTTTTTGTATGTCTGTCTGGTCCGAGAGAGTCTTGTTTCGCCTGCTAAATGGTGATAGCTGTAACCGGTAAACCGCACCGCACTGCTCGAGGTGAACTCACTATCGATGCCACTGAGCTTCCGACGCTGCTGTCGACTTGTTTCCATGATATCCCCGTTCACGATACCAAGCATGAGGTCTCGCCTTTCCCTCGCCATGTTCAGTTCCTGGCCGATCGTCCCACGATGGATATCATTAAAGCCCGCTCGGCTCTCACTCAGTATATGCGTCGGTTCTTCTTGGACCGCTCTTTCCTAGAGGTCAATACCCCGATTGTTGAAGGTGTGGCTGGCGGTGCCGTTGCTCGTCCGTTCTATACCACTGCCACTGAGTTCTCAGACCGTCAGCTGTCGTTGAGAATTGCACCAGAGCTATGGCTCAAGCGCATGGTTGTCGGTGGATTCGACAAGGTCTTTGAGATTGGACCGTCATTCCGAAATGAAGGTGCGTGAAAAGATATCAACTAAGACATTGACCGGAAAGCTAACAGACCCCAGGCTTGGACAAGACACACAACCCAGAGTTCACCACCTGCGAATTCTACCACGCTTACGCAAACCTCGACCACCTAATGACCATGACTGAAGAGCTTCTCTCGGGGATGGCAGCTTTCATTGAAAATTTCAACACAAAAGGCACACTCAACCCGACAACAGCCAACTTCACAACCCCCTTCCGCCGCATCGACTTCATCACCGGCATTGAAGAGGCCATAAATCGCAAACTCCCAGACCTCGAAGACCCCAAAGCCCTCGAACAAGTTCGCACCATCTTCACCGACCTCTCCCTCCCTCTTCCCCAAAACCCCTCCCTCCCCCGGCTCCTCGACGAGCTCTGCAGCCAATACGTGGAGCCGCAATGCATCGACCCAACCTTCATCATCAACCCACCCGAATGCCTCTCCCCACTCTCCAAATCATTCCTCCACCCAGTAACCAACCAGCGCGTCGCCGCACGTGGCGAGCTCTTCATCGAGGGCAAGGAAGTGGTTAATACATACGAAGAGGAAAACTCGCCGTTTGAGCAGCGCCGCAAATTCGAGGATCAGATGCGGTTCAGCAAGGATGCCAATGAGCCTGGCGAGATCGATGAGAGTTACCTCGAGGCTCTGGAGTGGGGTCTGCCTCCTACTGGTGGATGGGGATGTGGCGTTGATCGTCTCGTAATGTTGTTTACTGGTGCTAAACGCATCGGCGATGTCCTGCCTTTCGGGAATCTCCGGGCTGTGACGAGACGGGCTGGACAAGTTGAGTGATATAGTGGTGAATGGATTGTACGATAGTAGAGATGAATAATATCATAAAACTATAACTTAAGATTATACCGTTACATTGAACAGTCCCTGCTTCCCTGCTTAGCACCGCCACTAACCGCTAACTTAACTTATCGTGATAAAACTTGAAGCGGGGAACCTTCATTCTCTTCAATTCCTCATGGATGGAAAAATGGCGCCCGTGGCACAGGCGGTTACTGTGAGTCTGCAGGAACTCATCGATGGTAAGTTCTGCACTGCAACATAAAAGAGTAGATCTTAAACTATGCAGGAACTGTCTCCTTCGACACCCTGACCGAAGCCTTCGGACCAGCCTCCCTAGGCATTATCGTGGTCAAAGACCTACCCTCAACATTCGTGGAACTGCGCAAAAAAGTTCTATCCAATGCATCGTATCTCGCCGCACTCCCAGAAAGCGAACTGGGTAAGAGTGTGATACACTAAGCTCTAACCAGAGCGCAAAACCAAAACCCAACTGACGACCCACAGAATCCCTCACCAGTCCAGAATCAAAGTACCTGGTCGGCTGGTCCTGTGGCAAAGAAACTCTGAAATCAGGTCACTTCGACACGCTCAAGGGCTCTTACTATGTCAACTGCGCCTTCTACCAAGACCCATCGTTGGATAGTGCGCCAGCGGAAGGATTCCCTGATCTACCGCAGTACACCGCACCAAATATCTGGCCTCCACCAGCGAAACTCCCCGAATTCAGGGGTAGCATTGAATCCCTCTGCGGTCTGATAATCGATACGGCAGCTTTAGTCGCCAAAGCCTGCGATCGCTACGCCGAAGCAAATATCGAAGGCTACAAGCCTGGGTATCTGCACCACGTCGTAACAACCAGTCTAACCACAAAAGCAAGATTGCTACACTATTTTCCCGGAAATGACAACATCGCCGATGCCAATGCCGAAGCTGATACCGAAGCTGATGACGATGACTGGTGTGCCACACACCTCGACCACGGCTGTCTAACTGGCCTGACATCAGCCATGTTCCTCGACGAAGCGGCTTCACCACCGGTTGTAGAGTCCGCTACATCTATCCTTCCCGAACTGCCCCAATCCCCGGACCCCTCAGCTGGCCTGTACATCCGCTCGCGAACAGACGAGATCGTCAAGGTCAATATCCCTAAGGATTGTCTTGCCTTCCAGACTGGCGAAGCGTTGCAGCTTATTACGCACGGAAAGTTCATGGCTGTTCCGCATTTTGTTAAGGGGGCGAAGTGTATCCCCGGTCAGAAGATTGCGAGGAATACTCTTGCTGTGTTTACGCAGCCGAATTTGGAGGAGGAGGTTAGGCCTGGGCTTACTTTTGCTGAGTTTGCTAGGGGAGTTGTGCAGAAGAATTATTAGGGTTGCGAGATGTGCGAATCTATCCATTCTATCTCTTGTAAGCTAAATTAGATTGCCTTTTGTCTGTCGTACTATACGAAGTAGTGGGTAGTACTATAACCGAAAACGGCAAACCACATCATCTCCAATTCTAATCTCAGGGGCTACGAAACCCAATACATTGAAAAGCACAGCGAACGCCACGCTCAGACCCAGAGTGACGCATCTAAGCACCTCGGCATAAAATGTCGGTATCGACAAAGTTGCCAAGAACCGACCCGAGTAACCCTCACTCGCTGCCACGATGCCGAATCTCCACACGTACCAACTCTACTCCAACGCAATCCCAAAACTGCGCGTTGATCGTGGGGTTCTCCGCATTTCCCCATGGTTTTGTTGGCGCGGAGATGATTGGTCTGGCGTAGATCATCCCTTGATGCGTTTTGCGCTAGGGCGTACGGATCAGTAGTTTGTTTCCACTGCTTCTCGATATTACTCCCTCTTTGGGGTGGTTTATAGGCTCGTTTCTTGTTTTTGGGCGCCGTTGATCCGCTGGCTATGGTTGTTGATCCTTTCATTTGCGTATGGGGGGAGACCTTGGACCTTGGACCTTGGGAGATCGGTTGTGATCATACTGTACTGTTCATGGTGGCTAGGGATGTCTATATAAAGCCAATGGAATTCGCAATCGAGACGAGTCTTCTGCTTCTGTTAAGTCTGTTGAATCATAATCCCAGGCAAATACCTCGAACCAATCCATTCTGCAAACTATACCGTAACCCTAACTATCAACCCACCCCCTTCCTCTTCTTTACACAACCCACCACCACAATGTCCCACGAAGAAAATGGCATCAGTGTCAAAGACACCAACCAAACCTCCCCCTCCTCCTCCTCTTCAAATGATGACATTGAAACCGGCCGCTTTGGCCCCCTGGCCCACGTCAACACTGCCGAAAGTCGCTATGCAGCCTTCGGCGGCGAGGCTCAACCAGGTCTATGGCGAGTACCTAAGGACCGCAAAATCGCCAATCCTGCGCCGTTGGGATTATGCGGTTTTGCTCTGACGACTTTTATTCTGGGGTGTATTCAGATGGATGTGAGAGGTGTTACGCAGCCTAATATACTTGTTGGGCCTGCTTTGGCTTATGGGGGGCTTGTGCAGCTTTGTGCTGGGATGTGGTATGTATTTCTTTCTCTATCCATGGGTTTATAAGGGGGTTTCTGAGGTGATAGTTGCTAACGATTATCTGCAGGGAAATGGCAATTGGAAATACATTCGGTGCCACTGTCCTTTCCTCCTATGGTGGATTCTGGATATCCTTGGCCATTACTTTCATCCCCGGTGGGTTTAATATAATGGGTGCGCTCGAGGAAGCGGATGGGGGTCTCCTTTTATGTTCTACAATTCTTTCGCTCTATACCTGATGGTTCGTACCAACCTATCATTTCAATGTCCACGTGAAAAGCTAACTCTTCTCCCCTAGGGCTGGTTCATCTTCACGACCATAATCATGTTCCTCACCCTCAAATCCACCGTCGCATTCTTCTCCCTCTTCTTCTTCGTCGATCTCGCCATCCTGATGATCGCGCTTGGATATTTCTATCCCACCGGTGCATTGCCAAATGCAAATTTGCTCAAAGCCGGTGGATTGTTTGCGCTCCTTGGTGCGTTTTTGGCTTGGTATAATGCTTTCGCTGGTATTGCGGATAGCAGTAATAGCTTCTTCTTGCCTCCTGTTGTGCATTTCCCTTGGTCTGAGAAGAGACGGTCTGCTAGGATGAGTAAGAAGAATGATGTTTGAGGGTTATGATATGACGTTATGATTTGTTGGCTATTTTAATGGCTGTATGTTTGTGATGTATGTGAGACAGGGTAATGAGAATAGGTTTGAATTTAACGAGCTCGTGGATGCTATTCAATCAGTTTAGTAATATAAGATAGTTAGTTATGCGAATCTTAGATGTGTATCTATTGAAGACAACAATATTGTTGTAATTCAGATTTAACTGAGTAAATTAGAGACAGGCGAAAAAATACAATCATTTGTATGATGTATAAATAGCTTGGTTTATGCAGCTTCATAGGTTTGAGGACTAAACAAGATCCGAAAGAACGGTCTGGACGAACAAACCAAAACAACGAAAGACCCTTATCATAAAATGCAACAAATGGAAAATAAGTCGCACCGGAAACTAAAAAAAAAAGCAAATTTATACCAAGTCACGTGCACACGAACATCAACACAGCACCCCATGCGGGGACGCTAATATCATGTATAAGGCTATGAACTGAATACTTCTCCGTTATTCGCGTCCTGCTCCTATCTTCTTTATTATATCCTCTCGTTGCCATCTACGCGGCTCCTGCTTTATTTTAATTGTAATCCAAGGTTCAATATGTATGGATTTGAGTGGGATGGCGCACACAGGTTTAGCGACGCGGATTTGGATCGTCCCTGTGCCAGTTGTGGTGTGATGGTTGGCGACCATCCTGCCAGCCAAGAATATTGTAGGGGAAGCAGAATTAGAGTCGCTTCGCCCAGTCCATCCCTTGTCGTCGGACAAGGTCTGAAGTCTACAAGGCCTAGAGTCATTTCGAAAACCAGCATCCCCACGGAATTTGTGCCTCGACACAGGAATGATACGTCTGATTCACTTTTCCAACCTGGTACCACGGCTAAGGCTTCATCTGTTCCTCGTCGTTTCATTAATCAAGACAACCCCAATGAGTTTCTCATCTACACCGATGGTTGCTGTTTGAACAATGGCCAAGCGAATCCAAGGGCTGGCTGCTCAGCCGTTTTCAGACCGCCAACTCAAACGCGCCAATATTATGGCCGTATGAGCTTTGCTCTCGAGAACAGAGGCCCCACTGGCGAGCCACACCCGCAAACAAGCAACCGTGCAGAGCTGCGAGCCGTCATTGCAGCTCTGCGGCTCCGAAGCTGGGCTGGTGAGGGGTTCTGTAGTCTTGTCATTGCTACCGATTCTACATATGTGGTCAAAGGTAGCACGGACTGGGTATGGTCATGGATGCATTACGACTGGGAAACAAGAGCTGGAACGCCAGTTAAAAACCAGGACCTTTGGCTGTGTCTTTTTGCCGAGATAGAAAAGGCGCGTAGGTCAAGGTTGAGCATCAAGTTTTGGCATATTCCAAGAGGTTGGAATGAGGTGGCAGACTTTTATGCCAAAGAAGGGGCGGAAACAGAGAGACGTGATCGTTTTACGGACTTGGTGTCCCCTAAGGATTAATTTTGGAACTGAGGCCTTGATATCCATTGCTCATAGAACCACGTCGGTCATGAGCTGATTAATGGATACATGTAGATTTTACGTCGTTCAAGTCTTCAAGCGAAGGAAATACGTATTAGAAGAGAATGAGAAAGGAACAAGCGTACAGCGCATGTCAAATTCGCACAAGCCACGTGTGATTTATCTACTGTACGTACATATATCCAGCAATTACCCCCGTGGGGCACGAAGGAACTGGTCGCCAGTGCGGAGTACAAGACATGCTTACAATATATATGTGTAACCAGAATTTTGATATGAACTGCATAATTTGCTGAGCTCATGGAAATAAGGCAAAGCTGATATCGGGTAAATGCTGGATCGGGGTTTCCGGTTCAAGTACCTCGGAAAGATGAATTGAGGCGAGAAAGGGGCAATGCTGGGCAAAGAGGATAAAGTACGAAGTACAGTGCATAATTACGGGGCGACAAGGGACAAATAACCTGACTTGTAGGGAGATTCATGATCGAATTAACTTTGTGTATTTCGAGCTTCGGTAAGTAGCTTGAAAGAAGAGATCCACTCTAGTTTCCCAACAATCACATTGTGGACCTTGTCAAATGAACATTATGGAAAAGTCATGATATTTACTGGAACCAGGCCATTTTGAATCAATTGCATATTGAGTGGACTAGACCGAAAATTCCGGAGTACGGAGTAGAGTTCTCCATTTTTGTAAACACCTTTAGCTTCATCCCTGATGTCGACAGCTGCACGGTTGATCGTCATTTATGTCCGGCCAAGGATGAGTTTTAATTGAACGATCTCGGTGGGTCGATTGATAGCTCGATTTGAAGAACCTGAAATCTTGTTGATCACTTCCGTGGCATAGCTAGTGCTGTACATCATCTCCTCTACGAGCAAGAAGTGGAACTCTTAGTATCTGTAATTCTCTACGACCAGGCCTTTTTCGCCCAGATATTTAATGCCTCTCTGCTCCCTGCTGTCAGTCTCTCATACATCTCCAGTCTCTCGTTCCACCCCCTTCATCCAACTTCCATTCCACTCTTTCAAATTTCACCATGTACGCCTCCAGCATCATCGTCTTCGCTTTGAGCGCTTTGACTGCCACCGCCTCCCCTGTGACGCCCTCCCCTCTTGTCTCGCTGAAGGCTTACTGCCCCGGCAAGTACTTCGTCAACCCTCAGTGCTGCTCCACCAACGTCGGAGTCGCCGCTTTTGACTGCAAGATCCCTACCGGTGCTCCCTCCAGCCTTGAGGACTTCAAGAGCACCTGCTCTGCTGAGAAGAAGGATGCTCTGTGCTGTCTCATTCCTCTGGTATGTTCCATCCGAAACAGAATGTTTGGCTATGATATCTAACGAAGTATATAGGGCGGTGCCGACCTTGTTTGCAAGGAGCCCCAGCAGATCTAAGGGATCTCTATAGGCGAGAACTTTACCACGATACCCGAATATCCGAATACTCGAATTCCATCACCGATCTCCTCCAACAGTCAATATGAGGGAAGGTCGGAGGAGATATTCGAGAGGACTGGGACAAAAATATGATGTACATAATAACCCATGAGTCGCATAAACTTAATCAGATGTGCCAGCGAGGCATTATTATGCTCCAGGAACAAGACCATGTGCATAGTAATATTCAACAAGCTATATGGTGTCTTCCGTAGTTCGTGTAATACGTTGGAAGGGGGAATCAATAGTGAATTAAGTCTACCAATTGCGCAATTGAAGACGGACGTATATAAGCGAAAATTAAACGCAACAGGGTGGTCCAGCCTTGCCCTGTTGCGATATCTTCTCCTCAGGTGGCTCCAAAGACCCACCAAGCGATATAGCCTTGCCGCGGGAGAAATCTAGACCCCTGTGACGTCCCTTCAGCGCGGTAACAACCAACAAAAGTTTGCTGAATGTGTGCCACTCGCCGCAGAAGGCATAGCTCTTGCCTGGGTATCCAATGCTCACACCGACACAGCTATATGCGGATACAACCTCGAAAATGATGTTGAAAGTGGAAAACGCGACGGGTTGGGCTTTGTAGTGGTCTGACTCGGCGATGGTTACAAGAAGGACCACGAAGGAAATTAACCAGATGTCGTGGCTGAATTGGGAGCGAAGTTGTTGACAGAAGAATTGGCTGCGGGCAAATCTTGAGGGATTTGAACCGATGGTTGAAGGAGAACATTTGGAGACGTCGAGTTCTTTGTCGGAGATACTAATGGACCTCGCTTTGACTGCTTCCCTTCCGCTGTCCAATGTCAATCTAAGCTTTTTGGCTAATGGGGTGATGATTCCATACCTGATGAGTCTTGATACCGGGAAGGCAGAAAGATACTAGAAGGAAACCGTTAGATACCCTATGCTATTCTGGTACGTTTAAGCTCTCACCATCATAAGGGCTAGAAGCGGGTTATTAGCAAGTAATCTCATTATGGTAATTAATTGAAGCACATACCGTATAGAATAAGTAATGCCTGTGGCAGTCCATCGAATGCCACGACGGAGAAACCGCCGCCACGCACAGCTTTGTGAAGTTCAGTTAGCTATATTACAAAACAGTGGGCTGTAGAACATACCTAAAGCCTGGAAGAGTCCATCTAGAACTCGGTATCTGGCAGAAAGTGCCGCAATCTCTATGTTGTAGAGAGCAGAAAGCTCGAAAGCTCCCCACATGATTCCATTGAGCATCAAGACTGTGCCAAATAGAAACCATGTATGCCAAGAAGGATATAAATAGGCGCAAACCTACCGGTATAATTAGTCTCAGCTTTCTATGAATAGCCAGGAACAACTCACGTCTTGGGAATGGGCAAGAGTCAAATCGAAAACTCCCCGCCACGACTGCCAGGCTGGTTTCTCCGGGATCATTTTGCTAATAACCCAGATGGAAAGTCGGAGCAAGCAAGGAAACAGTGTATTTCCGGCAAGTATAAGAAAACCAGTGACGAGAAGGGGAGTAGCCCTGTACAAATAGGTTAACAAACGGTTCAATGATTATCGGCAAGGAATAAACCACCCACTCTTGTTGAAAGGGACCCATATTGGCACTGAGGAGGGACATGCCATTGTTGGAAAACGCAGATATAGCAAGGAAAGTGCCTGTCCAGAAAGGGGAAACCCCATCTACTTGTGCAATTTCTGGACGACAATATTTCATCCAAAGCCCTAAGCATATAATGCCGAAGGAAAGAAAGGCGATGTAGTAGAGTACTACAACTGCCGAGATCAATGAAAGTGCCTTGTACTCTGTCCATCCTGGCTCTCCACAATCGATTGGACTGCTCTTGCTCAGATCCTTTTTGATTTGTTGCATTATGCTCTTCAATTTGCCGACCATGAGGAACAACCGGGTTTTGGCGTCACAGACGTTTGTTTCGTCACCTATGACAGTGATGGTAGTGACTCTTTGGCATTCATCCAACATATTCTGATGAGTGACCATGGTGCAGTCGTTGTATTTCGATGATACATCATCTTTGGACTTTTCAAGGGTCGAAATATCGGCTGGTACTTCTCCTTCTGTCGCGTTTAGACTGGTGATTTTGACAGATAGGACACCATCCTTGTCTTCAGAAAGCTGCTCTGTCTGTATCTGCACGATTGACGTGTGAGTAACGGTCTGATCACCATTCTTTCTGCGTGCATCTTTCAAAAGAGAGCGGAGACTTCGGGCGCGTAGGAAGGAGAGGATCCCGAGGATGAAAATAACATGGCCGAAGATTAAAAGCGAACATAGGGTGCCTTGTTGTATACCATTAAGGGTAGCCAGGTCCAGCTGTGAAACATGTCAACCATTGAATCCGGATCTCGAATGATCAGCTGTATAGACTTACCACGTTCAGCCCTGTACCTATCATAGCACTGAAGCTCATGAACAACGCGTCAGCATAGTGGAGATCATGGATCGGCGCCGCTGTAGTGTACAATATGACACTGCCGATCGCAGACATGAAGATGAAATATGCATAATGCAGAGTCAGGGAGTCCAATCCTCGTAGAGAAGCCATGATCGGCATACTCAACTAGGAGTCGTCGTAAGCATAATGAGCGAGTCTAGGGCAGGGATATGCAAATCAATATAAGACAAAACCCAGCAGCACAACAGTGCTCCCTGTTTGTGCAATAGGGCCTCGATCGCACGTGGTATACTACTCGGGCACCCTTCCTGTAAGGAATGCTGGCGCGGTACTATCTGGCCATGGTCTGGCCCTCCCCTGGCATCTGCTTCTAGGAGATAATAGCTGGGCACATTACTTGTTGCATCAGACCCGTCAATTTAGAAAATGAGGGTAACACAAATAAACGCAAGGCTTAATGGACTCTAAGGGACCGACCCGCTGGATTCTGCAGACGCAAGGCTCAAATATGTGGGCTTGAGCTATTCGGAATTCTCCGAAATTTAACGGTCTGGGCAGCTTGCAATTGACGACCACTATCTAGTCATGTTAACGCATGTCCCTATGTCAATTGGCTGTGGTAAATATCGGAAGTATGTATAAACCGTCGGTTGCTGCAACATGGCTCGGGACTCAATATTTCTCCGTTTTTGGCCCCAATGCCCAGCCCTTGATCTTGTCATTCTTGGATTAGTCTCTCGGAAGACCGGCTGATTAACCTGGCGGAATCCCTAGTTTAAATGGACTGTGTATCTGGGAGCAATACACCCACCCCCTGCATATGAACTGTTTTGATATTGAAAGCTCGGTCCAACGAGCATGGTCATTCTTCCTCGACTAATAATATCAATTGGACACAGAGACACCTTTATCAGCCCCTGTCACGATACCGTGGCTAATTGATAGCTCTGCATGTGCCCAAGGCGGCTGACGAAAGTGCACCTATAATTCATGATATCAAGCCCGGATTTTGGGTGGCGTACATTATCGATTGCAACTAGTTCAGCTGACTCGAACATCCCCGAAGGATGTACTATCGAGCCGACCCACCAGCAATGAATACCCACAATTCTTATCGGACTAAGAATGAACAGGTCATGCAGGAAGAAGCAGTGGCGTAGGTGGTTCCAGACTCCATCCCTCCAAGGGACACCGTGGAACTCTTCAGACAAGCTCGAGCGTATTCCATCTATCAAATATAAAGATGTCGGAGAGTCCGCCTGTAACGAAAGATGACATCGTTCTGCTAGGAATCTGTGGTACTTATATGGTCACGCCACCCTAACAGCGAGTTAAGATAGACTGCCATATACGTAAGGGCCGGTCTAGATTCGAATATGACGATTAATTTACTGGCCCTCAATCGGATACATATAGTGCTTCTGCACTGATACTCTTTTTCCTGCCATCCCCTAATTAACGGAATGTCGCCCACCATGACTACATCAATCACATCGTCCGACAGCCAATGTGTTAGTCCTTCCAGCAGCAACTTCACCTCCTCTACATACGCAGATGTAAATCACGGTCCCTATTTCTACAATTTAAGCGACCTGGTATCACCTTCTCCGCCGGGCGAGGATATTCTCGCCGGTGTTGTCTCCGGGTTTTATGGTCCTGGTGCAGTGGGCGGTTGGCTCTTGAGCTGCGCGTCATTCCTGCTTTCTCTCCTGTATCCTGATAAGGCTACACATGACGCGCTGAACAATGATTTTCTTGTTTCGATCCTCTACCCTGCTATTGCATCGGGCGACTTGATAGTCCAGTCTACAACGGCTACCACCATACAACTTGACATATCCTTGTGGAACTTTTATGCTGAATGGCGCAAAGCAGGGCACAGTGGTACCCCCGGTCCCTTTAATGAGTGGGTTCAGCAACCTGGTCGTCACCGAGTGTTTGGTGTGCCTCATGCGGTACCAGGGGGCGAGATCCCCTTGGGATTCTGGGCCCTGAAGTATACGACGTTCGCGTCTCTGGCTATTATCCGCATCTCACTTGTTGTCTTCTCGACTTTCTTCATTTTATCAGCGTTACTCTCCCCTAACCCTCAAAACACCCGTCGGCGAACAATTATCACCCTTTGCGTTATGGGGTTTTCGATAATTTCGCCTCTTGTATGCCTTACAAGCAGCTGGCGGACCTACGTGGATTTTCTTGACTTGGCGCAGACCCATGATGGACGACAGCCGAAGGAGTCAAAAAGCGTCCTTATATGGTTCAAGTACAGACTAGGCACCCGCGGGATCATCTTCTCAGACTTCGGCATCGTTATTGTCTTAGTGCTTGTCACTATCTTTCTCAGCCGATGGAAGCGACCAATGTGGTTCATGAGTTCCTTTATTCTTCTGGTTAGTGTTTGCCTAGCTAACATACTATTTGGCTTCCGTGGCAGTCGGATTGGCCAAGAGTCGCTAACACTGAGCTGGGACCCTTCTCTGGGCTATAACTGGCCCAGCTTTATTATGGCCAATCCACTTTTTCCACATACGGCAACTCGCCTTGGGGATTTGGATCAAGCAGTTGCCTTGGCCGCTGGCGGTGCATCGGTACTATTCTCGCTACGTGACTTAATGCTTGCAAGAGGCTACTACCCAACTCTGTCCCGGGCTGTCATATTCGACAAAGCCAAGCGAAACATACAACGGTTCAATCAAGGCGGAGTTAATTGTCTTGGAAAGGCCCAGACACGGCTTAAAAGGCTGTTTACAAGGTCCTAGACGCTGGGCGGACGTGTTCATGGAGGCAGATTTCCGTGGTTTTGGAAGACCCCGAAATTCGATGCCATGAATAATCTGCCGCATACTCATTCTGACGATGGTGTACAGTACATATAGGGTGGTTGAAGTGGCCAGCTCGCTTAGGCACTTGAATGACCATCTTACAAATTTCTAAAGGGGGTTTCAATTGCTATCACTTGATAGGCTAGCATCGCTCATTCAAATAACTTCGTAATTCCAGGGTATCACATTGCGCCATCAAAGAAGAAAAAGCCCACCAAAATCAAATCACAGGGCGAAATCACTCTCATCCTCACTTTTCGGGATTGTACGCGGGGGAGCGAGTCCTGGACCAAACCCTTCCTCCACATCATCAGAAGTCTCTTCCTCGGGAGCACTGCCAAGAGCAGAGCTAACCAGCTTGCTAGTCTGAGCCACCTGCGCAAGACCAGTCTTCGCCTTCATCGAGCTAGGCTTCTTGTTCTTGGCACCCTTGGGGCGACCAACGTTGCCACTGGTGGGAGGAATGCCAGCGCGCTTGACCAATGCGGGAGTGACCTCTCCACCCAAAATCCTGAAGATGGCTCTCCATTTGGCAGGGGTTTCGCGCTGGGGAGCAGTCATGTCGCATTCTAAGCCGTTGATCTCGACTATGCCCAGTGTTTCGATGCGGCTATCGCCCCAGAACCAGGTGTTGCCTTCTGGCATGCGTGTGTCGACGCTCTCGGAGAAGTTGCGGCCGTGCATGACGCCGCCGAGGTCGTATCCGAATTCGCGTCTGTTGAACATCAGGTCGGCTGCGAGTGGCTCATAGCAGCGGCCGAGGATCATGTGCTGGCTGATGCTGGGGGACTTGTTCTTTCCGACGGCGACGTGATACCAGGGGCCATAGGAGGACATGCCGACTTGGCGGAAGGTTGCGGTTGCTTCTTCGTTGGTCATTGGCTCGAGAGGAAATTGACTGAATGGCTCGCCGTTCTTGCCCCGGTTTGGGTTGGTGGTGTAAATTTGGCCGGTGATGAGCACGGAGTACTTCTTGGCAAGATTGGGAGAGGTTCGATCTTCGATGCAGTCCCTAAGAAAGAGGCTGATGTTGTCAATGACCATAACATCGTTGATTTGAGCGGCCTTGCCATCCAGCGTATCGTCAAAGCTGTAGCCTCGAGGCTTGAGGCGAACGGTATCGTGTACAGCGAGTAGCTCGGCACCAATCCAGATTCCCTTGCAGCTGATTTTCATGTTGGGCCAGGTGCCCTTGACATGAACCTTGTGCACCACGCTCCACGAGGACATGACGGTCAGGGCGTTTTCAATTGAAGGATGTAGCTCATCGCGGGATTGACCATCCAGATATAGCTGCCAGGTGTTAAATGGCTTAACACATCGAAGTGGTAGGTATCTGGATTGAACTGAATATGACTTGTCAAGGCCAACGGGATCAGGGAGAAGCTCCACACGAAATCCGTGGTCACTCAGCTCCTCGGTGGTGTAGGAGTTCTCAGCAATCTCCAGCATGTGAACTTCGGTCTCAGGAGCTTGAGTCACCACACCGGCACGCCAGTTAGGCACATGCCAGCGGCCGTAATTGTCGCGGATTTCAATGTGGCCATTCTCAGGGTTGCGCAGCAGGCTTGAGTTATCCTCCATGTCCCAAACACAAAGTACGAGCTCGCCACAGCGAGGGACGAAGGACGGGTCAAGAACAAGCTTGTTGAAATAGTCAGAGAGCAATGCGTCGGACAGAGCCCAGTCAAAGTTGGTAGGTTGCTTATTGGGTTCATCGATGGTACCCTTGGCCTTCAACTTAAGTATGTACTCCCGCCAGTAATCAGGGTTCTTGTCGTCATTGGGCCGACCAGGGCCGCGAACTACTTTCGATGCTAGTGAATGATCAGTGTGCGAGCCATGGATATCAGAGCATAAACACCCACCCGGTCGAACTGTAGTCGGTTTGGCACCTCCCATCTTGCTGCAGGGTTTGCACTCGCACTCACTCAGCTTGCCCTGAGCCATGGCAAGGAAGTGAGTGAAGAAGGTTGCCTGGGACTGGAAGTACTGTCCGCTGGGATGCCCGTAGAGGAAAGGGTCACGCTGGACGTGAAATCGTTAGCTGGCGGATGCATGTAGGTGCAAGCAAGCGGACTCACCATCAAGGGATTGGTGCCGCGCGGTCTGTCAAAGAGGCAATAGCCTTCAGGTAACTCTGAGATAGTGTATTCGTCGCCTGTGCATGTCGTTTGTCAGTCCAGCTCGGTAAAGCCACAGAAGCGCGTTGCACGAATGCATCTGGTCTATGTGTTCATATCATAGACCGCGTTAGGGAGGGCAAAACACCGGTACAGGCTTACCTTCCACATAGCTACCCTGAGACTTGAGCCAGTTCTCTGCGAGCAACTGTCTCCAGCGAGAATCGTCGCGTGGCTTGTACGGGAACGCGGGCCAGGTATTGACGTCCCCATCGCTTTGGAAGTCACCCATGGAAATGACAACCACATTGGAGTCATCTTCATCACCGTCAGAGCCCTGCATGATGCAAGTCTGAAGCAGCAAGGCCCAGGGTAAACAAGAGACAAAGAGAGGGACTAATCGGACAGAAAACGCGAGGCTTATCGATAAGTTAACTGCCAGCATTTGAGGGCGGCGTCGAGGTATGCATAAGGCGGTGTGCACTGATTCAAATATTTACACATCAAGGGCTGAGCTGGCTTTTCTATAAAATGCAAATCTAAATAGGTCAATATCATGCATTGCAGCACAAAACCCAAGGTAGAAACGCGTGCTATCCATCATTATATAGAAAGTTTCATTATCTATGCTCAAGCTGTAGGATGTACACTCAATTGAGAGTCCCCTCAACAACAGCCTCAACAACCTCCTCAGAACCAGAATGTTCTTCTTCCTGATAAGGTGGAGGAGCAATTTCGCCTTCGCCGCCACTAGACCAAACCTTCTGAAGCTCATTATTGATATCATCACGACGCTGCTTCCACTCATCAACCTTATCCAAACGTTTCCGAAGCTCCTGCAATTCCTTCTCAACACCCAACTTCTCCTTCTCCGTCCCAATCCTCTCAAACTCCCAGACCCCCCTTCACCACCGAGCCCAAGAGTTAAGTTGTAAGTATGATATTTCTTCAACGACGCCCGCGTCGAGATGGTGATCAGTGTAATACCGCGCTCCTTCGCTCGCTCGTATAGCAAGCCCTCGACATCAGAGGAAACGGCTGACGTGCCCTCATCCATAAATGCATATCGTGGCTCGTGGTAAAAGAGCCGGGCCATGCCCATGCGCTGCTTTTCTCCGCCGCTGAGCACGTCTTTCCATTCTTTGCGCGCATCCCAGCCGCCTTCGCGTTGTGGTAGGTATCCGAGATGGGCGTCGTCGAGGATCTTCTGTAGTGCTGCGTCCGACTCGCCTGCTTCGCGCATGTCGATCTCGGTGTGCGGGTAGATTACTTGGTCGCGTAGTGTGCCGACGCTGAGGTATGGTCGTTGTGGGAGGAACATTATGCCGTCTAGGCCGAAGCCTCGGGGGCGGCTAACTAGCCCGCGGTACACGGGCCATAGACCTGCTACGATGCGTGGGATAGCGGATTTACCGACGCCGTTCGGGCCGGAGATTAGGAGGTGGTCGCCTGAGTGGACGATGAAGGAGAGGGACTCGATTAGTTCATCGCCGCCCATTGGGTAGAGGGAGGGTGCGACGATTGGGACCTGCTCCAGGCGGACCCCATCGAAGCCGTTGTGGGTTGTGCCTTGTGAATCGCCAAGGGAATATAGTTCAGGGTGCGAGCCACGTGGTGTGTAGTAAGCGTCGGCGTGGACTCTGTGTAGGGTGGCGATGAGGCCGTAGACACGGGATGTGTAGCCGGCCAGCTCTGAGATGTCCTTGATGCTGTACATCATGCGGCCTCCGGCGTCGGCCAGGGAAAGCATAAGACGCTTGTTGGTGATGAAGTCCTTCATGCGGCCACGCTCGCGGCCGATGCCTTCCGGTGCATCGGCCAGCTCCGTTGCACCTCCAGTGCCACCCCAGGCCGGGAGGAAAACGGGCAAGGAAGTCACCAGGTAACCAAACGCAGACCAGGAGTACTTGAGGATCATGTCTTCGAGCATGTTGTAGCGAATCTTGAGACTGTAAATTCCCTCCATCCATCGCTGCAAGTCCTTGAAGCTTCTGACCAGGAAGACACGCTCAATATCAGCTCCCCCATAGAACGAGATTTCCTCAGCATTTGCTAGAAGTCTGGAGTGCAGGCCACGGAAGTCACCTTCCTTCTTGCCCTCTACTGCCTTGAGCTTTCCAAAAGGCGGTGATAACTTCCGGAGTACCACGGCTGTGCTGAAGTATCCAGCCAGAATACCGCTCAAGGCCAAAGGTCCCAGTGAGCGATACAGTTGGTAGTTGAATACAAAGAGATCCACCAACGGCTTGCCCATTGAGGAGTACAATGAAGCGGCAGCTGAGCAGAACAGTGTGAGATCTTGTGTGATGAATTGATCGGGACCTTGACCGATCCCACCGTCCAAGTTCATCAATTTGTAGTAGTTGTTATTGTCAGTTAGGTACAGATCGTGGATATACCTTGTCAGTCGAGTGCGGAAGGCGATGGACACCTTTGATTGGAGGAACTTGATCATGGCGTTTGTGTATGAAGCAAGAGTTCCAATTCCACACCATTTAACGATACCCCAAAGGAAACCTTTCCCCTTGCCGGCGACAAGATCTCTCACAATCTCACCATCGAGCCGTGCTATCAACAAGGAGAGATATGTTCGCATCAGAAGAAATAGCCCGTGACTCATCAGCAGCCCGGTTTCTTTGCTTCCCCATCTTGGTACCATGATACTACCAAGGCTCAAAAATTGATGCAGGAATGCCAGGTTCAACCCTGGTTTCGTTGTCGGCGGGGGTATCTGACTCGTCGAACCGTCATCCTTGCTACGGGCAGATGCCGGGGGATTGAGGAATAGGCGTCGGTGGGCGTCGAATGTAGTTGGTTTAGTTGGATGAATCAAGACCTTGGAGGTCATGGTGCCCTTGTATGGCACATAGATTGTACGGGAGCCATCTTTACCCCGGATACCCGAGTTCCGGCGCAAAAGACGGCGACCCTGAGCTCGTTCCTTTGCTCGCCCTCGCAGCCATTTGTAGCCTCCATACCCTGAGCTGATGATCGAGAGGAGCAGGGCTATTGTAGCAATGAGGCGCGTTGTCTGGGATGTGCGGCGAACCTTGGAGCGTACTAAATCGGAGTAATGTTGATACAGCGCCAGAAGGGGATCTTCTGGACGCCGAAGTGTTGACTGGACGGCCATATTCACCCCAGGAAGTGACCTCGCGAGTTGAGCGATACTCCCTAGACTGGACTGACGGCCATGAAGATGTGAAAGGGAATCCAAAGGGGAATGTGAAGTTGGGGGCATACATCATTGCATGTGAACCTCGGATGCGGAGAACCTCACGTGGGGAAGCTGACTGTACATCCAGCCCTGTTCAAAAGGTAAGCAGGCAACTTATGCAACTTGTTAAATATAGATGAAGGGACCATGCGCAAACTAGCACCTCACGTGGGATATCCTTAGATGTGATGTTGCAATGGTATGACTAGTGGTCACCACTAGGAAACAGGGAGTAATTATCATAACAAAGTATAGGTAGTATCGCCTATTGCCTAGATGGAAACAATGGCAACAGTAACAGTAACAGTAACAGCCAACAGCCAACAGCCAACAGCACAACAATCAGTGATCCAACTATAACACACTTTCTACTGTCTTGCACGGGTAAATCCCGAGAGAAACAGACCAAAGGCCATAGCTCCATAGAAAAAAAAAGGGGCATGGAAATTATCCGATCGTATTTGATTTGGTCCAGACCCTAACCTGCGTAGCCGCTGAGGGCTTGAGTAGCGTGTGAAAAGGGCCAGTTAGCGTCGAAAAAAGGAATTAAACAAGACTCGAGTCACTTTCCCCCGTTTCTCACACCGTACACGTGACATCCCCAACTCCTCTCTCCTCTTCTATCCCTATTGACTGCCTGCATCTTGCTTCCCCCTGCTCTTTGCCTGCTTATTGCAACATAGTGGTGTTGGCTTACGGCCAAAGGCGGTGCCACTTCTTTCCCCAGGGCGCTTGCTTATCCAGGCGTGTTAACAACCCCCGTAGCCGCGCTCTACCTTTGTGAGGGTTCCGGCATTGCTTCAGGCCTTTTGAATTGCTCGTCACTTTGACACTGCTTTTTGCTCATTTGTGTCGGTAATACTGACACAGCCATCCTCAATGCGTGGAGAGAGCACGGGGCGAGATATCTCACCCTCAGCTCCGGAGTCCACAGACAAAGCAACCATGGCCACTGACAATCCCGACCCAGCCAGTAAGTGATTTGCGCATGCGATGCATTAAATGTTTAGAGGGTAATAATGACTGACACTTTTCGCCCCATAGACCCTGAGTCCTCGGAGCAGGCTCGGACCACCGATGCGACCGAGACGCAGGACGCAACTGCCGTCGCACCCTCTGACCCAGCCCCGTCCGCTGCAATCTCCAATGCTCCGGCTGTCGAGGCCGCAGAGACACCTAAGAAACGTCTTTTGTCGATCCCGATCCCCTCGCGACGATCCTCGAAAACCAATAAACAAATTCCCCCGGTGAAGACCGAAGAAGCGCAGGATGAGCCTACTCGCAGAAGCTCAAAAGTGAGCATTCTGCGGGCGAAAAGAGATCCAAGCCGGGCAAGCAGTCGTCGGTCACGCCGGACTCAGGACGTGGCGAACGGAGAGGAAAGCAAAGAGGCCGCTGCGCCCGAAAGCACTCCAAAGCTCCAGCCCAAGAAGAGCTCATCCAAGCTTCTGGCGTTCCTGGGCTGCTGCTCTTCGGCGGATGTTGATACGGACGACACGACTGTGCCTCCAAAGAAAACGAACAGGCAGCAACCGGCCTCGAACCGGCTTCCCACCCCAGACAAGGCGGACGCTCACACCGGCGACTCCAGCACTGCAGAATCAAGGGAGCCATATTTCGACGAGAAGGCGCACTCGACAGTCAGCGCGGACCAGCCGGGCGAAGAAGAGCGCAACGTTCATGCGACCGCGACTGGCGCGCAGAGCGAGGGTCCTTCTGCGGCTGTCCGAACTGAGGCTTCTGGCCAGAACAGCGAACCCGAAGTGTCTGCGCCTGTTGAGTCTGCAGATGCAAATGGATCAGTAGATGAAAGTAAGCCGGAAGGATCCACTCAGGATCTGGATGCGCAAACAAAATCCATTGAGGAGCCTGCTCCTTCAACCGCCCCCACGAAATCTCTCGCCGTCGACGATCAACCAGAGCCCGTCAACCAAGCGGACATAGTGACACAAGCCCCGATGGTGCTGCCTCCTCCCCCGCCAGTTCCTGCTCCTCCTGCTCGGGCTGTCTCAGAGGATGGGATGCGTCCGTTGCTCCCTGCGCCTCTACCTCACCTCAGCGGCCGAAAGTGTCTTGTTCTGGATCTAGATGAAACGCTTGTTCATAGTAGCTTCAAGGTAAGCATCTGCGTATTTGACATTCCACGTACCTCCGCTGACCCATCTGCCAGGTTCTCGAGCGTGCCGACTTCACTATTCCTGTGGAAATTGAAGGACAATACCACAACATCTATGTCATTAAGCGGCCAGGCGTGGATCAATTTATGAAGCGTGTTGGCGAGCTGTACGAAGTAGTGGTCTTCACTGCCTCAGTTTCAAAGGTAGGACCATCATCCCTTGTCTTGAAGCCCATACTAACAATGTATAGTATGGTGATCCTTTGCTGGACCAACTGGATATTCACAACGTGGTTCACCACCGCCTATTCCGAGAGAGTTGCTACAACCACCAAGGAAATTATGTCAAAGTGAGTTCTTTCCCCCTCAAGACTGACCACATCTAACAACCATCAGGATCTTTCACAAGTCGGTCGTGACTTGAAGGAGACGATCATCATTGACAACTCCCCCACCTCTTACATCTTCCATCCTGAGCACGCGATTCCCATCAGTAGCTGGTTCTCTGACGCTCACGACAACGAGTTGCTTGACCTTATCCCGGTCCTCGAGGATCTTGCCGGGACGCAAGTCCAAGATGTCAGCATGGTCCTGGACTGTACCTTGTAAATTCCTCGGATCTTTCTTACGCCTGAGATTCCCATTTTGAGCGAGTTGTTTTCTTTTCTGCGCCAGAAAAGCCCTTCCTTTGCATTCCCCTCCACTGCCATTGACGGGTAGTCACCCTGTTCTCCTACTGCCGATTTGATTCCCCTCTCGACGATGACCATCCCCGATGGAACTGGTATCCTCCTGGGTCACGGCTCGTCTGCATCTGTTGTCGTTGGGTAGCCACATGGACCTGACCATCGACCATTTGCATTGCGATTTGTTTTATCTGACCACGCTCCGAGCGAGCTTCATTCTCCCCATTGTTCTTTCCTTGTGCCTATCATCACCTCATTCATGCCGTGATCTTTCCTTGTCTTTGTATCCCTTTCCAACAAGTCCGCTTTTCATGCATTCTGCAGGCGTCTCTTGGTTCTCATGTCCTCGTTGTATCCCCCCTATGTTCCCCTTCTTTTTCTCCCCATTTCTGTCTCGCTACACAGCCCTACTGGCTTGATCTCAGCTCAATACACGAGCGTGCATTCCGTGTTGAGTCTCTTGCCTCCCCCTAGTCAGCAGTGTCTAATAACCCCTTTACGCTGCCATTTGGTTTTTGTGTACATGTCCCGACGTACATAGGTGTAGTCGGAAGAGTAGAGCAAATTGTGTTAGAGTAGAAATGGAGTTTATCTCGGGCCATCCCGCATTGAGCACTGCCGCATTGAGCGATGATGTAGTCAAGGTTTCAGTTCCTGAACCCCAACCGCGATAAGTCATCTTAGTCACTTCACTTCCAACTTTCTTCAGTTCGCAGTTGTGACGATTTTCCCGAAGCAAAAAGCTCCCCGCACTCCGACCGCCCAACTGCGAACATCCCACTTTCACCATGAAGAACAAAGAAGGCTGGGACGGAAAGATGAGGGTCGAACCCAAGGCTGTTATCACGAATCCTGAGGCCCTGGAGGACTCTGATTATTCGGATCCCGAAGCACCTCCAGTGGACGAGATCCAGGCTGATGAAGGTATCGTCCCCCGAAAAATTGCTCGCTCGGCGCGCAACCACGATCGCTGGCGACCCGATGGACTAACAGCTTCCCAGATCTCTTGGCCGACGAAGATCCGAACTCGGAGGTGAGTACAGCATTGAACCAAGCTGTTCCTGTCCTGCTGCTCGACTGCACAAGACCAAGACCACGACCTGATTGTTAATCGCGATTCCGCCGCAGGATATCGACCTCGTTCACTGCAAAATCCAGTCCATCCCCGCTCTAAGACTGGACCGTTTCCCTAAACTCCAGGTAACGCACCCTTATTGACCGTGGGACTTCGTCCCAGACAGTGAAATGAACCAGTGGCGCCATCTTCGCCCGGCGCACGACGCGCGCGTGCCATACCAAGGAAATTCAAGATTCGAGCCGGTGGGCTAATAAATGGGACTTTCTATAGAGACTATGCATGCGCCAGAACCAAATAACACGCATCGAATTCCCGTCCAACGTCGCCGCCAGCTTGACCGAACTCGACCTCTACGATAACCTCATTTCGCATCTCAAGGGTCTGGATGAGTTTCATGATCTGAGGAGCTTGGATTTGAGCTTTAATAAGATCAAGCATATTAAGAATATCTCGCATCTCAAAAAATTGACGGAGATTTTCTTCGTGCAGAATAAGATTGCGAGGATTGAGGGTTTGGAGGGTTTGACTGGGATTACGAATTTGGAGTTGGGTGGGAATAAGATTCGGGTGAGTACTTGTACTCTTTCTATGATTGAGGCAAGATGATATGGGAATACTGACTTGTCTTGCGTTAGGAACTTGAGAACTTGGAAACTTTGACGGCTCTGACACAACTCTGGGTTGGAAAGAATAAGATTGTCGAGATGAAGGTATGTCATTGAATCCCTCCTACTAAATACGACACACCCAAGAACAAGAACAAGAACCATATACTGACCACCCTTCAGAACCTAGACTCCCTTTCCAACCTCAAAATCATCTCCATCCAATCCAACCGCCTCACACGAATCACTGGCCTCTCCTCCCTGAAGAACCTCGAAGAGCTATACCTCTCCCACAACGCCATAACCGACTTATCAGGCCTGGAACAAAACGAGAACCTGCGCGTCCTGGACTTCTCCAACAACCAAGTCTCGCACTTGGAACACCTCTCCACGCTAAAGAACCTCGAGGAGCTATGGGGCTCCAATAACCAGCTCGCTAGCTTTGAGGAGGTCGAGCGTGAGCTAAAGGATAAGGAGAATCTTGAGACTGTTTACTTTGAAGGAAATCCGTTGCAAATGAAAGGGCCGGCTGTTTATCGGAATAAGGTGCGCTTGGCGTTGCCTCAGATAAAGCAGATTGATGCTAGTAAGTTGGTCTTTTTCTTTATTCTTTTGGCTGGGGTGTTTTGCTAACTTAAGGTTTTGAAGCTTTTGTCAAGGTCTGAGTTTTATATCCTCGTGAGGTATTGACTTTTTGTTATATTCCTTGGCTCGTCTTGTCTTGTCTCCTTGACCTTGACGAACGGTTCTGATATCCTCCGTTCTATGATCCAGCGAGTGGGTCAAATCTTGAAATGAGAAATGAATCTTGGAACGAATTCTTGAAAGGTGTATGTAGTATGTGTTGCAAAGCGGTGTCTAGAGCTTTCATGTATGAGTGTTTGCTTAGGCTTCTCTGCATTTGCTAAGACGAATACTCGGGGCTTACACGCCGCGAAGCTGGTGATATCGTCTTGGAAATGGCGGCCACGAATATACCGATTGGATAGTCTGCTATTCCGAGACGACTTACACCATTTGATTCTGCTCCTGCGGCCAAGAGAAGATGGACGTTGTGTGGCAACTGAGCGTTGGTGGCAGATACGATAGGCGATAGAAATGAAGGCACTGGCATCACTCCACTCGGCCCTAGGTATTGTAGTCGACGGCGTTTCCACTGGGGTACATCTTCTTCTGCACTAGATGCTGCATGACGAGCCAAAGGGACTTCCAGTCTAGCGGAGTCTGGCTTGGCCGCGGCGCGGATGATGGGGGTCTCTTGATCAGGGGAGTCATCGAGATCATCATGGATGAGCTGGCACATAACACGAGAAATGGTTTAGCAAAGGATAATAAGCTGAACAAGTTCCCAGATATACAGCGATTCTCAAGGATGGAGTCGAAAGAAGTTACAATGTGAGGTCGAGACGGAGTCTTTACAGTTCGTAATAGGGTTAGTGCGATGTCATTTTAACGTGAACTAGATCTAATACATGTACATAGGCTAGCCCTTTAGATCTCTCCTTATCTTCTTGGCAAGAGTTGTTTGCCTATTGGATCATGGAGAGATGATTCTGGAATGTTTGTCAACTTTTCATAGCCTATATAGAGGGCAATGGCAGCTGTAGATAGACTCAGTCTGCCTTTCTTTTACCCTTTCCTTTTTCAGCCCATCCTCCTTCTCGCTTGTTTAGCGGGTTCTCTTTCTCTCAGTCACCTACATACAAATATATCAGGCACCCAAGTCTCGTGGCCATCCCAAAAGCAAGGCTTGATGGGGACAGCGAGCACGTTGGCCGAATTCGTGGCTTTCGATGCGGCTGTACGGGAAGCCATATGGCTGAGCAAAGTCATCATGCATACATGTATACGTGCTCAAGTATATTTCTCCCCGTGACAACCAAAACCCCATCGGTACTGACGCAGATCCCGTAACTATAGAAATCAGTTCTCCCAGTTCTCTGATGGCTATGCGGTGGTGTTTTCTCATTGTTCTCGTCAAAGACGTTTTCGGGTGCCCCGAACGCCTTCATATTATTATAGCATGACAAGGATACACTAGGTATTGGGTGATAGTGACAATATTATTATACATTTTGCAACTTGAAAGAGACAAGAATGTGTAGCCCTTCTCTTGTGTAAGTTGTAACAGCCAATCCTGCCGGAAAGACAGGGTCCCGTTCCAGCCAGGGTATAGTACCTTGCTGGATTTTGCATATGGTAAATGCCAATTCCCCTAGAGGATGGCTCTTTCTTGGGACCTAGTGGCAGTTGGGCTCAGGAAGCATTGCGCATGTAGCCATATAGCTCACTGCAATCCGCCCTGGATTGAGTCCCCGTGAACCTGTTTCAGTCTCAACAGACTAGAAAAGACGAGGAGGGGAGAGAAGGACGTATCATCAAGAATCCGAAGACTCGCAGAGTCCATATCTATTGCTCAATAGCCAAGCAAAGAAACGCCTCATTGAAACTCCCCATATTCCTCATACTCCTTCCTCTTCTCAGTCGAATCCCCAGAAGCCCTCTGATCTTCTTGTTCCTTCAAACCCTCTTTCCAAAGATCCATCAAACTCATCGCTCCCATCCACCGATTCTCCTCCTGAATATTCTCCTTAACCCCATTCCCAATATGATACTTCTTACTCGGCAAACAATCCGCCAACTCCTTCACGGGAATCCCATCTCTGACCAAATCCTTGTACATCGGACTCGTCTTGTGCGTGTTGTATGTTGTGTAGAAGGGGTTGCGACTGATATTGGAAGGGTGGTTGTGGCGCGAGGATTGAATTTCCATTATTATTGAGGGCGGGTCGTCTGGAGAAATTTTTGAGGCGGTTTTGAGTATGGCGTTTTTATTTGAGTGTGGGACTGGGGCTGAGCCCGGTGGTAGTGGGATTGTTACGGGCGATGAGTCGATTGCGCGCTGTGCTGCGTCGGCGTTTTCAAAGATTGCTAGCATTGGTCGGTGGCGGTTTGGGGAGTCATTTGTTGTATCGTACTGTATAAGCGTGAGGGTTAGTTTTGGCTCGGCGGTTTGCGCTGTCTGGGATTTGCATTGGTGTGTACCTTGAGGTTTCGGTATGACACGACTTCGCCGTGCTTCTGGAGGGCCTTGAGGACTAATTTGCTTTCTGCTATATTCCTTGGCGTGGGCCAGGTTGTAATGTGTACTTGCGATGCTAACCGCGCCGCGGTTGAAGCTGAAGAGGGCATTGTGTTGGAGATTTGAGGTTTGGATGTTGGAGAGAGCGGAGGTTGGAGAAAAATGACCGGAGATCGGCAAGTCTTGGCGCTCAACGGTATAGATCTGACATTTCATGGATTGTTTCTATGTTTATTACAGATGGAAGACGAAAGAAGCGCTAAACTATTTTTATTCATTTATGCCATCAAAATCGTAATCCCCGTCCTTTCTTCGGACACGGGATATACTCCGCCTCTAAACAGCCAAGGCTTAGAAAATGGGAATGCCGAGACCATACTAGAAAGCCAGTCAGTAAAGAACACAAATGATAACCAGAACACAAACTTACAGCCATGGGGTCATTGAACCGAAGACCCTTGTCAAGAGCACTAATAGCCTCAAGCTCAGCACCCTCAAGATCAAAGTCCGTAACCTGCAAGTTCTGCGCAAGACGAGTAGGATCATTACTCTTAGGAATAACAGCAATCTTGCGCTGCGTAGCCCAACGCAACAACACCTGAGCCGGAGTCCGACCATGCTTCTCGGAAATCCCCTTAATAGTAGCATGCTCAAACAGCAACGGCGTATCATGCGCATGCTTAAGATTCAACTCAAGGAAACTCAACGGCCCAAACGAAGAATAAGCGGTAACAGCAAGACCCTCACCCTGCGCGTAATCCACCAACCGAGTCTGCGTCAGGTAAGGGTGGTGCTCGATCTGCAGGGTCGCAGGCCGAACACGCGCATACCGCAGCAGATCCATCAGCAGCTGCGCGCTGAAGTTGCTCACGCCAATGCTGCGGGCGAGCTTCTTGTCGACCAGCGACTCCATCGCCGCCCACGTCTCGTGGATGGGCGCGTTGGCCAGCTCGATCTTGCCGTCGGCTGTTGTCCAGCTGGGCGGGTAGCGCACGCTGGGGTCCAGGTACTTCAGTGCGATTGGGAAGTGCACGATGTACAGGTCGAAGTAGTCGACGCCCCAGTCGGCGAGTTGCTTGCGGCAGATTGGCTCGACTTTGTCGCCTTCGTGGAAGCTGTTCCAGAGTTTGGAGACGATGAAGAGTTCTTCACGTTTGACGAGGCCATCTTTGATGGCGCGGGCTACGCCCTGTCCGCATTCGACTTCGTTGCCGTAGTCTGGACTGTTGTTAGTTTCTTTTTTTTTTTTTTTACTTTCGCTGCGTGGTTTAGGGTTTGGGGGTTGTACCGCAGGCGCCGTCGAAGAGACGGTAGCCGGCCTTGATGGCGTTGTAGACTTGGTCGGCGCAGGTGTCATTGTTGACTTTCCAGAGACCGAAGCCCACGAGGGGCATCTCGTAGCCGTTGTTCAGCTTGACGGTAGGGGCAACCATTGTGAATGTGTAGATTCTAACCTCGTATTAGTGGTGACTCCGTGCAAAGAATTGGAATTGTGACTGACTTGAGGGGTATATTTTGGAAAGAAAAGCCCCCGGGGACAGGCTATTGTATTTAAGCCACGATTCAGTAAAATGTACAAGTCCAGGCTAAATGGCCGAATATAGTCCCAATAGCCTCTTTGCCAGGCCCCACTGGTATAGCGGCTAAACATTGCGCCTCATTTAGCCGGCAACATACAATTATACCAGAGGGAGAATAATAGGGAAATAGTCTGAAATAAATATATTGGTCAAATCCTTTCGATTCCCAACTCCCAACTCCCCATACTCCAGTGCTTCTCCACAAACAAGATCACAAAAAGAAGACATAAGATATAAAGTCACAGAAATAGGATCACAGACCGCTGCCAGAATGATTATCATTACCACTAGATATTTTGTAAAAAGTTTCATTATACCGTATCCACCGTAGCATTATCACCATAGCCATTCGCATGATCGGGGCCAGCCCCATGCATGCTGGGACCGTTGGACATGCGCCCGACGAACTTATCCATCAAGTCTTCAGACGGCAGAAGCTGGTCAAACTGATGAGGTTGTTGCGACTCCCGGGAGACTGGCGCGTGGTGCTCTGGCTGGAAGGGGAGGTGGTGGTAGCTGCCGGTGCCGACGTCGCCCGGAATAGAGGCGGAGTGCGTGCCCCACGGTGCCTGGCCGTGGCTCAGGTCGTCGAGGGACTGTGGGTTGGATCCGAAGAAGCCGTTGAGCACGCTGTTGCTGTCGTGCACGTTCACACTATGCTGTTGTGATGGCACGTACTGGGAGGCGTCGTGGCCCATTGTGTAGCCCATGCTTGGATGGGAGAGGGGGAGGTCGTGCACGTTTAGCATGACTGGTGCCCCGCTGGACGAGTGCAGACTTGTTGATGGGGCTGTCTCCGGTGCAAGGCTTGTTGAGAAGGAATCTAGCACGGAGGTGACGGCTGTTTTGTCGTTGAGGCTGTCTTCGGGCTTGGTGATGGATGTCATAAAGTCGAGATTGCCCGACGAATTAAATAGACTAGCCACGTTGTCGTGAGACGAGGGGTACATGGGCCATTGAGTTTGAGTCTGGCCCTGATGATGGATGAGGTCCTGGGGCTGAGGAGCCTGGTAGACATTCTGGTGAGAGGGCTTGTTGAGAAGAATGGAGTCCAACGAGAGAGGAGGGAGGTCAACTCCAGTCGCCGGTCTTGGGCTGTTGGTAGTAGTGCGGTCCGGCGCAGGGATGAGTCGTCTCCAAGTGGTAGTGCCCACTTCACCTGGCCGGGTTTGGCGGAACTTCCAGGCCAAGATGGCCATGCGCTTGCTCTCGTCACCCTGGTGGCTTTGGTATTGGTTGGAAAGTCGGCGAGCACTGGGAGAGGTAGCTCGAAGCTCCTGTACTGCAGACAGGGAGCGGAAGTACCTACGGGTACGGGCATCAGCGTCTTGGGCGATTTGAGGTGATCCCGAGTCTTCAGCCATGCGCTTGTCTTGGGTCAACTCGGTAAAGAGCTTGGCCCACCAAGATGATTCAAAAAGAGGCTTGACCTTGGTAGGGTGGGTCTTTTGTAGCTCATGGTAAGTCTCCAGGATCTTCTGACCATCATTGTACATATGCGTACTGCATGTCCAGTTTTCCATCTGGTCGACTCCCAAGACATCACCCGCGGTGGGGTGGCCGTAGTCAAGGTCAAGCTGGATACCAAGACGAGATCCCGCAGGGGGGAAATCAGTCATGAGTTGGAGGTTCACTTCTAATAAGATGATATCGCAGTCGATAGGGTTATTGATATCATCCACCATGGTGGCCAGCTGGGGGAAAGACGACCGCCAGCCATTGACATGCTCAAGGGGCATGGGAGGGGCCACAGGTTGGTGAAGATCTCCTTGGAGACGAGTGTATGCATGCAACGCCTTGTCAATGCGGTTGGCCTGTTGAGGAGCGCTGACCCACATATCGAAGCTGAAGCCATGGATAGAGTTGGAAGGAGATTCCTGCATGTTAGAGCCCAGAGTGTAGTGTGGCGGAGGGAGATCACCAGCGTAAGGCTGCATAGATCTCATGTGGTCATGATAGGCGGAATGAGCGTGGCTTGCATAGTGGCTGGATGCCGAAGGGTGTTCCATCGAGGTTCTCCACTTGGGAGCAGGCGCTGAACCATGCACACTCGATGATCGTTCCGTTGATGCCTCACGTACAAGTCGTTCCCCTGTAAAACGATATCAGTAAAGGTGAAGACGATTAATTTTTGAATCACTCACAGTCGGGATCCCCCTTAAGGAAAGAGTCCAGAACCTGCAAGTGACTAGAGACCTGCTTGCGAGTCCTCCGCTTTCCAGTCAACTTGAAGATGTACTCGGCAATGAGCTCGTTTCTTCCATAGGACTTGCCCCGTTCCGACCACTTTCTCCGGCCCATGGGAGGGTTTGCTTCGAGGGCTATATCAAATCGTTAGGCTTGATGTCCGTAGAATAGCCTTTGCATTGACTTACCCTGCTGAAAAGCATCCTCTAGCTCATCAGACCACACTGGCTCCCCATCCTTGCCAGTATCCCGGCGAGGACGTGCCCGATACTCGAGATACTTCTGGGACTTGAGGTAGCTGCTCCTTGCACGCCGAGATTGTGAATTAGCCCCGACGGATTGAAGCCGACGAAGCTTGCGCTGATGCAAGCGAGCAGCTACATGCTGCTGATGCTGATGCAAGCTATGTCCTGACAATGGCTGTGGTGGAGCAGCGTGGGGATACTTGTATGCAAGCTGTTGAAGATGGTCATCACGGCCAGCAACATCGTGCGCTAAATGGTCCGAGTATGACTGGACATTCCCAGAGGTATTCTGGAGAGCACGTTCTGAATGAGCGCTTACAGGATCCAGGGACGGCTGGTTCTGAGGCACGAGGCACTCGGATTGCCAGTCAGTAGCCATGGGAGGGGACCAAGGACGGGCTTCTCGAAAAGAATGACAGATTCCAACGAGGAGGGGATTGAGAGGCACCGTCAAATGCTTACTGCCTGGCAAAGAACGCAGCTCAGTCACAAAACAGTGACCCAAGAACGCAAGTCTGGAAGAGAATGTAAGAACCTGGGAAAGAGAATGTGAGAGCGAGCAAGATGGTGTTTATAGGGAACCATATCTCCCCTTTGGAGGGGGTTACTGTGTAGTCCCAGTAGCAACATTGTTCCGCCTGGTCTCTACGTCCCTCGAACGCCTATGCTCCTAGGCAGGTCGTGGTCCTGGCTCGTGTCCAGGCACCGAAGAGCAAAGGACCACGGCGAGCTATCCTTGCTGCAGCAAATCAGGAGTCAAGACAGGGTTCGATATGAAGGAAGTCGACCGGGGAAGCAAGGGATGCTCAGCAGCACGACCCAGTGATGAGCGGTTCGGAGATTTTGTGCAGCACGAAGTGACCATGAAGATCAGTTGCTCGGACCAGTGTCAACAACAATTGTCAACAATCAGTGGCAATCATGGCGGTGTTGGAATGTTGGTGGTCCAACGACGTCGTCTGGAGGCGCGGGACGAGGAATGCTCTACTACCATCAGGTACCACCCAAGGAATGAAGGCTTGGATGATCTCTGTTAACGACGGTCCTGCGTACCATCTGTAAATTAAGCTAGACTAGCTTGAGATGACCCTGCAATCCAAGCTGAAGTTTAGTTGGAAGTGTGGGGATGGAAAGTGTTGGCACAGGGAAAAAGTAGGGTTAACGTTATACACTAAAATACGCCTTTAGACGCACGAGGACGGGGAGACTGCAGTGAACAATTGACAGGAACGTGTTTGGGGTATCTTTTTTCCTACGTGTAGTAGTATGCAAGTAATCGTACATTGGACATCAATATGCAAGGGGTGTCAAGCAGCCAATCCCATGGCGCCCTGAGCCAGGGGAGAAAGGAGAGCTTCATGCCTCTTCCTCCTGCCCTCCTACAGTGAATTTCTTGCGGCCAGCGCCAGCAGTAAGCTGTTGGAGCTTGACCCTGTCCACCTGTTCCCCTACCTTCTTCTCTAAGCGCGCCAGTTCCTCCTCGGGATCGACAGCCTCCTCGTTCGCGAATTCCAGAACCAATCTTCTCCCCAGGAGATGCGTGTTTTTCAACGCGTCCATGGCATTTTCCGCTTCGCGAGCGCTTACAAAGTCTGCAAAACCGAAACCACGAGCCGACCGATCGAACTTTTGAGGAACACGCACTGACCGAAGTTGTCCGTAGGCCCCGAACAGGGATCGGATTTCCTTCTTTGTGGCCTGGAACGGCAAGTTCTTGATGATGATCTTGGTGCGGCGTGCGGCAATCTTCTTCGCGGTGTCTTCGCGTCTCCGTTCCTCGGCAGCGTCCTTGCCCTTGTGAGAGGCCCGGATGACAAGCTCGTGCTGGTCCAACTTGTAACCGTTCATAGCTGCAAGAGCTGCTTGGGCTTGAGCCTTGGTCTTGAATTCCGCGAAACCGAAACCCATGCTCAGGGTCTGTCCTGGTCGCTTGGAATCGGGCTTGGTCTTGATGCGTCCAGTAACAAAGCCGTCCAGCGGCCGGAAGACTTCCAAGAACTTCTCGTTGGTGGTTGTGAAGTTGAGGTTCTTTACGAAGAGTGTCGTAGTTTCTACGCTCTCGTCGGCCTCTGCAGCAAATGTGTCGGCAGTTGAGAATCCCTGGTCCTTGCCCCGCATCTCGGGAGCAACTGGGCGCGGTGCCACTGACGAATCGAACAGGTCCTTGGGCGCTTTCTCAAGGAACAAGATGGAATCACCCAACTTGCGATAAGCCATACCCTTAAAAGCCTTTTGGGCTTCATCGGGTCGTCCGAACTCCACGATGGCAATGGTGCCGCTGGGTGGCATCAGGAGGCGAATGATCTTGCCGTAGGGTTCGAACAATTTCCTTAGCTCCTCGGACTTCACGCCATAAGAAAAGTTCTTGACTAGAATAGCCGTATTCCCACGCTCACGCTGCTTGAAAGCATCAATGTTGACACCGTTGTTGGCAAAGTAAGCTTTCGTTTCCTGAATGACATGCGTTTCAGCATGTGCTTGCTTGACAGCAGAATCAGACGATGTGGGATCCAGAAGATCTGATTTGGAGACTCCTAGCCTTCCAGCCACTGAAGACATGACAGCATCGGCCTGTGTCGGGTTAGCTTTTTTCTTTGGACGTAATAGAAGCAAAACTCACGTTCATATACAGGGAGTTCCAGCTAAATGTAGAAGACGAAGCATTCATCTTCCGCTTGATCTCCTTTTGTTTCTTCAGAGGAAGCTTTGACAGCTCGTACTCATCAATCTTGTAGGTCTTCTTTGCAGAAGCTGGCAAGATGTGTAGCAGTCGACCCTGGAAATGCTTTCCATCAAGACTTTGGTAGGCCTCGACGGCAGCCTCGGCATCGGCATACTGCACGTACGCAAAACCTTTGCTGGTGGTAGAGCGGGTATCAAAAGCAACATGAATCTGTATCCTATTAGTATTCAATCTCGTTGAGTACATTTAAAATGCAAATATAAATGGATGAGTTGCTCTTCAGATAGTCAAGAAGCATCTACTAAAATCTCTTGTCCAGGTCACATCATCTGCTTTTGCATCGGATGTCCCTATCGGGAAAATCATCATTTGAGCACTCGGCAAGCGGCTGAAAAGCCAGCAAGCCTTGGGGAATCGGGCAGGGTTGAAACACAATGGAGTAAGGACTAACCTCTTCAATTTTTCCGAAGCGTCCAAACAAGGGCTGAAGATCCGCTTCGGTTGTGTCGTATGCAAGGTTTCTGAGGAACAAACGAGCAGAGTTCCGAATGAGATCCAGGTTCGGATCTTCCGGGGCCTCCGGGGCTCCCTGGGGTTCGCTGTCAACGTCAGTCATGTTGGGCGCAATGTTCTCAATGGCCTCAATGCGCGATTCACTATGCACCGGCGGCGACTTATCACCAGCCGAGAATGACGCCGAATCAGAATCAGCAGGTGCTTCAGCCTTGTGTTGATCGAATTCGTCTTGCTCTTCCTCATCGAGAAGGCCCAACAGACGACTAGTCTTTGACCGCAACCAATCCGCATCAGATACAGGTGCAGCCTCCGCTTCAGGTTCCGCAGAGTTGTTCTGTTCTGACTCTTCTTGGTTCTCTTCCTCGCCACTCTTGTCAATCACCATGGGTTCGGCTTGTTCAACTTTTTCTGCTACAGGAGGCTTTTCTGTCTTCGCCTTCTTGGGGTGAGAAGGTAGCTCTTCCGTTTGAGTATTTTCCTGGATGGTTTGGTTAATCACGGGAGCAGTCACCGCGGACGGCTTGGCCATGTCATCATCATTTGCCCATGTCCGAGTCTTGGATGACTGTCCCATCAGCGAAAGGTACTCCTGTAGCTTAGGGTCCTGTGATTTGTCCTCTCCATCCCGCTTGCGTTTCTTGTCCAACGATGTATCATTATCATTCGTGGAATCACGTCTTCGTGTGGGATGAACATCCTCAGCGGCATTTGATTCGATCTGCAATAAAACGGGTCAGTCTCAAGACCACCTTCATTGGTCAGCTTGCACGGGCGAAATGAGGTGGCTGAATCAATGGAGCAGAGTGAACATACCGGACGAGCGATGTCTACTGAGATCTTCGACATCTTCATGTATGTTCTGTTGAAGTGTGTAACAGCTTGCTGAGCTACTTCATGGCTCTTGAAGCCAACAAAGCCCATCCTACGTTTAGGCAGGACATGAGCGTCTGTGACTTGGAAGCGTGTTGAAAAGTGCTTCTTAAGCTGGTCATTGGAGCATGTTGGTGGAAGACCACTCACGAACACTCTGGTGCTCTCCATGGTGTTCGGTGGTCAAGCCTTTTGAAGTGTGTAGACTGAAAAGTTTGGAGAATTTTTTTTTCTTGTATAGTGCCGTAAGCGGTGGACGGGGCGGTAAGAGCTCGGACCCGGCAGTAAAGTCGATTTGCCTGGGGTCGTCGGGCTATCACCGCGCAATCGGCTTGCTCCAGTTCAGTTCTCCCATATCGAACTCTTAATCCATCCCTTGTCGCATTTTTTTTTTTCGATCCCGAAGCATATTTAACTATTCTGAAACCCGCAAACATGACTACCGCCGCAGATGACAAGAACGAGAAGATGGAGGGTAAGTTTGGCCTCATGGCTCAAGTGACTCTAGCTAAATATGTTATACAGCGCAGATTAAGTCTGTCGACATGGTAGGGATTACAAATACCTTGAATACCGTATACATCAAGTCTAACCTTTCCTAGACCGAGGATATGCAGCAGGAGGCCATTGCCCTTGGTTTGCCCCCCGAAAGCCCCGCGGGTGAATCAGGCTAACTTATTTCGCAGCCATCGAGGCCATGGAGAAGTACCATGTGGAAAAGGTATGCACCTGCAGCAGATAATCTGGAAAACAGACTTGATGCTAATGATTCTCTAGGACATCGCCCAATACATCAAGAAAGAGGTCCGACTCTATGCTACCCCGCTTCGATCGCGTCGCTAACCCCATACACAGTTTGATTCTCGCAAGGGCGCTACCTGGCACTGCGTTGTTGGACGCAACTTTGGGAGCTTCGTGACACACGGTTCGTCGAGCGCATCGCATTCTACGTGGTCCGAGACTGACATTCCGTTCAACAGAAACGAAGCACTTCATCTACTTCTACCTCGGCCACTGCGCCATCCTCCTTTTCAAGACCCAGTGAGCGCGAGTGAACCAATATGAGCGTATACAGACGTCCAACAACTTTGGAGGAGGTGATATCCCGGAAAACATGTGGTTTTTCAAGCGATTTCTTATTCTATGATCAATTTGTGCATGGCTTCTTCATGCTGGAATCAAATCGCCGCCTGTGGCTTCCAGGCGCACTTTTCAAAGCCGAGTCAACCAAGAATAGAGCCTTGGTAGTGTAAAATAAGCCCAAGTTGAAGTATTCGAGTAAACAAATAGAGAAAGGAGCCAATCACATATCATGATATTGTGTCACGTGTAATTGCCAAGCCACAGCGCCACACCCCCGGGTCGCTGCCTTCGCAAGACCTGCAATTCCTCAAATAGCTCCCAGTTCAATCTCTTCGGGATTTGCGTGCTGGTTTATCCCTCCTTAGATACCACCATGGCTTTCTGTATCACTTTCGGAACTCATGGTAAGTTGTCCTGGAAAGACCCGCGATCCAGGCACCAGAGTGGACCCTGTCCCTGGAGCTGTTGCTCTGGCGGGTATCTGTCTTGATACAATGGACCCAGTTGTCCGTGGTTATATTAAGCATACTAATACCTTCTCCAGAGTTCTCGTCTCAGCTTGAAGGCTATGAGCATGTTCGCGCATACTGCTACAACTGTGAGTTCTGACGTCACTGTATATGGGGAGTGACTTACCTTTTCAATCAGGCCAACACTGGAATGGGCACTGCATTACTCGATGGTATGTTCACAGATTTGGATATATCTTCTCTTATTCCTCGGAGACATTGGACACGACTAATACATATTCTAGGCCGTTTTTCACTGTCTGCTTCATTGTAAGTTGAGGCTTAAGCGTTGTCTTGAGGACCACGAAGGTATCTAACACTGTTCTCAATATAGCCCCTGATTCCCCTTGCGACGCACAAGTACAAGGTGAGCATTCTCATAATACATCACATCCTCGTTATGTTATACTAATACACGAATCAGGAAGTGCAATGCTACACATGCCGATACACTCAAGACCTACGGTAGGCTCGACTTCGATACTAAACCAAGTACATCACTCTTGAGAAGATCCACTAACAAATTGGCAATAGTGACCGGCCAGATATCACGCCGGAGACTCGACCCCCTGCAGGTGGGCAGTACGGGATCCAACCACCTCCGGGGGCTCAGATCTGGCAGCAGCCTCCTGGTCCTCCCCCTCAGGCACAGGGCGGTCTAGGATACAAGTGAGCGGAGATTAAAGGTGGCTGATTTTTGGTAGCATGAGGAAGCAGGTGATTTGGGGAGAGCGTAGGGGAGCTGGTGGTGAGGTGCATTTCTCAGCTTAACTTCGTGGGCTTTAGCCTGTTGGCGTTGGGTTCATCGTTTAATTTGCCAATATGGCATCTAGCAAATGATTCACTGGGCCGTTTCTTTATTTTTGGGGCACGAAATGCGCTCTGTCATTATTTTGTGTGCGATTGCCTGAACATCCGTGCGGTAGTTTGCCATTCTCCATCAATGAAAAATATCCCGACATCTATAAAAGATAACTTCTGTTCTTTTCTTTTCTTTTCTTTTCCTTATTCCTACAACTCCCGGCCCCTCTCCCATTCTTTGTCCCTCCCAAAGTATATATACCAGCGAAGACGTGGTATGTTTCTGGTTGCTGTGGAAGAATCCATCCATTTCTTCTATGTCCTCCACTGACTTATCCATCTACTAAGGTACACAGTGATACACTATGCCACTATTATTCTAACCTGCTATAGCTCCATTGGATCCATCAATCAAAATCATTTAATCAAGAAGTACCGTTGCATCTTTCTCTCTTAAGCCATACAAACAGATGCGAATTGCGATCCTTCTGGTAGCCCTAGGACCCAAAACAGCTGCGGAACCCCGTACTCTTGGTGCTCCACTGGTGCATGCTTTGTTTCCGATTTTCGGTCCGTGACTGGGTTGAATGGCGAGTTCTGTTCGTTGTGGATTGTTATTCCGACGCCGTTGCAAGTCCGTCTTGTACTAGGTGTGACAAACGCACAACATATGTGTGGATGTAAGTTTTTGGGGCCATTCCGGTCGTATTGCGTACACGACACTGAACTTTTGCGCCCTTGCAGGTTCTCCTCGGCCTTTTCAGAGTCACATGTATGAACTGATGGCACTCCTGGACTTTCCGAAGTCCTGGTTCTAGGCAAATTGTGAGGACAGCTATGATACAACCGCTGGGAAGGGGATGGGCCCAATGGAAACGATACACCTAGCTAGTTCTCGAGCTCGGGAACTCTCCTAATCGACCGGACACCTACGACGCGTCGATTCTCATGTCATCCCACCTTGAATAAGTTGCGTCTATAAACCTCGAAAATGACCTCGTGTCTGATCATATTCCTCTCTCCGCACCACTCCTTTTACCCTCTCATCCACCACCTTGATCAACATTAAAATGGACTCCCTATCCTCCGCCGGGAAGAATCTCCCTGAGATCCCCAGATCTAAGTCAACTGAGAAGTTTACGATCGTGGGATTCAAGCACACCAACGAGACCGAGATCCTCCTCTCCATCATCCACCACGGCTCTCTACGCATGAGCTTCTTCCAGCCAAAGACAAACAAAGTCGGCGGCCCGATTCCCCCGCCTAGGTCGCCCTACGTTATCGCTGTCGGATATTACGTCCCTCCACACCTCTTTATATAGCTAGACCTTCCACTCTAGCAATGTCCTAATCTACCACCCGCCTACTCCTTTAGTGCCGAGTGTCACTACTAACTATACCACCTATACCACTTAAGATGCAATCCAGTCCACTGCAGCGGCTGTTCGGGACCTCTGCGCTGCCTTAGACACAGGATATGATACATAGTCGGGCCCTCCGTTTCACGGGAACAAAGACCAATGACGTGAGTTGAATCAGAAGACAACACTCAAACTCTACATCTTGTGCTAACTTAGGGGGCCTAGCTTGTGCAGTGCGGAGGCTGCCGTACATGTCTTCCGGTTCAAGCTTTTGCTTGCCCTAGCTCCTAGAACTATTCAGTTTCCTGTCTCTCCATAGACAATACATCATTCTTCCTTCTCTCGCTCTCCACCTTTTAGCCTATCGGAAAGAGAAATGTGCCAAACGGCAGACAAAGCAATCTTGACATAAAAATGTGCATCTGAATTCGAATAGATAGCAAGAAGGGGTATAAATAGCTAGGACAAGGACAAAAAAACAACCACCGAATCACACCTCGTCTCCCTTAACCTTCTCCCCTTTCTCCGTAACAGCATCAGGAGTCTGCACTCCAGAAGGCGTAGCCTCCCCAGCCCCAGTCCCACCAGCCTTAGTACCGCGATAAACAGTCGGCTTCCTCCCAACAGCATCAAGCGCCATCATACTCGCAACCCTCCAAATACTCTCACGCCCTTCATAAAGCGGGAATATAACAACCCCAAACAAGGTGAAGAACAACCAAATAATACCAACAACAACCCACCCGGTAAAGAACTTCCGACTGAACACGTACGAAGACCCGTACATCGGGATCGGCCAGAGGATCAGCAATGCCAATGCCATGAAGATGGTCAGCGTGCGCGCGTAGAGTGCCGAGCGGTTGAGTTTGCGGTTTTCTTCTTCGCTCTGGGTCTGCGTTTGGTTTGTTTCACCGGGGACGAGTTCCAGGTCGATGTGCGCTGCCGCGGCGACTTCTGAGTCGTCTACTTTGCGGATCTGGCGCATGGATTCGTAGTCATAGTTTTGGGGGCCGAATGTGTAGGTTAGGATTGGGCTGAAGATGACTGGGCTCAACAGGGCCGCGACGTTGCCTGCTAGCATTGGGTAGCTGGGATATAATGTCAGTAGTTGGATGATGAGTTGGTGATGGAGATTGGGATGCTTACTTGGCGCCCGTCGTGTCGACGGTTAGGATGCCGGACTCCTTCTTTGCTGTTACTAGCCAGGCGATTAGGGATACTGCCAGACCGAGGGGTGGTGAGACAGCTGCTGCGATGTGGTTCTGACCCTTCCAGAGGAGGGTCATTGCTCCGGGGAAGACGGCTGAGGAGATGATCACGCCCATGAGTAGGTATAGGTATCCCATGCCAATGCCGGCGTAGTAGAGACCCGTAGCAAAGCCAGCCATAATAATTGAGTAGACGATACAGGACATGTGCGAGATCCAAACGAGTCTCTTACCCTTAGCAGAGGGGTCGATATAGGCCTGGTAGATATCGTAGGTGAAGATCGAGGAAACGGCAATCAGCTGTGCCGAGAAGGCAGATGTCACAGCCATGAAGATCATCAGTGTCGTGGCAACAGCACCGCTATAACCCAGGAGCTTGACCGCTGCAAAGGGGAGAACCAGTCCGGCGGTGACATCGTTAGCGCTCATGCGCTGAGTCCCCTCCAGTGCCAATGCGGCGATTCCCATTGTGCTGGCGCAAAGCCAGGGAATGGCAAACCAGCAGAGACCACCGATCACGTAGCCGGGGAAAGCGTGCACGGGGCTTGCGGCGATGGCTTTGTTGTAGTAGCCATTGTCGAGGAAGACGGTGCCGAAGTTTCCGACTAGGTTGATGATCCAGAAAATGCCACCCTCCTTCGAGCGCATAGTTAGGTAGCTGCCTTCTGCATTGCCCTCAACGGGGTGGCGCTTTGAAGCTGCGACTAGGGCGTCATACACCTTGGATGGGGAGCCGAGTTCGGCGTTGGTGGCGTAGGCGGAGAAGGCGAATAGCAAGATTACCACGAGGATTACTACTGTGTGCATGTAATCCGTGATGAAGGTGGCTTTGATACCGCCGAACAGGGTGTATAAGACCACACCGATTGGGAGCAGAAAACAGGCTGCTGCGGTGGGTACGCCGGTTAGGGAGGTCATCACGGCTGCTCCACCGGTGAGCAGCATTGCTGTGACGAGGATATTGGTCATTAGGCAGAAGACGATGAATACGCAGTGGACAATGGTTCCATAGCGGGCACGGATGACTTCTAGGAAAGTGTGGGCGTTTGGAGCTCGGCGTTTTAGTTCAATTGCGATTGTTGCGAAGAGAAGGATCTGGACGGTGGCACCTATATACAATAGATGTTAGCTATCACATTCTTTCCATCTGTATATGGAGGATACGCACCCGATGCATAGAAGAAAGGACCCGAAACACCGTATTGATATGCCACTGCAGAGGACTGGAGAAGGGTAGCAGCCCATGTCCAACTACTAACCACAGCAGCAGCAACGAGTCCAGACTTAACAGACCGGCCGGCAGTGGAGAACATTTCTGATGTCTGGACTTCATGTTGGTAGCTATAATCGGGTATTATTAGCATACTCAAACGGTATCAAGTGACTTATAGAGCCCTACCGTTTCAAAGCCCAAGTAATGAAAATCATCAACAAGGCAAAGGCAAAGCCAAGTCCAAGGATGATTCCATATCCAAAAGCCTTGGACAAGGGCGCTGTGAAGGTCACCGAGTCCGCCATAGCTGGATGAGGTAGGACCAGCAAGGGATGGAGGCTATAAAATATTGCTTCCAATTGGTAAACTCAGCCAATGGTGTTCCAGTTGCAAATGGTACTCTGTGCTTGAGTATGGGTCCTGGATTGGGAAGTGTCATACACAGACCGGAGGATAACGACTTCATATAGGGCAGGACGTGTAGCATCGGAGACTGCCACTACTCCGAGCTCGCATCTGGGGCACATGCTGATCCTTGATTGAAGCTTAGATAGGGATGTAATGTGATTGTCAGATAAGCTGTGGCTCTCGTAATGCCCTTCGCTTTTGCGTCTGGGGCGGCACATGTGTATTGAGACTAGAAAGTAGGTCTCGGTATATCGGCCACTCTGGGGATTTTGGAGTCAATTGAACATTCAATTGGTGTGTTGTAGGCTTTGTGATGTTCGCCATTGGTGGGTGGGTGTTATCAGTTAGGGTTGTGGCTCGGCGGTGATTGGCCAGGCAGGGAGCAAGATAAGACCTCCCGAGGAGACTAAGAGTTGCTCGGCAGTGAGCTTTCCTCCTAACACCAATTATATGCAAGATGCTTACAGAGGATGGGTCCGGGGATGTCGGGTCTAATAGGAGAGATATCATACTTTTACTCGATCGCATTATTTCTGGTCAGGGTCCACTATCTACCTCCTCTTGGCGTGTTTATATGTGATATGCCAATTAGGTGACCTACTTTACCTGTTATTTAGGATAAATACTCGCTGTCAGATATCTAGTAGCTTGCTTATTCTAAAATTGTTTCGTAGGGCATATCATAACGGTCTGGAAGGTCTACTCTCAATATCACAAGGCTAGGATATATTGATCAGCTATTATTGAGATCTTTTAAGAGAACTCGTCTTCCAGGTCTACTAGAGAAGAGCTTCTGTTCCTTGTTCAGACGCTTTCTAGATACTTACAGACAACGGTCTCCCGCTAAGACCCCATGCATTGGTCAATTGTTCCCCGGATATTCAAACGACCCCACAGTCCATGCACGATCTAGAACAAGGCATCCTGTGTGCAAAGGTTCAAAATACTTTGATTTTGATAGGCCAAATTGCCAGAAGTTAGTCAGACGAGATAAACAACCCAGAGTGGCCGACGGGCCGACGGCCGTAGACATAGTATCAAAGGGTGTAAGCTACTATGGAACCATATCAAATAATGTTATACGGCCGATTATTAACCCTCGACATAAAGTTACAGAAGGCCCTACATGTAGTTATATTCATGAATATATAGGTACCCGCCGTCGCGAGATATCCTTCCACGTAGTCCTGTCCAAGACACTCCCCAGGACCAAGGTCAACCCCTAACTTTTCAAGCTCTATATGTCTTCAGCCCCTAGAGTTCTTAAGTACAATGAAGAAACATTCTATAGCTACAGGCGCTATGATGCGTCTTTCCAAGACGCTCGATAATCAATCTACAATGCGATCCCCTGTATATATAATGACAGTTGCCTCTGCTACACTGAAAATATCCAGGCTGTCTCTCCGGTCACATTCTCGTATGTCTGAGTTTCTGGCCGGCACAATGGGTGGGTTTAGGTGATGATAGGGTTGTGTGATTGATCTTGTCCTGAAATGGTATGCCTCTATATCATGCACGATAGTAACGGTAATGAAACACAGTTAGGAGTAGCAGGGTTGTATGAACTAGGCTATGGGAAGCCAAGTCACCCATGAACCTGCGAGATGGTAGTAACGAGGTTCGTCATGACGATTTGATAGTACTACTGAACGAGGTGGACTGGGTTTCCACGCACTACGATGATGTACGCACCCGATGGGAGGAACATTGAAAAATGAATAACTATGCATGAATAGAACGAGCCAAAATTCAGGGTACCAAGTTAGTTCAATGTCAGGTACACATTGAAGACTCATATTGTACAGACAATGTCGAGATAGAACCCGTGATACTCCAGGTTCTAGTTGCTACAGCTCAATCCAGCGCATAATATCGCCAAGGAACAAACGTATGGCATCAGAAAATCAAGAGATACCACAGGATCAAGTCTATCCAGACTGACCTATACAGCCGATAGGTCGTTGAGGGACTCTTTTGCAACCGCAAATGAAACACCACAAAATGAAAACGGAATCACGCCAGCTGTTTCGGAATGAATAATTCAAGCGCCATCGGTAGATAATGGCCGAAAGTTCATAGGGTATAGAGAAGGAGGTGGTAGGAGGAGGGGGGTTCGAGTTCGAGTTTTCGCGTAGTCAATGCCCGGAGCACATGGGCCGTGTCAGGCTATCTCACGAAATATCGACCGTGCAAGAAGGGAGGTTGTTCAAATTTATGCGGAGAACTTGCGGGTGACCTTGGCGATGACTAAAGGAGTAATTAGCACACACATTCACACCTGAGCTGTCTACCAGCAATACGATTCCAGGTGTTCTTACCGTGCAGACCAACAACCGAGAAAATGAAACCCAAGCTCAGAACCAGAACAACAACGGGGTCAACGCGCAGACCGGGGCTCTCGTCGGTGTAGAGCTTCAGCATGGTACCGGAGGAACCACCGGCACCAGCAGAGCGAGTGGAGCTGGGGCGGGCATTGCGCAGAGTCTCCTTGTGGTCGGCAGCGGCACGGCGGCGCATGGCAGCGCGAGGACCGCCGGGAGTAGAGGGCGAGGAGGGACGGCTGACGGAAGAGCCGGTGGCAGCAGCACCGGCGGACTTGGAGTCAGCGCCAGATTCGGCGCCGGAGGTCAGGGGAGAGGCGGGACGGGGAGAAGCCTGAGGAATATGTCAGTTTCTGTGGCATTGTCGGGTTGAGTGGCTTCAATGGATGTTGGTGGATGGAATAACGAGCTGGCTTGATCGTCGTGGTCGGTCGATGGATTGGATAGGACTCACCATTGTGATTAGTCGGGGATGAAATATTGGAGACGGAGAACGGATTAGAGGATAGATGAAATTGAGTTCCAGAAGAAAAGAAAGGAAAGGAGCTTGAGAGAGAATCTGGACAAAAAGAGGGAGAGGGAGGTTTGCGGAGTTGAGGCCACGATCACGGTTTCTTAGGTCATACGGTATCCGACTTGTTCCAGCTGGCTGTTCAGGGCCAACTTGGCCATAATTACACGTATTACCAATACATTTAGGTCCACCAATCAAAATGTCGAACATCAAGTAGTTCATCCTCGTCTATACCAATTCTCACCTTCGAAAACTCGCTAACCTTGGAATATTCGTGGGTTTACACATAGTAAATGGAATATAGTGAGCCGAATAGCTTTATAATTTTCTACTAAGCGTAATCACATTATATGCAGCTTCATGGGTTCATAGATATATATCGAGGTCTTAAAGTCCTATACACCAAAGACTGTCATTTAAAGAATGGCATAAAAAAGGTACCATGTGGAAAGACAAGAAACTAGATAGATAGGTCCTGACGACGACATGAAGTGAGATACAACTCCATGGCAGAGACACCGACACGTCTGCAGAGCAACAAGAGTTTCTAAAACAAGGAATTATAATGATATAAAACACGTCTTCAGATTTCTTTACCAGTTCTTATCCTCTCTTCAACCCACCTTTCCTTTTTCCAAATCTATTCCGGCACACCACAATTTCAAGAATTTCTCTCCACTCACAGTTTCAACATGCGACGTGCCCAGGATACACTCAAATCAACCAACATGCCAAAAAAGGCTGCGCATATCACGATGAAGCTCAGAAGACACATGCTCAGACCAAGGACAAGGCGACGAAGCCAGAGACACGCAAAGTGAAGCGCAAGTCAAAGAGCTGAAGAAATGAGGCATGGTCTTGTCTTCATTTTCCATTCACTGAGCTATCATTACGAGGTTATCCAGTGTATAGACTAATGTAATAGCTCCTACAGCTCAACTGATCTACCGTGCATCCACCAATACACCCGTGATCTGGAACAATGCGAGAAAAATGGTGATGAGGACATGCTATGAGGAGGAGGGTTAGCCTGGAACTTCTCTACATCAGTTAATATAGAAAGAGCTGACTAGAAATATTATCAGAAGTCTCATTCTCTAGCAATAATACTTAAAGATCGTACGTGGGACAGAGGACTTCGAACGCGACTACTTGCACAAAGTACCTCTCCCTTCACCTTTCTCGTTCCCAATTCTCTTCCTTCCACCATTCTCTTCATTATGCTTACCCCTTCAACAAGCTTGTTCCTACTCTCTCGACACATCCAAAATGCGTCATGCATAGAAGACGCTGAATTAATCGAGCATGCCGAAGAAGACGACATCCATACACTGCACTCTATCGTTAGATCTTTCATCCACGCGACCAAAGTCACAGAAGGCTTTGATGACGAGAAGTGTGGTACCTATGACAAGGAAGAGGGCCATGACTTCGAGGATCAGTAATGGCTCCGGTCCCAGAAGGATCTCCAGATCGTGAAGAAGCCAAAGAAGGCACCCTTTCCAGCCGAGCAAACAGCCGAGTAACTTCCATCCAAGAACAAAGACTAGGCCTGAGCGTAAGGCAAAGCTCAAATCAAAGAAACGAGGTATGAGAAGCTCGGCTCCACTTTCATGTTCACAACGCTATCATTTTGAGATTATCGGGTGCAAATACCGATGTTATGAGTCTTACAGTTCCAGTCTACAAAATGGCAAAGCACGCTGACTTTAGGATCGGCGATCGTTTAGCAAGAGGCCGATCTCGTTTACGAGGAAAACATCCAGATGTCTAGTCTATTGATATTAAGAAGACTAGCACACATTCATATTGTAGCGTTGAAGGGCTTGTCATACAGACATGGAGAACACCTCCGGGGAATCAAACCAACCAGATAACGCCGTCGGTAGTACTCGTGCAGAGAGGGAGGGGGTATGTAAAAGAGAGCAAGGAAAGGAAAGAAAGGAAAGGGGAAAAGGAAGGGAAAATAGAATCACAGGAATTTTGGGAAGGGGGAATGATATGGGATATGGGGTAGGGGTGGTCAACAGAGGTATGATGCCGAGGCTGGAAACCACAGATAAGAAAGGAAAGACAAAAGTATCAGGCTAAATTTCAATCGGTGCCCAGTGGTTGGATGTTCACATATGTGAGAAAGAAAGGGAAGGAAAGAAAAGACATAACGCTCCGAAATTCAACGCCCCAAAGTAATTATAGAAACAAATACCCGTTTTTCTCGTTGATTTGATCGGTTAGTCGATCATCATCCGTGAGGGGACTTGGGTGAGGTTTGAAGAGAGCTCGGTTGTCTTTTCTGCCGACTTGTTCTTCTTCTTATTGATGTGGGGCTTCAGGCCGCGGTTGAAGTTGTTCGTGCACAGGCAAGCGTTGATGATGGTGATCACAATCAGGACCAGGGTGATGATTGCGAAGAAGGTCATCGATGGTCGTGCGGGCAGGTATTGTGGGCTTGTTAGCGGGTCGTACATTCGGAACAGCTTGAAGATGAAATAGCCCATGGCTGCGAACAAGAGGAGCTGGTCATACTGTCAGTAGTTGGATAGGAAGGTGAAAGTGGTTGTCTTACGATGATGCAGACCATGCCCGCGGTGGTTTCTCGTCGCACGAACCATGCACCGCAGACTAGAATGATAATGGTCACTGGGATGGCGGCTACCGTGAGCGCGAACTCGGCGTCCATCTTGGCTGAGGAAACCAGGACCAGGAACTGGACTGTGAAGCCTAGGAAGAAGAAGAAATCAAATTTCAACAGCGCGATGTAGATCTAACCAGTTAGTTGTGTTGGTCGGAGGAGTAGGCGAAAGACGAACCTGATAGGTAAGGTAGCGGCGCTTCATCTGCAGATCGGCACTGATGTGCTTGTAGATTGTCCATGCGAACTCATCGTACAGCTTCCAAGCGACAAAGGTCATCAAGAATGTTCCTAATGCAACGATGCACGGAATGATGATAAGGAACGGTTCGGATTGAGCCCAGACAACCGGACTGATCGTGTCCATGTCGGCCAAGACCGAAACCGCAGTTCGAATCTGGTTCACCTGAACAGCGCCATAAATCAAGAGTCCAATATTGCAAATACACAGTCCGATGACCTGAATCGTGTTCTTCATGCGAAGAGCATCGTAGACCAGAACGAGTTCGTAGAGGAAACCGAAGGAGTACAGCGCGAGGAAAGTGGGGATAGTTTTGGATGAAGGACTGTCGTTCGGGATCTCTTGGATCTGGAAGTTGGCGAAGATATAACTAAAAGCGATCAGTATTCGATTTCCATCCACGCAGGCGACCTCCATACCATTCAAGTCCGAGTGTCACCAGTGTTTGGATAAGCGTGACGATCGCAAAGGACCATGTCCAGTGGGTGTTGGGCATGTACATCCCGCCGGGCTTGCTCGCAGGAGCGACGTTTGCATATCCTTCTCTGGCGCGAAACCCTCCCCCTCGTCTAAAGGCAGGGTCAAAAGAGCCCCCTAAGAGCGAGGCGCGCGAACCGTGTGAAGGAATTTTGCCGAGAGGCTCCGTGACGGAGCTCGGGTCAACGTGGTGAGGGAAAGGCACGGTGACGGTGTGACCACCTGACGGTGGCTTTGTTTATAAGTCAGGTGGGAGCCCGGGGGTAAACAGAATGAATGGGGGGGCTTGGGTGCTTGGCAGCCGGGATTCGCAGGCAATTAGACGGTCGGACTCAGGAACATCAGACTCTCGAGCCAGTCGCGATGAAGGCTTTTTTTCACTCCCGCGTGTTTCCGAGGCGGGAGGCGGGGGGGAGAGGAGATGGGATCAGCGACAGGACAGCAAGGGTGGAAGTAGGGGCCCAATGCTGGAATTGAACGAGTGAATGAGTGACAGGATGAAAAGAGAGAGAAAGATACTAGGGGGGAAAGTATCTGGGGTTGGAGCACATACCAACACACAACAGAGCATGCCGAGACTCTCAGCCCTGCTTACTACTACTCTACACGGGATGTCTAGAATCTTTTACTCCATCGTAATCTACGCCATTTCTCCTGAATGGTGGAGTTGATCCATATTGTGCGCCGACAGGTACAAACCTTTAAAAGTCGAGTCCAGAACACTTCCATCGTTTTGCGTACCATTGTGGGTTTTAATGTGGCTGCCTACGCTAACCCCCACAACTACAGGTATTGACACTAACGTTAACTTAACAGTTGAGGGTATCGATGTACTACAGTATTCCAATCCAGGGTCTCTTTACTTGTGACAACCTGTCAAGCCACAGCCACTCCTGAGAATGTGTGAGACACGGAATAGCCACGAGTGGCTGAGGTATCACGGGATCCACCGTGTACCGTGTCTTTCGGAGCACACCATTGTGTTTCATGTTGTTGCGCCCCCGTTCTTTAATCTTCGCTTTCCTCGGTTCCTCATTTTAACAAGCTGAAACGATCCAACCCAGGGTGTTCGCACCCGTACTTTTGGAGCTGCGTGCCAGGTTCATGCCAACCATGCATATGCTACCGACACCTTGCATTGAGGTCTAGATCCAGGTTCATCCCCATTACCAGTCACCATATACTTGTACTTGCTGAGGAACTTCAGTATATCGGAGGATTCGACTCAGATATTGATAGATCTGCATTGATCCGGCTCAGCTGGCACGCCTGACACTGAAACGGATGAGCCACACCACTCCCCATTCAGTGGCAGTGCTAGTCCACTGGACCTCTGCAGATTGTTAGGCCGACCAAAGAGATAGCAGTAGCAGGTTCAACAAGCCACAGTCTCGTCACAGCATCCTGGGGATGGTTTTATCGGGTCACGTGATAGGTATGGTGTCAGACAGTAGACAACAGATGGCATTGAATATACATGCCACTCCGGAGACATATCCAGCTCGCTTACTACAATTGGAGATAGGGAAGGATCTGGCTTTGTTGCTTTGGTTTCGGCCTCGGATCCGCTCGTTGACTCTATCCTAGTAGTTAGTCACCGACAAGTCCAAAGATGGCCAACATTGAAATGCGTTTAACGAGGTCTGACTTAGTATCAACTTTTAAACATCTCATCATAGGCTCTCTCCATGATGTGAGGATCTAATTATCATGTCGATCATTTTTCTATTGTCGTAAATTCTGCCTTATCTGTAGATCAAAGCGCCACAAAATACAGGGATAGGCTTCAGGAGGGAACCACTAACGTATCTCCAATTACCCAAGCATTCAATCTCAGATTCTCCTATGGTTTCCCTTTTTGGCGTGGGGTATTCCAACGTTATCGCACTTACCCCCGCACTCCAATGATATCGGCTAACGTTAGCCGTTTGGGCTAGGACTATCTGTGTCTTCTCCATATAATGAAAGTCCTATGCGATCGGTATATATAGAGCTACAAGAATTCTGCATCTTGGATTTTTAAGATATTAGGTACTATCTTAAATCACACTGAAACTAACATTGTTCTACAACGTCAATATGCTGTCACTGTGGGCAGGTGCTGTCTTAATCTTCGGATTCATTGTTATTCGAGGTTTGCTCTCGCCCTTGTCAAAAATACCAGGGCCATGGTATACACGATTCACAAGTCTGTGGATCAAGTACCAAGAATTCACTGCTAACCGGCGCGAATCTATCCATGCATTGCATAAGATCTATGGGCCAGTGGCCCGGCTCGGACCGAATGAGGTATCATTCACGAGCCTGGATGCTATCAAGGAGATCTATGCTTCTGGGGGGAGTGGGTATGACAAAACCGAGTATTATGATCTGTTCAGGCAGTTCAAGATCAAGTGAGTACCACTCGCAGGTATAGGCTTAGCAGATCATTGATAAAAAGCCAGGACGATGTTCTCTACTTTGCAGAAAGATGAGGTGAGTCTTCTGAAAAGTAGTTACGCAGCATTGTACTGACAATAAGTAGCATAGCAAGAGAAAACGCATCTTTGCTGAACGATATGCCATGTCCAATATCATGAAGGAAAAGCCCATGGCCGCTATCCATGAACGAGCCACGACCATCGTATCCAAGTGTGTCGAAGCTGGTCAGAAGAGCGTGGATGTCTATGTACGTCGAAACCACAGGGAACTATAGAGACACATGTACTAACCCATCTCACCAACCAGTCCCTGCTCCACTGCTACGCCCTCGACTGCGTGACCCATTTCATGTTCAGCCCCGGTGGACTCAAATCACTCAACGATCCCCAAGACTACGAAATCATGCATGAACTAACCTACCATCAAAGTCTCCAAAGTAAGCACCAGCCCATTTCCAAAACACAACCATAACTAACCATATCCCAGAAAACCTACTGGAATACTACCTCCCAACCCTAGCCCCCTACTTCCCAACCCTTCTCCACCCACGCAGCGCCCCAAAAGCAAACAAATACGTCCAAGAAAGCGCAGCCCTCCAAACCCACGACCCCCACTCCCTAATGGAAAAGCTCAAACGCAAAGAATCAAACCTACACCTAATGCAAGCAGCAGCAGAATGCAAAGACCACATGGCCGCCGGCATCGACACAACCGGCGACGGCCTCTGTTTCCTAATGTGGGAACTGTCACAGCCGCATAACCTGCAGTTCCAGCAGCGGCTATACCAAGAGTTAGCTTCTGCCCCGGCTGATGCATCTCTTGATAGTTATGCCTACCTCGATGCTGTTATTAAAGAGGGACTGCGTTGTGCGCCTCCGATTCCTATGTCTTTGCCGCGATATGTTCCTGCTGGGGGACGGGTTATTGATTCGTTCTTCGTTCCCGAGCATACTATTGTTAGTTGTCAGCCTTATTCTGTGCATCGGATTGATGAGACTGTGTTTCCGGAGCCGGAGAAGTTTTGGCCGGATCGATGGCTTGTGGAACGGGGTGCTGCAGAGAGGAATAGGCTTTTCTTTGCTTTTGCTACGGGTGGGAGGGGGTGTACTGGGAAAAAGTAAGTTGTATTTTTTTGTTTTGCTTTGAAGGTGTTTAATTGCTAATGGATTTGCGGTTTAGTCTTGCGCTTGTTGAGATGAAGATTCTTCTTCGGGAGGTGTATTCTCGGTATAGGACTACGATTGCGGGGGATATGACTGCTTCTATGAAGTTGGATGATCAGATTATTTCTTCGAGGCCTAAGGGGCAGAGTTGTAGATTGGTTTTTACTGCTGTTGAATGATAGTCAGAGTAGTGACGTATTGGATAGCACCAGTTTCCGACAAAGAATATTAGAAATATCATACAAGACACTCTCATCTAGATATTAGCATGCTTTAGATGAATACTTGTATACTTCTAAGCGGCAAACTCCGCCAGATCGGAACTTGACTTCTAACCGATGCGGGGCATGAGGGGCAGATAAGAAAAAGCAACATCTCCATCTGAACTAACAGGAATCTCTTCGACATTCCCAATTCGTCTCTATAAGATCTCCCATGCCGACTGGGCACCAGTTACCCCGGCCACACCTAACCTAGTCACACAAATAACATCACCAGCCCCAACCCACCTCGTAATCCAATCCAACTCCTAAAGACTCAACACCGTCCTACATCAAGAGACACACCAAACACAAACCTTCAAAAATGTCCCCTACCAAACCCGCAACATCCGAATGCCGCTTCTCAACGCGGATCTCAATCCGCTGGCTCCCAGACCCGCCCTCGGAAACAACAGATACAATCGTCATGTCCGTCAAAGACTGGTACCTAGATCTACGAATGGAAAAGGAAACAGGCATGATTGACTGGGCGATTGCCGGGCAGCGAATTGTCGAGAGTCAAGATCCTTGTGTGTACATGTATATCGGGATACGTTATTCCGATGCAGATATCTAGTCGGGAAGTGTGAGACACATTCTAACCTCCGCGCAGTACGAGTATCCTTTTCCCACGAACTTGACTCTCACGATGCATTTGAAAGTGTCGACTGTGGTACCTTTGTTTCCCTGCCAAATGGCGATGATCTCGAAACGGGTGTTATGCCTCGATCCGATTTACCCGGTGCGCCTGAGTGCGAGTATGAGGAGGTCTGGAGGGAATTGCCGTTCAGGGAGGGGCCTGAGGGGGTAATGGGAATGGGGGTATTTCTTGGGTTCTTGAATCTGATAATGGGGATATCTCTGGCTCTGATCGCGAAGGGGAAGTGCAAGTTGTTAAGACTTTCCTTGGGCGCATTTGGGGTACGTATTTGGCGTTGCGACAGACTCAGATTCATGCGCGGATGAGGGATCCATCCGGTGCGCTGGTTGTTAAGAAGTCTGGTGCTGGTGTTAGTGCTAGGAGGGAGGAGTGGGAGTCTGGGTGGAAGGAAAAGTATGTCGTTGGGGAGGTTGCTGGGGCTTTGCCTTCTATGGTAGATGGGTTTGCTGGCGAGGGGCGTTGGAAGGTAGGGGACAAAGTGGACGTCAACGGGGAAAGGTATATTGTTCGGGCATTTGAGAATTTGGGGCTTTCGATGAAGTTATAATTTGAGTATTTACAGCTGTTAATCAATTACAGTATGCAGGACAGCCTCATTTTAGGTCTTGCGGATCTTCAGACCTTTGGACCAAAGGAATAGAAAGAAAAACAAATGATGGTGGGGATGTGTATGCAAAAAAGTAACATTGGATGGTCATCTTTGGATCTGTCACTTTTGTAGAATGGATGATCTCCCTTGCATTCTCAAGCTGCAGCTGAGGTGACACACCCTCAGAAAATCGACGGATTATCGTTCTTAACTTGCCAAAGAATGTTTTCTCTGAGCCTGCCAAATTCAAAGACAGCATCTGCAAATCCCGGAACTCGTGCGGTCCAATACGCCTGACCCATGGCCGCTGTAATGGACCTGTGGAGATTTCTCCTTCTCTGGATGATATTCTCACCATGTTATGCATTGGAAGCAAAAAAAAGCCCGACCCAGTGTTTTCAGTCGGTATGAATTCTAATCCTAACAATCCTCGAAACACAACGGCTAAAATGTCCGATAGCGGCCAGATCTCTGCGCCCCTGTTTTGAACGTGACTCACTATGAAGAGGGCAATGTCACTCAGGGGTATATATTCCTTTCTCCGTATCACCTTACCAATTACAAAGACGGTCCATACATCTACAGTCACACTGGAGTAAGTCATTCGTTGTCTAGGTATAACGGTCTATCATCATACATATCACTTACAAGTTATACAGGAACTAGTGTGGAATGGCGCCGAAGATAATGATTTCGCACACAACTTCCATCCCTGTCATATTGCCGGCCATGACAGGCTGTGTATGACAGAATTGACACGTAACCTTATAGATGCACTCAAATCAACAGGATCGGCTATTGTTATAGACAGAGATCTACACACGACCGAAGGAAAACGAGACTCAACTGAAATCCAAGCTGGCAGAGATTGTGACATCCATGAATTGAAAATCGTCGAAAACGGAACCGCCGTTTTGACAACATGGATAATGACCAGACCGTGGGATCTTTCATCGTACGGCGGACCAGCAAGTGGATTCCTGAGGACGACTGGATTCCAAGAAGTCGACATTGCATCTCAAACAGTCCTCTTTACCTGGGATCCGGCCGATCACATTGATCTCAAGGATTCGAACATGGAGTTTGGATGGGACCACTATGGCGACGGTCTTACCCCCCAAACAGATTGGGATTTCTTGTATGTATTTTCAAGTCTTGCAGCATTATTCAATGTCCCAGCTAACACCTAATCAGTCACATCAACTCAGTCGACAAAACACAAGATGGGGGTTACTTGATCTCTGGACGGCACACAAGTACTATATACAAGATATCACCCCGAGACGGATCCGTCTTGTGGAGACTCGGCGGCAATAACTCGGATTTTACATTCGAGCCCGGCTTGAACTTTAGTTCTCAACACCATGTCCGAGTCCGAGATGAAGATGAAGGAGGCATGACGATATCGTTGTTTAATAACGCGTTTGATAAACATCACCAGACAGCACATTCATCATCTGGTCTTGTACTGCGCATCGATATGGATGCTATGCATGTCACTCTCGTACATCGATACTCTTCGCCTCGGGGTCTTCTTGTGGAAAAAGAAGGCAGTGTACAGCCTTTGGAGAGTGGGAATGTTTTTATTTCTTGGGGAGCTGAACAATCCCTTACTGAGCATATTTTGGACGGCTCCCGCGTGGTGTTTGAGGCAAAATTGGACGATTCGACTGGTTATTGGTATCGTGCTTGGAAGGCTAATTTTACCACTGTGCCGACGACTTCTCCGGATGTTTATGCTATGTCTGAGGGTATTGAAGGTCCGACTGTTTGGTTTGTTTCTTGGAATGGGGCGACTGAAGTGCAAGGGTGGAAGGTTTATGTTTCGCGGCAGCAGTGGGGTAGGTACGAGTTTATCGGGCATTTTGAGAAACATGGGTTTGAGACACGGATTGAAAGTGAGAAGTTCTTTGCTTGGACTATCATCGAGGCTGTTGATGGCGCTGGACAGGCACTTCGCAATTCGTCGGTGCCAGTTCGTACTTCCACTCGGCGTCGAAATCTACTCGGTGGACAGACAGATCTTTGAGACTAGAAGACATCAACCAGTGATATACCAACCAACAGCTCATGATCAAGGTGAGAATTTCGGGCACACTTCTGGGCAGATTTCGGCTGTTATTTTCGTGTCAGATAGGCCAATATGAAGACAAATCTATCAACTCAGCATAAGAAATCAAGTAGCCATAATCCGTTATAAATCTATCAAACAATCAGCAATTCCAACCAAGACAGACGAAGACAAACAGAAACAAGAAACAATGAGTTATATATACCTCCCTACCCAACCAATCAAACACCCAACAACCAAACCAAACACACAAAAACAGAAAGCGGTAAACCCCCCTCCCCACTCTCCAAACCTATAAATATTCTTGAGTCACAAAAACTTCCTTCCCTCCCCAAGCGCCATCCCCACCAATGCTGCGTTTCTTTGCTACACACGACGGAGCTTCGCGCCCGTCCTCGGGACGTCCTGGGTCCAGCCCAGGTCGCCCGAGACCCCTTGCAAATGAGAAATTCGGAGGAATCTTCAAAACCCAAACCCGCGCCGTCGTTCTTCATTGCGCGTCGGCGCCGGTCCTGCCCGCGAGGGCCTGGTGTGATCCTAGAGCGACCTAGGTCACTTTTACCACACCTGCACTTGGCATCAGAAACATCGGGGTGATGGAAAGGAGGCCTCGCGGTCTCTTTTCTTAAGCCCCATGGGAGAGTCGGTGCGGAGATTGTGTGTGATGACACTTTAGTGCAATACGCAGCATACCTTGCTCTGCTTCCTTCCGTTGGAGGGGAGTGGATGGTATCATTCGATTCCGATCATTCTGGTGGGGATGGCGCTTCACTTTTTTTTTTTCTCAGGTCAGTTTTTTACGATGCTCCCCTGGTTCCCCGGGGAGTGCTGGAAAGAGTTTTTTTTTTGGCGACCTTGCTGATTTGTGGGGTTGTTGACCGTGTCCCTTGAGGTCTTTAGGGGGTTTCCTTTTGACACTGGGCTTTGGTCGCTAGTGGTGGGTGGATTGGATTAAGAGGCATTGGGGTTAGATATTAGTGAAATACATTTTATGTGCCTGCCGGGTTATCATGTAATATCCTCTGTGCCGTTCTATTGTTGTAAAATATGTGAAAGTACTCTGAAGAGGACGTGAATAATTTGAAAAAGTTGGCGATGTCGAAACCTCAACCGCTGAATTGTGAATTATCGTGAAAGTCTTGGTATCCCCCCATTGTCTGGGATGCAGTGAAAGAACTATCCTCTCTCCGTTCTCTCCATTATCATAGAGTTTCATTTTAGCATATCCCATGTCCCTCCATGAACCTCGGATGGTTTGTTTACTCTTCGTCACCGATCTGTGTTGACACCCCGCGTTAGCTCGATTCCCAACTACCTATGAGACACTGAAATACAAAACTTACCTTGGGAGCCAGGTAGAACCGCAGGTGGCCACTGCCGAGACCGTACTCGACAAGGAGCGGTACCTCCTGGGACAGGTGCAGCACCACAGACGAGGACAGGTTGGAGGCCTTGCAGAAGTTGACGAGGTACTTGAGGGAGAATGTCAGGGCGACGGGTTCGGAGAGGGAAATGGCGACGTTCTGCTCGGGCTTGTCGACGTTGGTGTGCTGGCGGATGGTGACGGAGCCGTTACCGATGTCACCCTGGCATGAGAACTTGACACCCTCCTTGCTGGCCTCAATCACGACTGCGGGGGTTAGCATAAAGGTTCTTTTTCTGCCAGCCTGACTTGGCATTTTTCTCCCCAATGATATATAACGTACCTGACTCAGAGAGCGCGTTGAGATCTCTGCAAATGCGCTGGAACTCGGCAGAGGGCATCTCGACAGTAGCAGCGTACTCGGTCTCGGGGATGGCCAGGTGCTCCTGGTCAATGTCCATAAGCTTGATATCGTACTCGCTGAGGCGGTCGGTCTCGGCGCTCTCGAACATCAGGTTAACGGCATCGGGCGAGTCCTCAGCCTTGAGGGTCAGGATGTCTTCGTTCTGGGCGGCCCGGAGGACCTTGGTCAGGGAGAGCAGGTTGATGCCGAGGGCGATGTTACGGTCGCAGCGGTAGGGGGAGAAGCCCTCCGCGCGGAGAAGCATGGAGACCAGGGCAACGTGGGAGTTGTCCATGGCCTGGAGAGCGATGCCGGAGTCATTGCAGTCGAAATTGCAGTCCTGGACGAGGTCCTTGATGGCGTCGACGACCTGGTCGCAACAGTCAGTATTTTGTTCGTCGTGGGTTTGGGACACCGTATCACATACGCGCTTCAGAAGGCTGGCCTGTTCCAAACGAGCTTCCAACACTAGAGAAGGTCAATTGATCTGTTTTCGCACAAAAGGATCTCTTTGATTTTGAAGCTGGCGGACTTACTCTTGTCGGTATTTGTGTGTTTTGAGAGTCGTAGAAGGAATATGTGAGGGTATTTTCGGAACGTAAAAAGGATGTTAGAGGGGATGGGGGCGAAGACAGTGGAAGGGTATGTATTTGGGTGAAGGTGAAAGAGGCAGCAGTCTAATATAAGGATCGCGTTCTTGGGTGGGGAAGAAACGCGGTCAGTCGCGTTTGGCGATATGTCCCTTTTGGGTAAAGTTTGATGCCTCAGGCGGCAAGAAGGCAAGGCACCCTTCCATTTTATACATCCCTATAGGGGCAACCCTAGACGATTTCTACTTTCACTGTAAAGAAATAATAAGAATGTTTGCACAAGTACCTGCAGTAATATACAAATAGCTATCTGATGCCTGTCAATGCTGACATGCAAAGACAAAAAACTCCATCGCCAGAATCACTGTACAGAATAATAGCTAGTAATCACACAAAAGAAAAAAGAAAGAAAAGATCAATAAAGAGCTAATAGCAAAAGAAAACCCAATAAAACACCGCTGTCGCCGGTCCCGTCTATACATGTTGTGGGTATCAATTTGTGACTTCCAGCTGCTAGCGCTGGTTGTGGTCAAACCTGCCAAATGGAGTAAAAGAAAGTAGAAGGTCCTGTCAAAGGATCAAGCAAACGATAGAGTTTACAGCCTTATCTAGATGCTGGTTACCCTTTTGGAAGAGTGGTTCCCTGGTCGTTGCTTGATCACCATTTCCAGCTCCTTAAGCATATTAGTATTTGCATCGACCTTTTCCCGAGCAGTCGCCTGTCTAGCACGATCTTCTCGTACACGTGCAAGACGCTCATCTCGGGTCAATGAGACACGCTTGTTTCTTGATGCAGGAAGGACAACGGCTTCGAAAATCTCCTCGTCATCGTAGGTTTGGGTCAGGTCCGGCCGGCCCTCGCCGTTCAAGGCTTTGAGGGCATCGGTTGGGCTGCCCTCGACCGCTGTGGAGCCTCCCAGGCTAGGAGTGGGAGACATGGGCATCAACAACGTACTTGGTGGCCGCGAGCGGTCCACAGTACTAAGTCGGTCTTGATCGACCAGTGCAGCCTTGCCGGATTCCCACTCCTGAAGAAGGGCTCTCAGGTCGCTGCCAACCGAGTCGTATTGTGCAAGGAGAGCAGCTTCATAGTCAGCAGAGTCCGGCCGCTCAAGGCTGGCGTGTGACTCCTCGCTGACAATGTGCATTTTGGCATGCAAGGCACGGACCCCTTGAGACAAGGAACTGAACCGTCGAATTTGGGCCCGTAGATGATCCTTGCTTGGCGATGCGGAGGCGGATGGCAATGGCGATGGAGGAATATTGTCACCTGGGAGAGTTAGCTAGCTTCAAGTCATTACTAGAGTTTGATACTCACGATCTTCCTCATTCAGGATAGCAGTCATCTTTAACATGCTGTCTCCAGTCACTGCCGCGAGCTCACGCATCTCTTCAACGGCTGAACTCCATCTCGCTATGTCGGAACCTCCACCGTCGGCACTAAGAGCCAACAAACAACATAAAACGCTCTTCCGCACACTGTAGAGTTTCCCAAATAGATCCCTGAGGGCGCGCAGCGAGTATTGGTCATCATTTGTTCGATGCGATAGAGACGATTCAATTGCCCCAAGTTCCTCCAGTCCAATGTCATAAATGTCGTAATATTTGGCGAGGTTGGCCTCGTCAGTAAGCGGGCGAAGAGTGTTCTCAGATCGAACGTATCGCTCGAGCATCGAGTAAAAGCACTCTGAAACCGTTCTGCGCAGTCTCAAGCATCGGCGCGTTTGTACTTGATCCTCGAGTCGACTGATAGGGGGCAGGGGTGTGCTTCTATAGATCTAGTTAGCTTTTTGTAGTGGTCCACATATAGTTGACAGTCTTACATCCGATAGCCCCGGGAAACAAGTTCAACCTCCTGTATGAAAACAACAGAGGCCGAGGCGGCTGAATCAAAGCCCTGGGCATTTCCAATAAATGTGCCAGCTGCTTCTACAGCCTGATGACGGAGGTATTTCAACCATTGCCGTTTCGCAAAGGCGTAGAACATAACACCAAGAACCGGAACAAGGATCAGGAGCACTCCAATCTTTTTAGGATTGAGTCCCGACCCTGTCCTTGAACGACTCCAATGTAATAACCAAGCAATAGAGAAAGACGTGCAGGCCGTGACAATGGCACCTTGTATTCCGAACGTTGTAGATAATGAAGGAGGGGCTGTGGGTTGTGTTGCTGAGAGGACATCGGAGGCGGAGGTGTAGGAGGGGGCGCTGTGCTCGTTCAGCAGCTGCGATGCGACAATAACGTAACCAAATTGTTCCAAAAATCGCTCGTTATCGCTGCGCGGTAGTCGGACGTTCAAGGCAGACTAGAAATGAGGGGTTTGTGAGCGTGGCGGAAGTACCCCAAGCTGGAGAGTGGACATACCGAGCAAGCATCGTACAGTTTACCGGCAAATTCGCTCCGCGGTGTACATCTGAGATCGAGGGGCTTCGGTAGCTTGTTTCGAACGCGGGTCTGGAATTTGGAAGCCCCTCGAGGGGCAAAGTTCAAAGCACTGGTATGATCATCATCGCTTTGGTTCTCCTCCACCGGCCAACTCTCCTCGTGTCCACCTTCGCCTGGCGCGGATGTCAGTGGGTTTGCATTCCATAATTCGGGTGGGTTTGACGAACCTTCGAGGTAGTCGGCCAAGGGCGAGTTCTCATAAACGAGTGATTCCATGTTGCGGGATCATGCCGTGGGGGAAAGGAGAGCGGAGAAAGCGAAACGGTAACGTGAAACGGTAAGGCAGGCGCTTATAAAAAGGCCATACCGTAGAAGAGACGCCTGGTACACAAGATCTCGAGAACTGTGTCAGAAGGCAATGACTAGGGCCACGTTGAAGCATGTCCGGGGAAAGGAGGTCGCGGTCACGAGAGGCTAATTTAGGTCAGACCCACCTGCCGGTTCCTGGTGATTTCACGACAAGTAAGGGCGTTGACGTGGGAGATTAAGTAGGATATATCATATGCATAACTAGATCTATTCCTTACATCTACAAGTTGCAAACAACTTATGCCGATAAGGCTCGCGTGCTGCAGTATGCAAGCTATCCATGGATTTTATGCACATCCTTAGTCAGAAACATGTAAACATAACTAAGGGATCTGCATTATTCTAGAAGGGCGATCATGTTCTTTGTTCTTTTGTCATTTTTGTTCTATTACACTTTCTGTCGAATGTACATGAGAATAGGAAAATTCTTATCCCCAGCTGAAACCAGCATTCAAACGTATAGTTCTAAGCAGAAATCACCAGAAATCACAAGAAAATCGGGGCTGAATTGTTGATTAATTGGATTAGAGGCTGCCAGAGGCACTGTAAGATCGGCATCAGCGCGAGGGTACAGAGGATGAAGTGCAAATGCATGTCTGTCCCATCGTTTGAGGAGATCCCAGCCCAATTTACGCGGTTGGTTACGACGTAGGAGATCATAGGTCAAGGTGACACATGTCCCTACTGTAACGTGTTTCGGGAAGCGCCAGGAAGGGGGATATTCCACCCGGCGCTTAAACAGTCATGCGCTCAATATCCGATGGTCTCATGTGCCGGACGATCAACATTTAGAGATGTCTAGTCACCCCGCTTCAGCTTTTCCTGGCTCGCTTGCCCTGCTCTACAAACAAGAATGGCGCAACCGCAGCATATCGAACAGTCACCTTATTTGCACGCTGCTGAGGATGATGAAAACGCAGAATTTCTCTGCAGTTCTCTCGGCGCTTGACAGAAAGCAGTTGCCCCTGCTTGCGAGCGCCATTCTACGGCGCCTCCAGCCACCCTATCAAACTACCGATGCGAAACCCTCAGTCGGCGAGCCTTTGTACGGATCTTACCATGTACTCTTCCCATTGACCTTTGACATCGGCCTTCGCTGGATCGCAAAAATCCCCATTAACGGCACGGCAAGCAAATGGGATGAGTTGTCTGCCTCGGCCCTGACCTCCGAGGCGAACACAATGCGCCTGTTGAAGCGCGAGACTACTATCCCTCTACCTGATGTTTTGGAATTCTCCTCGACCACACAAAACACTCTCCGATGTCCTTACATTAATATGACCTTCATTTCCGGAATCCCTCTATACGACGTCTGGTTTGGACACCGTCTGTTTACGCCGAATTCGCGCCCTCGAAAGCATCGCCTCGGCAATGGTGCAGCTGGAAAGATTTTCATTTCAAACCGGCGGCCGTCTTCTGTTTGGAAGCGATGGCAACCCATCTGATATCGGACCTATGCGACGAGTTGATCACAAGGCTATGCTTGACCGATGTTTTGTTCATGAAGCTCCAGACGATGACCCCATATATATTGAGTGTGCGGCATCCAGCGACCCGAAAGCATACTACACCCTCATGCTCGACACACACCCCGAACAGAACCCGGTTCCTAGGGGTCTTGCAACGCTCTTGCGCCAGCTGATCAGCTGGATCCCTGAGCTGGATCCCTGAGCCCGGTGGAATGGATCCCTTCGTTCTTGCACATCCAGACTTTGACATCCAGAACTTCATAGTATCTGAAGAGGGCCAGCTCCAAGGTATCATCGATTGGGATGGGGTCGCTGCTGTGCCTCACACTCTTGACAGCGAGAGATATCCCGGGTGGCTCACGCGCGACTGGGACCCGGCTATGTACGGATATAAGGAGTCTATGGAACATGGGGTGGAACCAGAAGGTGTGTGGGAAGATTCGCCCCAATGTCTCGCCTACTACCGCGACATCTATGATGGCATAATGGCAAGACATCGTATGGAGAGAAGAAGAGGATCTGAAGCCAACCTCTGCCGAGCATCCCTCATTACGGAAAACCTAGCCATTGCGGTGGATGATCCTCGATGCCGAAATGCAATTCTGCGCAAAATGGTGCATGAAATATGGACTGCTGCGGGAGGAGGTGAGCAACCGGACTTCACGGACCTAGCCGACATGTTCACCGAGAGCAACATGGATATCGTGTTGATGGAAACGCTCCATAGGGGCTTTAACACGCTTCTGTCGAAGAAAAAGTTGTAGGGTGCGTTTGATTAGATGCTTCAGGAGAGCAGCAAGGAAGCTCCAGATCATAAATAATAGGTATTGAGCAATTTGACGGCTTGGTCGATTCTACGTGCATGCCGAAGCTCATTACGTTGTGCCTAGACACCCCCAAGGTCAAGGGGTTAGGGGATCAAGAGAAGCTGGGGTTTTATTCAAGACTTGCTGTGCAGAATAGAGAAAAGCCTGGGTGTATTTGGAGTCGGTTTTGTCTTTTCCCTTATTTATGGGTCGGATAGCTCTGCAAGCATAGCTGCCTATGCCGACTATTGAGGTAAAGCTTGGTATAAGAATAGTTGTAAGTTCATGTCTTTCGCCGCGTTGCGGTAAAATCTCCACCTTGATGTGGTCAGAACAAAGTACCATCAGCCCCGATATAAGACCACTCGCAGCACTCATTGAAGAGCTGCATCATTATATGTTACATGTATAGCTAGATCTCGGTGGCATATAAGCGAGTCTCAACTCTAGGAGTTGACCTTGCCTCCCTGATCCGTACTCGCTTTGCTGACTAAGATTAGCGAGTAGGGGTCAACTTTTAGCGCGTACGGGTCAACTGGAACCCGTGTACTCAGTGAGCCTGACTCTGAGCGTCCTCATAAAGCGGTGGCAGCTCAGATAGGAAAGCCCCACCCGGCAGAGGAAATCCACTACATAGAGTCACCTATATCTGATTGACACTCCCAATGTTTCAGGACTATACGCCAAGGGTCAGCTCCAATATGTCAACCAAAAGCACCCAGTCAGGATGGGGTGACTATCTAGCTGCTAGAAACGCCGGACTACCGTGTCTCCCGGCGGTTACGCAACTCAGCCCAGAGGTTGTGCGAATCATGGGCGGAAACCCGGGCGACATGCAACTACAAGGGACCAACACATATCTGGTTGGTAAAGGCCGGGACAGAATCTTAGTAGATACGGGTGAGGTTCGTGAAATTGCCAGCCAAGCTATTGATTAATATGAAGTTTAAGTTGACCTTGACTGACAGGGCTGTCCGATATGGCTCAAAACCCTGGTCGAATATCTTGACAAGAACCAGCTGAAGATATCCCATGTTCTGCTGACGCACTGGCATCCCGATCATGTCGGCGGTGTTCCGGCGTTACTCGCTGAGTACCCTGAGCTTACCACGGCTGTCTACAAGGCAAACCCTGATCAGGGCCAGAACCCAATCCACGATGGTCAGACATTCGTGACTGAAGGAGCCACGCTGCAAGCTTTATTCACACCTGGGCATAGCAAAGACCACATGTGTTTTGTCATGGAGGAGAACGGAGCCATGTTCACAGGTGATAATGTCCTGGGTCATGGAACCAGCGTGGCTTTGGAAGACCTAAAAAGATACATGGAAAGTCTACGGATTATGAGACATGATATGCGCGCCGGGGGCCTTAAGATTGGATATCCTGGACACGGCGCTATGATTGAAGATTTGTCAGCAAGTCTCATGGTTTACACCAGACACTGGGAGATGAGGGAGAAAAGAGTTCTCGCTGCATTTGCCGAGAGCAACGGCATGGCAATGTTGACGACGCGAGAGGTCACAGCGAGTATCTACGGGTCAGGGATGGACGCTTTGGCCGGGCCATCCGTAATGCATGTTTTATTGAAACTACACGAAGAAGGAACGATTGACTTCACTGTGGTTGGGCAAGAGAAGAAGTGGTTTATGTAGATAGATTGTCATAGCTTACATAGAATTTCTATAGACTACCTGTTCAAGTTTCGCCCACTCTCACCTACCTCGGCCACCCGTGGACCAACTTGCGTCATTGTAATCTGTTGCAATCTCCCCCGCAAGGAAGTAGCCAGCGAGGTGAGAATACCCACCGGTAACTCTGAACCATTGCTGAAGCCATTTGTCCCATTCCAGTGGTTATACCCCTCAATAAACTGCAAAATGACCTTTGCGACTTCAGAAAGTTCCCCCAAAACTAAACAAGCTTTAGTTTTGGATACGGACTCAATGCTGGGAGTATCCCAAGGCGTTATTAGACTCAGGACCGCATCATGGGAGTAGTCTCTCCTTAGCATCGCAATTGACACAGTATGGATATCGATGATACTCATACATATAGCAGAAACGAGCATTCCCACTTCAGCCCGCCCGGAGCATGAACATGCTAAAATTGTACATAGGCGATCGATGGCTGCACCTATGGCTTGTGCCGTTGCGCTGAGGAGAATGTCGTCTATTGGGTTTGAGCCCCTGAGTTGCGTGGCGGAGACTTCTAGCAATGAAATTAGATCCAAGGCGACCAATACACAGTCTGGATCGGAGTTATCATGGCTGTTTGGGGCTTGTAGTGGCGGCTGTGCTGTGCTGGACGTGTCGGGCTGATTGATTGGGCTGATTGAAGGTGAGCTGTCGGGGTTCACCTCGACTGGTGTGGAAGATGTGCAACGGTGGGAGTAGAGCTTAACGCTCTCATCTATGAAACAAGTTGTTGTTGGCGCGTTTTTCCGTTGATGTGATTTGTCGGTGGCATTTTCTTCTGGGATGGACCCTTTTGGTCTATATGGTCGGCCGACCCGTCGTGCTGGGCTATAGAAGCACGTATACCCTAGCTTGTCGCAACGTGCACAGGAGGGTTTCCCCTTTGTGCAGCGCACCTTAGAGGAAGAGCATCTATCGCAAGAATCTTTAAGCTTCGGGCTTGGTGGTACTGGTCTCGATGAGAGTGAAGGCCGAATACGATGGTCGCTCATGTTTTCGGTCCAAGTGGGTATTGACTGATGCTAGATCCCCGTTAGGTTTGGATTTATTAGAGGGACAAGCTCATTTTCATACTGGTCGAATGATTTAGTCTGTTTCTTCGTGGTTTACCCACTCCCTCAGCGTCAGCGATGGACGGAGATAGACAAAGCCGAGAAGTGACTGGCATGTTCCCGAAAGCTTCTAGCCGTTTATTATATATTATTTTATGTCGACTTAGGAAAAAAGCAGGAATCTCATGCAGTAGGAATGAAACCTCGTGTCGAATTCCCGAAATTTCGTGTTGTATCCCCGAAGCCTCACCCCTCTGCATGCTAAATCTCAAATAAGCACTAACTCCTTGGAGATACTCCATGGAGGCACTCCACTCCACCTTCGGTTAGGGCCGACTGTGAAATTTATGATCCTGTACCGAGTCTCCGAGGAAAGATCAAAAAGCGCAGATGAAAAAAAAGTCTTGCGTACTCTACTTGACTTCGTTCAGATTCGTTAGCATCAGATATAGGCAAGAGAGATGAAATGTGTATCATCCAGAATTGACATGGGTGGGTCCACAGAAATGAAAATCTCCCGCGATCATACAGTAGAACGTCTGACAAGATATCACCTTCAATTGGTGGAATAGCGTTATTTCCATCATATTCGAATGCATTCGGATCACGCTGATTTGACATTGCTATGCCATTCTCTGTCACAGGCCTAACTATTGAGGCTCTAGTCTAGATCAGCGAGCCACGGGAGGGGGATCGATAGTTTCCATGGTTGAGAATATTTTAGCCCTACATGGGCACAGAAAACAATCGTAGAATAACAGGGTCAGCAAGTTGAATGCATTAGCGTAAGGTGGCCTGTATGAAAACCTCGCAGTTCCCTATACGACCCCCACCCCCCAACTTAATTGGCCAACTGCCTTCCTTCGATGTACGTTCTGCTAATCGCCTTTCCCGCAAGAACGAGTACCAACTTAGTGTCCGAAACGATCCCTTCCATTGCTCTGGGTACAATCCTTGGGCCATGTTCTACGAGGTCTGGTCACACTAACCAGGCTACAACGCAATGGAAGTCTTAGGTCCAAACGATGATCTGTGCTTCCACAAGGAGCCAATTTCTTTCCCCACTCCTCCTGAGAATAACGACTGGGATTCAATACTAGCGCAATGTCAAGATTACGATAATATACCATCCGTGGAGATATCCGCCAGCGACAGGTTATATGCAGGCTCACTATTAGACCAAGATCTGGATCTAAATGTCAATATCAATCCTGATTTATGTCTGGATCCTTTGTTATCCACATCATCTTTTCCATCTGGCACTGTTTCCGACCTCTGCTCTCTTACAACACAACCAAATTTCAACGGCAATAACGGCTATCGTGAGCCGATTCTAGGTTGCTTCACGCTTCCCGACCATCACACCAACCCAACAGCTCCTCAAAGCCTCTCAACTACCCCCTTTGAAGTCCCGGGATCAGAACTGTCTCCATTGACAACACCCCCAAATCCAACCACGCCGGGGTTATGCCTTGCCCAAAACCGCCCTCTTTGCATTATCACCGCAACACAATCCCTTCGCTCACTCCATATCCCCCAAAGCAACTGCCTATCCCGCCAAAACGGAAGCCATTGTCAAAACGAACACAATTCTCCACGCATGTCTGGCTCAGTCCTGAAATGCAACAAAGATGCAGGAATGGCAGTCTGCAGTATGCTGCAATGCGGATGTGCCCTCCGCCCACAGAACCAGCTAGTACTGGCTATCATATGTTCGCGTCTTATTTCATGGTACCGTGCAATGATCCACACTTGCTTCTTGAACCGCCCAAATCAGTCGGAGGAGAACCAACCTGAAGAGAACTTCGCATCACCAGAGAAGGTCGTCCACCAACCTGTGACAATCGGAGATCATTCAGTCGACGACCAGACGCTGGGATGGACTATTCAAGCCCAAGTCACGCTGGGTGAGTTGCGGCATATGCAGCGCTTGGTCGAGACTCTCTCCGTTCGTATTCGGGAAACGCCCAATATGCAGCCAAATGGAAATTTGGATTTTGCGGCTGATACACAGGTCCCGTCGGTTGAACTTCCGGGACCTGCGCATGATCGCATGGTGGCGCATATGCTGGAAGAAGTTCATGCGGCTAAGGCTGATTTGATCTCGGCTTGGATGAAGGTGTAAATTTTGGTTGGTTAGGTTTGGTGATAGGGTATGCATATAGATGGACATTGGCATTTCAACAGCCTTGTGATGGGATTTATAGTTCACGGTTCCTGGCAAATGTTGTTTAGTTGTTGAGGCTTGAAATCGGTATATTTTCTGGCTTAAAATTCTTGTTTTAGCTTTTGGTATTTTGGAAAAGTAGTTGGTTGAAGATGAGGATGGCTTTTTAGAAGAAGTGGGAGAGGCCCAAGAGTCATGATTCATTCTGAGGTCTGTTGAAGGGTAACTTGGGCCTTGTAAAGTGGCTGAATATAGCTCGGGGAATTACACTCGCTCCATTTGGAAGTCGTCGGGGAATTATGGTCTGCGGGCATCACGTGTGTTCTGTGTAGGACAACCTCATGTGCCTATCCAGACGCCCTTCTTTTCGTCCGAGTTGTCAATGAGCAGTTAAGTATCCTCTGCATTGTATACTGTCTCCTTTAAGTTAATCAGTAATGTTGTCGGCTCTAAGATTACATTATAGCCCATCATACCCTTGGAAAGGATCAATCCCCTTGATACGTATTGAAAACCAGAATAGAGAATATAAGGAGATATAGCCCAAAGAGCGCGTCAAAGGAAGGAAGAGGTCGTTGTAATCCGTCGTTGGTATCGGTATGTGTGCAGTGGCCTTTGCCGCAGGCAGTGGGAGCCGGATGGCTTGTTGTGGTTGAGACCTTGGTTTCCGAGCAAAGTTTCTTCGGACAAAATCCATAATAGCATGCAAAAGAGCACAGTCCTTCGTAACTGTCATCCCCGTTCTTCGGGTAGCCTTTGTCTTTGGTGGTCTTCGGTTTTCCTTTGGGAGCACCCATGGCAGTGCAGTAGCATGTGCCAAGTGGACAATAGCCGTATTTGCAGGTGAATTCACATAGCTCTGTGAAGTTTGATGATCCAGCCCCCTCGATGCAGGTTTGCTCGGATAATAACAACTCTGGCGAGACTGAGTCTATGGTGCTTCCTGATGTTGAGCTTCCTACCCATGCATTTAGATTGGCGAGGTCGCCAGTGCATTCCTTGGTCAGAGATCGGCCTTTGACGGATACAGTCTCTTTTCCATTACGTAGAATAGTGACAGTAGTTTCCCCAAGGTGCTTGGAATCATAGTCAAAACTACCGTGGTAGACGCCAACACCGCCATCTGGTTCAAATTCCCATTTTGTGTCTTTTGCGTCGCCGCCGATACTCACCTTGACCGAAGCATTTGAAGCTAGAAGTGCCGTAAAGAACAACTTGTCCGCAATTCGAGTATCAGCATCCTCTTCGACTTGGAGCTGAGCTGTGAAGCCAGTGGTATTTCCTCCACCGCAAGAGATCCGGGGTTGTGTCCGATACCAAACAACGAGGCTTTCTTCTGTCACGGAGGCTGTTCCTTTCTTGTACAGATCAATAACATATGGAAGCTGTAGTCTCCAGCCATCGTGCGGCATCCCTCGGGCGTAGTTGTATGGTGCCTTCCCCGCGGTGAATACTCCATAGCCCTTTTCGTTAAGTGGTCCGATATAATGCGACTCGCCGTAATCGTTCCAAGAAATTATCTCAACCCACTCGGGGTTGAGGAAGCCAACCTCCACCCATCGATCATACCACAAGTCGTCTCCGTGACATACGAAGTTCTTGTCGTAGCCAGGCATATTAGTATAAAACCACGGAGAAGCCGGCATCATGTATGGCTTCCCAACATCCCCAAGGCACTGGAGATATGCGGCATCCACATAGGTGGTCATCCGTCGAGTATCTGTTGGCCAGGCAGCCCACGAGAACAAGCCGTCAACGACGCCTCCTGCGAGCTCAAGGGCAGAGTTGGCTGCTACGGAGGACCAGTCGGGGACGAAGAAACAGCGAGTTTGATTCTTGATCGCAATCCAATCATCGGCGTTCTCAGTTCCTTCAAATGTAGATACGAAAGGTTTTTCATCATGGCGATAATAAGCGGAGCTCGGGGCGTATTTCTGCAGCATGCTGATGACCTGTGCCTTTGGCCAAGCTCCATTGCCGGCGTAGTCAAAAGAGAAAAATAGATGAAAACCAAGGTTTTCTGCCATAGTGAAGGCATTTGCAACAGACTGTTCATTTGTCTGCACACCATAAGCCATGTTGAGTGCAAACGCATCGATGTGAGCCTCTTTGGCGAGGGACATGTCTTGCCTCCAATCTGAGGATCCATATATTCCAGTGTTTGCCATCTAGATGAAATATCTACTGGTTAGAAATGCTTCCATAAAGATAAGCCATGCTCACCATAAAATGCGCAAACACTGCCTTACTGGAGGCCCGCGACACTAGATTTAAGAGTTGGAAGAGGATGGCCAAGTTCCTTTTTACAGAGGATTTCGTCAACTCCATGATGATACTGGGTAAGAAAAACTCTTTCCTCTACCCTGAAGATGACTTAGCGTAAGTAAAAAATAAATAGACAGGAGAGTCAGCTCAGAGCGGATTCTGATGTACATATACCTACCGCTGCACGAGAAGCCAACTCTCGCAGGTGATACCTGCTGTGGAACAGTAGTACGTACTACGGCTTGTTATATCTCTCGGGAGTATTCCCGTATACTGCTACTGGAATTGCGTCTACCACAATGCCTTCTGTATCCGGATACTAAATCTCATAGGTTCATATCTTGTAATATATGCCACACTATCCGAGATCTCTAAAGCTAACTCCACAGCCATAAAGGTCTCAAAGTACCAAGCCTGTCATCTTCCAACCTCCTTGAGAGGATGTAACCTTACTCGACAAGGCGAGTTACAAGAAGGTCCGGAGAGACCCGATTCGGCAAGGCAAAGGTTGTTTTGCACGGGGCATGGGATGATCCGGAATATGCGCCATTGTGTCTGTAGATTAGTGTGATGGCAAGAAGATGTTACACTCACCACGGCAACTATGTACATCGGTGCATACTCCCCATTTTTTTCGGATGTCTAGATTTAACGTGTCTCACTTCAAAGTAATAAGAAAAGACGAAGTATCCCTGTTTAGGATCTGATGTCTTGATTAGACGTCTTATCAACATTGATATTTGAGTTGTTTTCGCGCCAACGTTTGATTGGTGAGTAACCGATATTTGATTGTTTCTAGTCTGGTTACCAAACAGACTGGTATGCTTTAACACTTGACTGGAGGCAATGTATGACAAGATCCTTTCTTATATCTTTTGTTTCTGCAATATGTCCTTTCTTTACTTCTAGTCAAAAGTAAATGTTCTATGTATCTCTACATGTCAATATAGACTAAGCTCTATGTTCTCCTATCTCTGCGACGCTATAAATTGCCATTAGAGACCCACTTTTGGTCTATTCGGAGCTGGCTGGACACGGCATCACGTTTTGGATGGCACAAACGTGCCGCCGTTAATGTGCAATCTCTGGCCGAAGAACTGCGCGCAGGTATCACCTCATAGTTGACAAACCCAAGTTCAAATCTGATTATTGTCATATAAATAAACATTTCTGCGGAGACAGTTGCATAGTTCAACCACCATATGAATTGAACTCTGCATAATATCATGGAAAATCCGAGCTCATACTAGACAATATCCTGAGACCGTGGGACTAATGCGTGATACACAAGATATATGTGGTGTTTATGATCTAGAGCTGTGTCACAGAATTGAGCTGCTATCAGTTATCAGAGCTGCCCTCCTCTTGTAGCCCTTGTCAAGCAGATTAGAAATATCAGTCCTCACATTCTTCCTACTATTTAATCTCATTGAATAAGTCCAACATACAAGTCGAAATTCTGAAGAGATTGGGTTAAAAGTGTCGAGCCCCTGGCACCTTGTCACGGAACGTTGCATACAATCAAGCCCAGTTGCAGCAAACGGGGTGCTAGGATCCATGAGCACAGCAGTTAGTCAAGGTATTATCTGTTAACTCTAGGGAGACTCTGAAGTAGCAATGTGTATCATATATTCTGCTGCGGCATGACCTAGAGATATTGTGAGTGCAACATTGGGGGGAAGGGGCTGGTATTGTTGGAGAATTGAATAGCTAAAGGCTTGGGATAATACCATCCAAGCAAACAGAGTACAATGTGAACCTAGAAGGTTAATTGTTTGCATGGTTGCCCTACTGCCCTAGAGTAGAAGTCCGGATCTCATACTATCCTGTGTTACTCCGATTTTTCTCCTATCCCGGTAAATCAAGCACTTCCTCTTCCACCGCCCTGCAACCTAGATATTCCATTTGCTCTATTCTGGACGCATCTGCCCGGCTTCTTCAACGCTCTTCCAAGGTCACGTGTAAATATATTGTCACGTGATGTTTGACTCCACCCAAATGCTGACATAATGATAGTTGCCCTGGACAACTGCACGTCAACAACGGATCTGGAGTATTCGACTGTTCCAGGCGCGCGATCCTCGATCGATTGACTTGCACACAGTACAGTACAGTCTATATGGGTGCTTGTTAACATCCCATTTAACCCCACCATCACGTCCCCGCGTTGAAGTCGATCCCTTGATTGACTTCACCGCTTCTCTGAACATCAAACACAGTTTACGTATCTCACCAGACATTGCAAATACATACTATCGCATTCCTATGCGCCCATAAGAAAACATACTTCTACTTCCAAGGACAACTTGGCACCATGTCTGGTTTTCTGAATGAAGCTGTGACCCCTTGTCCGTGGAAGTCGGGGTCTGCAAGATTCAGCGAGCACAATAGTGGAAGTGACACTTTTGATAGCCTGTTGGACGAGACACCTTTTGAGAACACAGGAGAGATCGAGTTCACAACCGAAGTACGCGCACCGGTTTTGACGGGTACGCGTCCCCGACGCGCGAATAAGACAAAACCAACATTCCATATCCGCGAAGAAAGTGAAGATGCGTCTGTGGGTCGCGAAAAGCGACGACGAACTGCTGAAGTCACCAAGTCATCAGTAGGCCGCAAGTCGTCGCTGCTTGCTCAGCCAGCTCAACGATTCCGCCCAAACGTCAGCTTTACTCAGGAGACGAAAGAGGAGATGCTGGCACAGCCCAAGGCTTCAGGTGTTGGGGCCAGAAATAAGAACAAATCCTCGACAATACTTGGTGACAAGGATCCAAACAAAAAATCTGCGGGAGACCCTCTGAAAAAAGGTGTTCGGCGCAACACTGTCTACATCCCTCCTGATGACACTACGGTCCCCAGGGTGTTCATGGGTCTCTTCAGTCCAGTCAAACAACAATCTGGGGCTTTCAAGTCACACACATCGGAAAACACTGAAATTAATAGCTTTGAGTCACAAATTGCCAAACGCCAGGCACGGAAGTCTTTGGCGGCGTCTGCGCGACGAGCACCACTGCAGCAAAACTTAAAGGTTCCCCAGGTGGATCCAGCAGCACCTGATATCCCTGGAACCGGTGGCGGCAAAGAGAATCTACCACCTGGGAAGTTTACGCTACCTAAGGATAAAGACCCCAAATCCAACGATATTCCATCAAAGCCAAGGGTCACTCGACGCAGAGCGACAAACGCCACTACAAACCTAACCCCCGCAACTAAACAACCTCGATCCACGACAGTTGCCACCGCAAATCAAACAACAATCAGGCACAGAGGGGGACAAAAGGAGCCACTGAGAAGAGTGGCATTTGGTGAAACACAAGGAAATGCTGACAAGGCTCCCAAGGAGCAGGTGAAACGCGCAGTGCCTCTCGGTGCCCGAGCAACTCCTTTGCCAGACAGGCTGGGTGACTCTAAGTCATCTCAGAATCTCTGGATTGATCACATCAATTCCACGCTCAGGGAAGCGAATCATCGGTTCTCGTTGCTTGCAGAACATATTGCGGAGCCAGCTTTATACGAGGACAATTGGCTGTCGCACCAGGAGACTGTAATTGGTCAGCTTGTCAATGGACTATTTGAATATTCGGATCCCAAGTTGACCAGCTACGATGCCAATGCTCTTCGACTTGACCTGCTCAATATCTACCACACCAAACCGTTTGTAGGTCTCTACAAACGCCTCCAAGGCTCCTTGTCTTGTGGTGCTCTGAGGATCCCCACGGAAACCCTCACTCGAGGTACACGGCTCCATCAAGACCTTGGTGTCAAAAGAAGATTCCTGGATATCTGGATCCAATCTTATGATCTCCGTGCATTGGTTCCAGCCTTGGAGACTGTCGTTGGTCGGCAAATCTCCGACGATTCGACTTGGCTTGTGGATGGCCTCAAAGACGGTCCAGGAAGTGCATCTTCGAAGAAAATGGTCATCAGAACAGTGGAAGAATTCTTGAAAACATTTTTGCTTCGCAATGAAGATATTGAACAACCCACAACCAGCTTCAATGATCATACGGTTGAAAGGAATGCAAAGATTTACCACCGTGTTGTTCTGCGAAGCATCATGCTTGTTGCCCTGTTGGACAAAGGCAAAGAGTGTCTTGGGGCTACTTTTCCTCGCCGGCTTTTTCAGCCCTCTTCTGACTCCAAATCTTCCGCTGATGTCTTCCGAGCTTTGCTGCGCCTACTGGTTCCATCTTGTGGTGATATCAATAGGCTGCTTGTCCACCTGAACTGCCAATTATCTCACAAGCAGCATCAGTTGCAAGAGTACAATTACAAGATCAACACCATGGCCGTCGATTTCCGAGATGGCGTACGGCTGGCTCGTATTGTCGAGCTTCTTCTCCTCTTGCCACAGCATCTGCAATCTGACCCAGATGCACCTACTCAGGTCTCTCTGCCTACTGGCGAAATCTTTTCACTGACCGAGGGCCACCCCGACTTACCTCTGTCCCAGCATTTGAAATTCCCTTGTGTGAGCCATGCAGTCAAGATCTTCAATGTCCGCCTTGTCCTTGGAGCTCTGGCCTCCCAAAATGGTGCGGCCTCGGTTCTTGATAACATTCAAGCCGAGGACATTGTACTTGGCTACCGCGAAAAGACCATCGCCCTGTTGTGGGCTTTACTCAGCAAATGGGGGCTTGCAGGCCTTGTTGACTGGGATGATGTCCGCAAGGAAATTACCCGCCTCAAGCGCAAGACTGTTGCCCAGCTTGGCTATGAAGCAGTCAAAGATGAAGCTTGGTTCTTGGATAAGGAATCACTTGGAGACGAACATTCAGGCCTTCTACAGCAATGGGCAGGCATTCTAGCAGCCTTGCAAGGACTTCGTGTAAACAACCTGACCACAAGTTTCGCGAATGGAAAGGTCTACGGGAGCATCATGGACGAATATGAACCATACATTGCTGGGGGTATCAGCGAAAGTGATACACCAAATCTCCGTTTCAGCTCCATGTCATTGGAGTCGCGTCTCAAGCAATTGGGATGCAGCTCGCAATTTGGTAAGTGGTTTGGTGCCATACTTCTGTTACCGGGCTAATACTAACGTCGTTTTACTAGCATGCCTTGTTGCCCCAGGTACAACATCACACATCCTGAACTGCGATACGACCCTTGCTGCGCTGGCGTTCCTCTGCTCCCGCATGCTTTCCGCATCCAAACGTGCCCGAGCTGCCACAGCTATCCAAGGCGTTTGGCGCTCCCACATGGCAAGGAAAATGCAGCACCGGCGTGAGGTCGCTCGGGATCTCGCAGAGAACTGTGCCGCCGTTGTTCAAGGCCGGACGGAGATCCTGGGGGCAGCAGAGGTCATCACCCGGTGGTGGCGGGAGATCAAATCCCGCAAGCAGCGAGAGCAGACCCTGCAACGCAAGGCTTTGCACAAGTCTTCTGGTCGCCAGAGCCTCGGGGTTCGGGGCCTTCGTCGGCTCTAAACGAGCTTTACTTTCTTTTAGTCTTCTTTTTATCGATACCCCTGGAGCGTTTCTTACCATCATTTGATGTATTCTTACAGTGATTTTTTTATCACCTGCCTGTTATGGGTAGGCAGACGATTTGAGCGAGTACATACTTGAACATGAACGAGATTTGTTGTGTACTATCCTATCTACTCCTCTCTATGTAACTTATGCAAAGCTACGTTTGCACAGTTTACGGTCCCATCACAGTCCGATGGGGTCCCACTGCGTATAAAACGGGTTTCAGGACGTGATTGCCGTGAACCACGATTATAATACTTATAAACCAGGTAATACTTCTTCAAGCAAAAGGGTATTATGCATCTATTTTGCAGATCATCTATATTGGATCCTTGCGATGAATCACCGGATCTATACTCCCCATATCGGACGTCCCATCCACGTCCTGCCTATTACTCTCCATATCGGTGCTCACCCGACTTGTCGAAGCCATGGCGTTAGCCCCCTTTGATATCGTTGACGCCGCATGATCACTATCAAGCTCTCGAAAACCGGTTTTCTTTCCCCGCATCGACTGTAGGTGGTGGCTGGATCCGGCGTAGGGCTGCGAGTTATATTTCGAGGCGCCACTCCTGGCAGTACTGCGAAGGCCTTGCACGAGTGGATTGAGGAGTGGAAGAGAGCCGCAAATGATAGCCACATCGAGTTCGAGGCAAGTCCAGATGGATTCTTTGGCGCTAGATGCTGCTTGATATTAGCTGCGTTCTTAATATGCACTGGAATGTGAACTAACAGGCAAGGTCGGTGACTTGGAAATTGCGGAATTCAATCAAGCGCATTAGACTGAATATACAGACGCTGCCAACTGTCAGTAAAAGGGAGCTACTTTTCGTTATGTGGAGGGGAGCCTTACAGTCCACCGAGAGAAAACACGATCATTAACGCGATCTTTTGCCGAATGTTGATCTTCAAGTTCCAGAACACAGGAAGAGGAAGACAGAGAATGATAATGTCTTCAATCAATGCAATCGATCCCATGGTCTGGAAGAATTGAACTTGTCCCTTCATGCAGTGTCCGTCCAAGTCTTTATCGTAGTAGTATTGCACCGGTATGCATTGGAAGGTATTGACCAACAGCGCAGTGACGGCCCATAAAGCGATGAATGCGATCAGGCAGTAGGAAATAATGGTGTATGCACGGATGGAGCCGAAGAGACGTTTAATAAAGACGACGATCGAGATCTTAACGAAGGCCATGGACGGGGCCCAGAACTTCTGTATCATCCAAGATCCCTGCGCGAGATATTGTTAGATTTCCCATACTCGTCTCAAGGTCGTAGTCGGTAGGTCAAGACATACAAATTGAATGCGCAGCCGTTCATGTTTGGGGAGTGATGCGACCGGCAGACCGACGCCGTTGAAGGCGGCTTTGATAGTTAGTATCCTGTCGAGAGGAAGGGGGGGATGCTCACTGTCTATTACAAAAGCTGTAGCACAGTAAGAAATAATCAAACCGGCACCCATTAGATAATCTTCCAGCAGAAGCCCTAGGGCCTTCATCCGCCTGCAGTAGAGGCGTAACAGGTAGATGATGGTCGCCACCGCAGCCCCAATGATCGGCACAATAGTGAGGACATTTTTCCAATATGCATTCACTTTGTTCGCCATCTTCGGAATGAGAAAGATAGAAAATATCTAATCTCTGAGATCCGAGACCCAAGACCGAGGGCTTAGATTAAAGGGGTCATGGTATTATTATCACACTCGTATATATTAATGCGAATTCAAGCTTTGCGCGCGCAAGAACTCTAAAAGAGTCCGAGACCGGGCCTTCTCGACGAACAGGATGATCGGCATTTTACCATGTAACCATCGGTCGTGGTAGATCCAATGGCGAACAGCCTTGGCCTCTCCGGGGTTCGTTTGGATGTTGAAGTCACCACGAAAATTCTGTTTCGCTCATTAGACCTATTTCAGAGTGGAATATAACCAAATCCTTTGCGACCAAACGCCGGGAGAGATATAATGGATTAGTCTCTGATTAGTCTCAGATTAGTCTCACAGGGTCAGTCTGATTTAATTATCTAGCAGCCAATCATATAAGACATTCGGTGTTTCTCACCTAAACCAGCCTAATTCCACCGCGGAAGATATTGGCCCCCATCTTGATGAAGTTTAGTTTCTCTTAGTGTCTCCTAGACCAAGGTTAAAGAATTCTCGCTGTTCAATTGCCGTTCTTCATTTCTAAACTCGGAGCGATTGCGCCTTTGTGATCTTTCATTCACCATCGCCAAGTATGGTGCCTAAGTTATCCGGGCCCTTGCTGGCCTTAGTAAGCTATACTGTTGCAAAGCAATGCACTTTGGATAACTTCAATGCAACCGTTGGAGGACATGTCCAGCCTCTCACTCCTTTCTCCTTGCCCTGTTTCTCCAGCTACAATGGCAATTCGGTGGCTCGCGATGATGCCGCCTGCGCTGTCATTCAGGCGAACTACTCGGACCCATGGCTGCGGACCAACTCTCCCAGTGGCTATATGAACAATCAGGATGAGATGTGGGCGTCCGATCCCACCGATCAGTGCCTCCTCGACAGCAGCGACCCCACGGATCCCCTGGCGTACGCAGATGCCGACTGCCGTCAGGGCAACCTTCCCTCTCACTATCTCGAAGTACAGAGCCCAAGGGATGTGATTGAAGCTTTCAAGTTCTCCAACTGTTCTGGCAAGCAGCTCGTCATCAAAAACAGCGGCCATGACTATCTCACTCGCAGCAGCGGACGTGACACGCTGTCCCTTTGGACCCGCAACCTGCGATCTATGCATTATAGTCCGAGCTTCACTCCCAGCGGCTCCAAAAACACCGCTCGATACAACGCTATCACCGTCGGTGCCGGCGTCAACTTCGACGAGGCGTATGAATTTGCACAGGAGCACAGCGTCACCATTCTGGGTGGCTACTCGAGCACCGTCGGTGTCTCAGGCGGCTGGGTCCAAAACGGCGGCCACTCCATCTTGAGTCCCGTGTACGGTCTCGGTGTTGACCGTGTCCTTGAGTACAAGGTCGTCACTCCAGACGGTGTCTATCGCACCGCCAACGAATTCCAGAATCCCGACCTTTTCTGGGCCCTCCGCGGTGGTGGTGGCGGAACCTTCGGCGTAGTCCTCGAAAGCACCCACCGCGTCGAGCCTGCTATCCGCTTCGTCTCTGCCAATATCAAGTTCCCTGCCAACTCCACCAACATGCTCCCATTCATGGATATCATTGTCAACAACACCCTCAAATGGGGCAAGGAAGGATGGGGTGGCCACATCACCGGTAACACCCTCGTCAACGTCTCTCCCTTGCTCTCTGTCAAAGAAGCCGAGGTCTCCCTAGCAAGCGTGATTGCCTACGCGAGAGCAAACGGCGGCTCCGCCACCATTGAGGAGTTCACCTCCTGGTACTCTTTCTATGATAAATATGTCAAGACCAGCTCCGTCGCCGTCGGCGTCACTCGCTTCCCCGGAAGCCGTCTGATCTCCCGCTCCGTCTTTGAGACGGCCGAGGGCCGCTCAAACCTCATGAGCTTCTTCGAAACCATCCAGTCACTGGGCCAAACGCCGTACATCCCTGTTGTCGGACCGGTGTTGTACAACTACACCGAAGGCTCGACTAGTGCCGCTCCCGCCTGGCGTGATGCTATCTGGGAGTTGGGCTCTGGGGCTTCCTGGGCGTGGAACAGTACCGTTCCCACGCGCAAGAAGACAATCGAGTCCATTCAGAACACGACTGCCATTATTGAGGGCATCACGCCTGGCGGTGGTGCGTACAGCAATGAGGCAAATCCGTTCACGATCGACTGGGTCGAGTCGTGGTGGGGTGATAATTACGAGAAGCTGGTGAGCATTAAGAAGAAATATGATCCCTTCGGTTTGTTGAGTTGCTGGAAGTGTGTTGGCTGGAAGGAGTCGCAGGTTGCTGATTCTTCCTATGCTGCTCTTCTCTAATTCTGGAATCTCCTTGCTCCGTTTGATGTACCATATAGACTTTACACCATGTACATACGTATCATATAGCTAGACTGAACAACAGCAATGCGGTTTTGGTTAACTGCGTTATCAACAGTATAGACTTCGCCATTCACCCAATTGTAGTCACTCGCCCAGAATGGCGTATGAAGCCTGCGTTAGCTCAAGATTTTATCTATTAATTTGACGTATCTATATGATTCCGCCACAGCCATCACACCTGCCCAGGTGGGCAAGTCCCAAACAATGACATCATAGGGCGCACCAATATAACAACCACATCTTTTTGCCCATTAGTCTTCATTTCTACAATCACAGCCATCTACTCCACTTCATCCTCTGTCCAAAATCTGAACCAAACATCTCTCGATCATATCCTCTCCTGTCCTTTCGATCCACACGCAAACAAATCTACCATGCCGATCGACACATCCTCTCAAGACAAAGGCGTCACCGGCGCAGCCAAGTTCGTGACCTCCACACTTGGAAACACAGTCGGTGGAGTTACCCGCACGCTGGGCGGAGTAACTGGCACTGCAGGTCGGGGTATCGGGGATACCATCACCGGCGCGACGGGAAGTACTGGCGAGCCGGTTGGAAATATGCTTGGTAGTGCGACTACTGGGCTTGAGGATGGCGCGAAGCGCGTTGCTAAGGGGGTTGAAGATGCTGGGAAATGGAAATAAGGGATCGGGTTTACTTTTTTTGTTTGTATATAATATTGTTCGAGGCACGTAGTCCTCTCTTGTAACTATCCCCTCCTGGTTGCAACTTTTGCTTCTCTTTTGAGTGGAGTTTCTTTCTTGCCTAGAACTAAAGCTATACCCTCTCGGTCTCGGGGCTTTCTTTCTTGTTTAAGTCTCCTTAAGGGTGCTTTTCCATGCCTTTAAGCTCAAGGCTTTGAAGCATACCTACCTACTGAGTGTTTGATATCAACCCCGTTCTCCTTTGAGCATATGAATATCAGAAGAATACTCTAAGGGGGATATATCTGCCTTTTGGGGATGTAGGCTGGAGATTGGGGAAATATCTAGCTCCATAGAAGGATAAAAATGATCTCATACAACCATAGTAAGGAACGATCATCCCCAACACATGGTTTGTGTAACAGAGTATTCCAGGAACCCACGCGATATCAAATACCAGCGTGGGGTAGAAACCATCAGAACAGTTACAGTATATCTTGCAATGCAAATACATTCAATGTAAACGAAGATCAACAATGACATCCGAATACAAGGTCCGGGTTGCCAGTTCAGGAAGAAATGCACCGACAACCACACCTCGTATCCAACTCAAACCACCAAATCAGAAGCAGAAAGTGGTGCCAATAACTGACCTTCAATTCCATCATCCTGCCTTATGACCTCAGCGCCGAAATGCCTCATATATCTCTATCCTTCCGACTGCAGATATAGCATCATACCGCACAACGATCGTCTTCGGATAAATGAAACCCACCACGCTACTTCCAATAGAAATTTACATCCCCCAGGGCACGGTCACCGCATTTCTCCATATCCCCCTACAGGGCAAACGCTGACGTACATGCTACTGTATGTCATAGATGTCAAACCCTCGATCTGACGTGTAATCATCCCATCTCGGGAGGGACCGCTAGTGCCCAAGACAGACTGTAACCAAAGCACAGGCTACCATGGCAACGACTAACGCGTATTCAAAATGTGAGGTTTACAGGAGTGACATCACCGGTAGAAATCAGCATCGACATCTCCGTGGACTATAGTATAGGATACTATCCTACACTACTCGGTGGCTGGATTAAACATCCCACATACTATATATATCCAGCAAAACAGAACCAGCCCTTCAAGCCCCCCTATACTGACACCGCCATTTACCTCCGCCTCTTCCAAAGGCCCCAGCATAAAAGACACTCGTCATAAGCAGGGGATTGGCGGGATTGACGGGATTGGCGACGAATGACAGCACCTGGCGCGATTACGTAGGCAGGGATTCGTCTACTGTAGCTGCCGTTTCTGTCGATGATCTTCGAGTGTTTATGGTTTGGGTGATTGCGATGGACACCGTCTCTCTGCCGCTCACGTCTTTACCTATGGAATCCACGTCTCTGGATATGTGATTCGAAACGTGTTTCAGCTATCCCTGCCATCTGTGCCTACCGTTCTAGAAATGATATCACTGTCTATATTACAATGCTGCGATCAACGGTTTTTGTTTGGACTTGTATTGTAGGGCTTTCCGACCGAGTTATTCACGTCATTTACATGTATGGGTAAAGTTGAGTTAACGCTGCGAGGGGTTCTTGGGGCATGGGATGTGCACAGCGGCTGATGACACTCTTTTGCGACCGACAGAGTTTCGTGTATCAGTCGCTGGTTGTGGCACGTTCACCTGGTACTATATCTCCGTGTCCTCGGTCTGTGTCCCGTGGTAGGGAGCCCATGTTGCTGAACGGCATCTTCATTGGCAAGTCAAAAGGACACCCGATGACCAGAGTGTTATCTGTGCGGGGAGAGGGGTTGATGTCGATCAACTTCCAGAAGATTTGGAAGTCGGCTTGGATGTAAGTAAAGTATTGAAATCGGGGTGAAATAATGCACAGACAGTAATCGTCCGAGGACTTCCTCTTGAGGCTATGACTATACACGTAACGTATTGAGCATATCTGACGTGGATTGACTAGGATGAGAAGGCGAGAGTCTTATGGCGTGTGCCAAGTTCATAGCATGTTTCTATAATTATTCAGGTTAGTGTTTGACTACACGCCGGAGGGATCGTTAGAACCCCAGTGACATGGCTGATGGCTGCAGGGATGTCGATCGGCCAGTCCGATATGAACTGTTCTCCCAAGGCATCCAGATAAATCTGGGGGCTGTGTGGTATACACGTCTCATCTCATCGGACCGGACCGAGTCAAAGGGCCAAGGCTATAACCCGTCGATCCCCCTAACCTTGTCACTCCGTGCAACCGCTTGGCAACAATAGCAACCCAAATAGACCAGTTTGAATACTCGCCAAGGCCTTCCTGCGCCTCGCATGATCGCCCATGATCGCCCTTGGCACGCCTCCATACTCAGCACCGCCGAGCCTGAAGATTGATTTGAGACTCAATATGTAGGAGAGATGCTTGGCGAGAGAGGGAGCCCCTATCATGGGCTGTTTTGTTATCTGTGAAAAGGGTGTAGTCAATGCCAAGAGAAAAGAAAAGGGGTGACCTGAAGCTATTTTCGCATCTTGCATTTCGCAGCTCTGTATCGGTCACGATACTCCCTTTTGTGGAGTCTAGATGCCTGCCTTGCTTCATCTCCGTACTCTTGTGACCCCAGAAATACCTTTGACAGGTTCTCCAGAATGGCACAGACACCGGATTCCAGTTCGAAGTCGTACCGGGCGCATTCTGAAGACCGCCGAGATCTTGGCGGGTGCGTTCACCTCGCGCTGGTGCCAAGCATTCCTCTCTGGTCTCCGTTAATCATTGAGCGTCCCTCTCCCTGTCTGCACTGCAAGGTAGATTATTGATCTGCCAGTTCCAAGATGGGTGAATGCACAGCTTTGGCTTGGCGAGGTATTGTATCACCCCGTTCACGAAGGAAATATGCGTGTATTCGTACGTGTATCCTCATAGTTCCGAGGTGAGGGACTTGGCATTCTTTGCCAATTCAGGTCTTGTCTTTGAAGGTAAAGACCTTGGGGTATAAAGGACTCAAAGCCAGCACAGACCAATTGATGAAACGGACATTCGGGGAGGAAGAGAAAGCAATGCAAATCAAAGATCAAAGCAATTAAAATAGAACATGAAAGAAGAGAAAGAACTTTACAGTAACAAACATCCCGTCTTAGCTTAACTGTATCTGGCACAGGTTGCAGTAGCCGGACCTAAAATGCCTCATACTTTACTAGGCGCTACTGTAGAAGGTAAATCCTCCAATTCAGCCTTTTAGCCCCCTTAGCTACCGCTTACCGCACAGTTTGCATTGCAGCGTGCAGCGACAGTTATCCAATCTCAACTCTTACTTCCCTCCACTTCCCCAGGTGGTGCTCCCGGTCAATCCTTTGTATAGCCCGTTCAGGCATGTCTTAGAGATCCCGCTCGTGCCATCTGCCCGGAGTCCGGTCTCCACCTGCACAGTTCACACCTTATTGCGCTACAGTCCTTGGCTGCTCCATTTGTATACATTGACGTGTACAGCTATGGAGTACTCCATACATCGTATGCGAGAATGGAGAACGGCGGGTCGGATCAGTTGTCAATGATCAATTGAGTGACTGCCACGATTGAAGTGTCCACCCTTGCCACGGTGCAACTATACAATCTCCAATCTCCAGTTTATCCCTTCCAAATACCTTGTCTCTAGAATGAATCCTCGTTATTTGCCATAGATACAGTACATAATCCACAGAGATCGGCGGAGAGATTGACGGTAAAGTATCAAGGACATTCCCCAATCCAACCGCATGGCCAACATTCACGCCCAGGATTGGCAGAGCCCATTTTGACCAATTTTAGGCATGCGGAAAGAGAGAAGTGAAAGCCCAGCTTTTTCGTGAGGGGAGGCCAAGCCGTTCTATTCCCGTCTGCGATGTCGCTCGTCAGCGCGGGAACTTTTGCTGTCCCGTACTCTTGCATTAGTACACCTGGAGTACATTATTTACGTACTCGTAAGCGATTCGACGGTGTTCTTTGCGCCCGGGTGCGAGCTTCCAGGAAGCGAAAAAGCAAACTGGAAGAGTATACAACATTGTGTGGGCGAATCGCTTTGCTTAGACCGCTGCTCTTCCCGTCCCTGTTACATGTATAGTATAGATCTGTTGGGTAGGTATAGATACAGTACGTAAAGCGATTTCGTGATCCGGTACTGTACTTACTATCTCAAACAGGAGCTCCAATCCGAATGCGAATCCATAGTTACAGTACTCCGTATAGTCAATGTCAATGCCAATTGCATCAATGCGCCCATTCGCCCATACACTACCAGGACCATCCCAGCTGCAACCCCGTTGCATTGCTAACAAGCTTCTTCTCGATATTTCAAGCTCTCCTTAACCGTTGTGTCAAAGCTGCCCAGGAGAGGGCTCGAGAGTGCATTCGCATACATCCACACCACTGAGCTTGGACTTTTGCTACAGGGGCCATGCTTGCTCGTACAGATGCAGTGTGGGGGGGGGGGGATCTCCTTGGATTCGCGAAGCTTGTCGAGATCTCAACTGGCTGCTGCATTTACATGTACATATCTTAGATAGGGCCCTACTGGTTGGTTTGGGAAATGATGGGCTCTTGGGCTATTGATTATTTCCCGGCCTGGTCTTGCGAGACTCTTGGGCCTTTTGGTAGTAGTATTTTGTTTCTCTTTTGGTTATTGTCCGGATTACTATACAACTATACAACCTTGAATCAGCTGTTCGCTATGCTAGGGCTGATCCCGATCGCGGCTGACCGCTTCTCGTGCTTTTTTAACGTGGGCCTCCGTGTATGCCCTGATGCAGTGTCGAGTCATCGGGTCAGACATCGGATGGGTTTGGGGGTTTTTTATTTGCATATTTTTGGGTTTACTGTGGAGATGATGATTATGATGATCGAGAGATAAACAAGGCTGCCTGTTTAACAACTCATTGTACCGGGTCGATCGGTGAAGAGGCATTGTATATGTATACCCAACACTCTGCGATTATCGCTTCGCCTCTTTGAATGACGAAACAATCCTACATTGAAGTACAGCTCAGCAAAGGGAGAGCTTGGCATCCCTACCAGCTAATGCGACTGCCTTTGGACTTGGCATAGGTTGGCGATGAACGGCAATTCTGTTTCTATGTTTATACATCTGTGCATGGATACCAAGATAAAACTGAAAGAAGCCAAGAGACTTCTTGCGGATCATGATGTGGGTGCTGCATACACAACGCAGTGTATACTCCACCCGAGAAGCTCCGATAGAGTTCAGTCATGGGGGATACTGATTCACGGTGACTATTAAGAGATGTAACTCTACGTCACGGCCGCATTAGGAGAGAAAGGAATACCAAGCATTCAGGTATGATTTGGGGGATTGAAACCCGCCAAGCTAATAATCTAATAATCAGCGAACGTAGCGCGCACAGCGCGTTTATAGTTTCGAGACATTTTAGCAAAATTCCTAGCTTTAGGGCAAGTTCAGGGCTCCGCTGTGTTCAGGCACCCCAATCGGCAAATCATACAGGGGAATACCGTGGTTGGCTACTGTGAATGGCCACTCTGACGGGAAAATGACAATACTTACCTCGTGGCGATCAAACTTTGCCTATATATGTTAAGAGTACATAGGTAATAGTAAGGGGATTATAATTGCTACATGTATTTCAACGTTTTTCATGTTTTGCTATAGGCTCGCTGTAATTCGCTGTGTGTTCAGAATTTTCTCCGTTCACCGATGGTTCGTGAGTGGATGTAGCTGTCACTAGAAGTATTGGTCTAATGTGAGGGTGAAAGTAGGTCCTGAACCGGTTTAGCCTAAGCACAAAATCCCTCATAGACCAGCTCCACTACACTACGGATTGACCCTCGAAATGAAACCTTGGCTTTGTCTTTTGTTTCATTCACGCTATTGCTATTGGCATTGCTATTGGCATCGCTATTGGTATTGCATTGTTAATAGTGCTATTGAATTGCTGCTATTATTAAGTATTTGTAACTGGAATATCTAAAGTACTTGGCACAGTGGCAATGAATATCTTTCTCGGGATCTTACGGAAAATTACCCCATTACCAATACGGTAAGATGACCAAAAGGAGATTAAAAAAATCGCCGCGCTAGGCCGAAAACGACAGTGCCGGACTGCCGTATCGTCACTCCCACTTCTCTCCCCTCCCTGCACTTTTTACTCTTATGCTTCTTTATTTTGAACCTCTTCCCCCATCTTTTCTACCCCTTCTTTTCCCCCTCTCCACTCCTTATTTCAACTCTTCCACATTCTTGTTTTTTCTACACAGCACGGGCCTGAATCTGGGCGGTCGAGTCTAGCCTCACCATTGAGCCCATTCTTGAACACGGACAATTATCGATCTTGGCGAATATCCCACATTCGACTTGATTATCCCCCTACTCTAGCCATGCGTTTTATATCATGACAAGCGTCCTCTCACGGGACTTCTTGTGCTGCCCTCTGGGTCGATTCATATACCTGTGATCGATATCAGAGCATCTGTTGGTTGAAAGACTTCATACTTGGTCTATCAAGCAACAACTTTCACTGTCACCTTCGACTCGAGCCTACGCCCACCGCTTCGCCTCACCCTCCGGTTTCGATACGGAACACCTTATTTTTTTCTCTTTTGAAAGATGGCACAGACTCGCGGCGAAAGATCGTTTTCTTTTCACAACCTTTTGAAGATGCTCCTTTCATCAAACTCGTCCACCACCCCGGCCCACGAGGAGGCCGAAATGGCCGAGGACGTCGATGAACCCCCCGATCACATCATGCACGCCACCCACATGAACTCCGACCAGATCGTCTTTGCGCGGCCACGCGTGGAGCGGAAGGAATCTCTGCTCACGCGCGCGTTGAAGAGCAGCCCCGAAATGTCCCCCAGCGACCCTCACACCTCTATGCATGACTCCTACATGTACCGATCCTACCCTCACAGCAACATCAGTGGCATCTCCACAGCCGAACTCACCAGCGATGGTGGCCTCACGAGCCCGTCTCTATCCAACACACCCAGCCCGCCTTTGCCTCCTCAAATGATGGGAAAGGCAGCAATGATGGAAAGGAAGGATTTGACACCCAAAGTCAAGGTCGTTGACTCCAGTGAGACGACTGTGGAAGCCAACCTGGGCCGCAAGCGTTGCATTAGCTTCGCATGTGGCCGTAAGACAGATGACCAACCGAAAACACCCGTATCACCCTCTGAGTCACAAACACTTCCGCCACCGAAAGAGGGTCCCGAGGAGGAGGCCCCAATCCCGGAGATCAAGCGCCGGACGACCCTGACTTTTGTGTGCCCGGGACGTGAGACTATCAGCCAGAGGACCCGTTCTCCAGCTCGCAAGAACATATTCCAGTCACGTTGCCGCGGCTCCCCTGCTCCTGCTGCCCGCAAGCCCTCCGTCGAGAAGTCACCCAAGCAAACTCCTACGGAAGAGTCCGCTTCTGGATCCACCATTCGCACAGGTGTCCCGACTAGTGGGCTGGGAAAGTTTGAAGAATCAGAAGCTACTCGCTTCCACGAGTTTGCTAGCTCCTTGGAAGAAGACGATGAGTGGGTGATCAAGGAACCTACTTATACAGAAAAGATCACTTTGAACGACTGCATGAAGAAAGAAATTGCCATCCGACGGCTTGGTGAACAGGCAGAGGAAGAAGCTCTCGAAGAGGAAGAAGATGCGGAAGACATCGCAGATGATGACTCAACGGTGCACGACTTTTCTTCCGACGACGGTAACGAGTCGGACAACGAGGCTGGATTTGCGGAGTCGGATGAGAGTGACGATGATGGTTCAGACTATGAGTTCTGGGCTCCATCGCTTGCTATTCCGGAGCCTACCATTCAACCTACTACCGAACCAAGAGAAACCCGCCCCGTCACTATGGAACGCCGCGCCTCGAACATCTCCTTTGACTCCATGACGGATGATCACTCCAGTTGGCTTCCTGCTCCCGTTCAAAGACTCAACGCTCGTCGTCCTTCAAAAACCAAGAGCATCAAGATTCGCCCGAGAACTCCCAACCTACCTGATAGTACCGACTTCGTCTGTGGAACTCTCGACGAGGACCGTCCCCTGGAAGCCGCCTACAAATCTTGCCTGGAACAACGCCGCCTCTCGAAGCAAATTCCTATTCCTCAAGACATCGACCCCAGTTTCCCTACCAGCGACCCCGAGGACAACGAGGACATTGACCACTCTGACGATGATATCTCCGACCTTCCTGTTGCGACTCACCGTGAGGAAACGAGAGGACGCCCAGAAGGAGATGCCCGTAACCCGTCCCCTCTTCGCTCCCCCAAGCGTCTGATGTCCCCGCCGCCTCGTCGAGCTGGCCGCACCTCTCCGAAGCGTTTCAAGTCTCCACCTCCTCGTGTGCGAGCCAAGTCTCCTACCCCGGCGAAGTGGGAATTCGCAGAGGATATGCCTGTGGTCGAATCTCCCGAAGGTCTCAACATCAGCCACCTGGTTCAGCGACGTCCCCTGGTCCGCACAAAGTCTCTTCCACGCACCCCCAATCCTTTCTTCACCGATATGGACAAGGACCACCGCTGGCAAGGAATCCCACCCTGGACCGAATCTCCTGAGCGCGAACATTCTCGTACTCGCGAACTACACACTCGAGGCCCTGTCGACATTGTCGAAGGTCTTGAGAAAAAGCGCCAGAAACGCAAAGAAAAGTTCTGGCGCCAACACTGCCGTAAAGCTGCCAAAGAGCAGATGGGCAAACGCCCAGTCCCGGGCAAAGGAGCCGAACGGATGAAGGAGCTTGGCCTCGAAGCTGCTGAGAGGTGCAGAGCTTATGGCGTCGGTCAAGATGCCCAGCTCGTCCTATCCGTTTAGGTTTCCATTCCTCATGGAACTTGCAAAGAAAGTTCCACACTCCCGTTTACGAACTGTACATATCTACATTTTACTTTTCTTTCTACTTTTGGTTTGGGGTCTCTTTGCTCACCCTGCTCGGTTAGCGATCCGAGTGCCTTTCGCTTTACATATTACCTTGCCTGCTTCGTGTTATCCACACAAGAGGTCTTTCCTTTTTTTCACTTATATCCATTTTGCTTTAATTCCTACACGGAGGTGATTCTTTCTTTGCATTTCTGTCGGAAGTATATCTATACCTTTCCTCTTCTCTCTCTCTTCTTTTGCTTGTCCTTGGACTTGTTGGAGGACGCTTTCTTTGGTCTTTTGCATGGCTATGGTGCATATACCCCCTTGAATTTGCTGTATTGTGAATAAAGAGATCCATCAGTTGATGAGAGTGAATATGAAATCTTCGAGATATACCTTGGAGCCATAGTAGAAGAGTAGACCAATGGTAGCAATGATGATAACAAGCAGATGTTTGCGATAAAACACCAGCAACCCAAGGTAAAGATAACAACACCTAATAGCCCAACAAATACCAATATAAACCTAAGATAGGTCCAAACCCACACGGTCCGTCCGACCTTGGGCACTTTTACCTTCTCGCGGCGATTCCGCTTGCTGCCTGAGGCCACAACCAGACCCCGAAAACAACATCAAACCTGTCTTCTTGACCTACCCCCATCCACCATCCATCCACCTCTCCCCATTCACTGATCAAATCTGTGATTCTCTGCCCTGTCGCCTGTTTCTACTCGATTCATCTCTGACTTCGGCTTCTCACTATGTGGATCATCAACTGGTGTAAGTTCCCTTCCCGACACCACCACCACCGCACCGCACCACAGCCGACTTCATAGCACGTGCGGAGACTGCGACTGCATACCCGCCAGCGATTCAAATGGTTTCTGTTGGGATATGTCCTCTGTTCTGTGCTGTTTGTTTGAGCTGAGTGAGGTGCTGATAAGTGTTCTCGGTCTCGGGTCATGGCTGGCTGTTGCGCCGGTTGGGCCGCGGCTTTGCTTTCCAGGTTGCTTGTGATCGTGTGATGTGTTGGGGATTGTTCTACTGCAGAGAGCTGATTTTTTAATTCTTTTGCAGTTTACGATGTTCTTGCTTCGCTTGGTCTGTTGAACAAGCATGCTAAGCTTCTTTTCCTCGGTCTTGATAATGCTGGCAAAACGACACTGCTGCACATGCTAAAGGTGAGTTGATTGGAGGTGGGATTCTTCTTGGGTATTGATGCCGAGAGCTTGGATTTTCGGATCTGGCGCTTGGATGGAAGAACGGGGATTGAGGACTGGGGACTTGATGGATGCGGTATGGATCTGATTGCTAACAGGAACTGGAATCACTAGAATGACCGTGTCGCCGTCCTTCAGCCTACCGCACACCCTACTTCTGAGGAGCTTGCCATCGGCAACAACCGCTTCACCACCTTCGATCTGGGTGGTCACCAGCAGGGTGAGTGAACCCCTCTCTCCCAACAAGATCAACAAGATATCAAAAGAACAGCCACGATATGCGCAAGCAACCTATGAATTTACAACAAGCACAACAAAACTAACAACCAATCTCCCATCTAGCCCGCCGTCTCTGGAAGGACTACTTCCCCGAAGTCAGCGGCATCGTCTTCCTAGTCGACGCCAAGGACTACGAGCGCTTCCCCGAATCCAAGGCCGAGCTCGACGCCCTCCTCGCCATGGAGGAGCTCTCCAAGGTCCCCTTCCTCGTCCTCGGAAACAAAATCGACCACCCCGACGCCGTCAGCGAGGATGAGCTCCGTCACCAGCTTGGTCTGTACCAGACTACTGGCAAGGGCAAGGTTCCTCTCGAGGGTATCCGGCCCATCGAGGTGTTCATGTGCAGTGTTGTCATGAGACAGGGTGAGTTATTGTTGAAATCTATCTCCGATTTGAGTTCGGGTTGTCGCACTGCGGAGGTGTATCCCGTTTCTAGCTACAATCGCGCGCAGATATCCCAACTCCTCCCGGAGTCCGAAACCTATCTCTTTGATCATGGCTAACCTATTTTCCTTTTTTACCTTTTTGCAGGATACGGCGAGGGCATCAGATGGTTGTCCCAATACGTCTAATCGAGCCATCAGGCCAAACCCACTCTTGCGATCTCTCAACAACACTCCATCAACCCCACCATTCTTACCCCGTTCAAACTTGATGAAATGACATACAAGCCTTTTGAACATGCCTCCCTCCCCTTCCCACCCCCACAACTTCTCCCCAGTCCGATCCAATTCAAATTCCCACATCTGAAAACCACACCAGTCCAATGCCAATGTTCAAGCTTGCTTTGCTTCGCTTCGCTTTGCTATGCGCCACTCAGCCTTGGCATTGACATTGACCGGTTTGTCTACATCACATACACGTATCGCTTTTTCGGCCGATGCTACGTCTTGATATGTATGCTTTTATTGCTTTTTTTCGCGCTTGGTCAGCTAGCTAGCCGGTTTTTTGTTCCTATAGTTCAAAGACTTGATTTATATTTTAGTTTTGGTTTTGTAGGGTGGAGTGTAGCTTGTGTTATAGGGGATAAGGTATAACGTGCTCGAGGATGAGGTATGAGGTATGAGGTATAAATTCATCGGCTATCTTCTAGTCAAGTATGAATGGATTCAAGGATTTGATTGACATAACTGCCAGAAGTATAGAATGGGAAATAGACAAAAGTATCTTGGAACTGTCATTTCGATTGAAGAACAACCTAGACCTACTACCCTTCCCCAGCAAAAATAAGCAGAAACCCACTCCAGTGACGTCCCGTTGGAAACCCATGAACAATTCCCTATTCTCTCTGTCCTGCTGAGAAGGAGAAGCTCTCGCTGTGGCGCAGAACCAAGCTGGAACTGGCAAACACAAAAATCAAGACTAGCACTACGGTAGAGACACACTTAATCGGCCTCACGTAAACTAGACGAGAAGGATGAGATAGACGAATAGAATTCGAAATAAAGAGGAAAAAACCAAAGCACACATGCGGTAAAGGGACACGGACACAAATAAGGAAGTCGAGAGAGAAAATAAAAAGAAAGGAGAAAGATAATCAATCCAGTTCCCCTCCCTTCTCCGTTGCATGCCGAAAGTGAAAAACATTCCAGTTCAGATGGGTTAGAAACAAGAACAGAGAAGGAGAACTCGAAAATGAAACTCGAAAAAGACGAAGAAGAAATAAGCATTTGAACTCCGCTCCGGAAGTACAGAGGTCGCGGTGGATCAGGTCAGGAAATGATGGAGACTGGTTTTTTGTTCGCATGTCGCACTGGGAGAGCCCGGGGGTTGTGGTGGGAGAGATATGTGAGACAAAGATTGGTATTATCGGGGGTTGGCGGAGTTGAAGAATATCGGGCTACCCTTAGTGCGGATGAGGGGTTCCTCGGTCGTTCATCGTTTTCGTGGATCCGGAGGGACTCGCGGCGGGGGTTGTAGGTAGGATGGATGTCATGAGGGCGCTGTGAAAGAGATTTGTGAAAGGCTTATCTCCGCCCGAACCTGCTGCAGATGGGGAAGCTCGTATTGATTCTTTTATTTCTTCTTTTGCTTTCGCGGAGGAGTGACGGGACCGCCGGCGCTCATGCCACCGTAAACGTACTTTTGCTTTTTCTCGGCTGGTTTCAGGATCTGCAGGAGAGGAGATAGGTTAGAGACCGGCGGTTATGGTTTGGAGGGATTGGGAATACTCACCTGGAAGGAGCAGAGCAAACTCTCGTCTACGCTCATCATTGCACCTGCGTTGTCGAATTCACCGCAGTAGTTGGGTGCACTGAATAGTGTAACCAGCTGGCGCTTGGAGAAGAATTCATATCCATCCTCAACAACTTGGTGTGCACGGCAGATCAGATCCATGTCGTGTTTTTGCAGGAAGCGCGAAACCACATCGGGGCCGAATGTGAATGAGACACCTCGATCGTTCTCGCTCCAGCCGGTAATATCCTTATCGGGGTCGGACCACAGCAGATCGCACAGAAGACCGCAGTCGGGGATCTGTTTCAGTCAGTGATTTGGCCTTTAGCCGCGAGAAGCCCAGCGCCTCTTCGAGTTCCCGCCCATAAACCCAAACACAGGGGAATCAGAAATGAGGGGATGAAACTTACATCCGTGGGGCGCATGACACGACGGATCTGCTCCATCGAGTTGAGGTCGGGGCTCAGACCACCGTGCATGGTGAAAATCTTCTCATCAATGATGGCGGCAATGGGGAGACAGTTGAAGCAATCGGTGAAAGTCTTCCAGAGCTTGATGTTGTAACGGCGCTTGCATTCATCATAGAAACCGTAGATACGGTTGATCGAGGCGCACTCGTGGTTGCCACGCAGAATGAAGAAGTTTTCGGGGTACTTGATCTTGTAAGCGAGTAAGAGGCAGATAGTCTCGAGCGACTGCTTGCCACGGTCGACGTAGTCACCAAGGAAGAGGTAGTTGGCCTCCGGGGGGAAACCGCCATATTCGAAGAGACGCAGGAGATCATAGTATTGACCGTGGATATCACCGCAAATCTAGGGAGAGTAAACGCGTAAGACAAGGCGGTTCACGTCAAAGTTTCAAACACAAAGACCTACCTTGATGGGCGCTTCCAGCTCAAGCAGAATCGGCTGAGAGATGAAGATCTCACGAGCCTTGGTACAGAGATAACGGATCTCCGATTCGAGCAGCTGAACCTGCTTTCCAGGGCGGCTACCCCTCACCTCCAAGAGGCGGTCGATGATTGAGTCCAAATCGACTTCCTGGTCGGCCATGGCGTCGTTCTAAGGAAAAACACGAAAGAAAGAAATAGTTGAAGAAAAGAGAAACGGAACGCGGGAAGAGAAGACTTCCGGAGCGATCGGGCGAGGAGAGCAGAGATTTGATGACGCGGCTATGTCCTGCTACTGTCCAACAAACAAGTTAACAAAACGTTCCAGATTGAAATAAAGTCCAGTTTGTATCTCAAAATACCATGGGAGGCAAATTCGACGAACGCGCTCGGTTTTTCCTGTTGGGATTTTTCTCCCCCCTTGGCGGTGGAGTTGGGAGGGAGCAGGATCGGGAACAACAACAAAAAAAATACATGGATGCCTACCAGAGATAATTCAAGACCAAAGTGATCTGAAGAAGGGCCCCAACGGCCGCGAGAAGAATGATCTGGCAAAGATGCCCAGACGGGTGTGGGACGGTGGTGCCTATCCGACTCGCTTTTTGTACGATGCGCGGGGAGGAGGAAGGGGATGGGCTCGTAGACGCCTCAAAGGATAGCTGAGGCTGAGCAAGAGACCGGAAACTAATCGGTTCGATGAAAGAAGCCGGGAAATGTCGAGATGGGAGATGGCAGACGGTAGTGGTAGAGGCAGAGGCAGAAGCGAAAGCGAAAGGGAAGAATTTGGACGGGAAAGGGAGGAACTTCTCAATCAAGGGAGAAAGTTGAAAGAGAAGATAGAGAGAGAAAGAGAACAGAGAACAGGGACAAAAGACAAGAGAAAGGCCTGTCGAGAGTTGTGAAGGAGAGAATCTTTTTGCAAAGCGGGAACTTCCATTTGTGTTTGCGCTTGTTTGGTCGGTTATATATAGACCTTGTTCCTACACTTGATCTACTCGATTTATTGCCCTATGCATTTCTCCACGCTTTGACAGTTTGTATGCAAAATCTGTTGCATGACTTCTGGCGTTCTGCGAGGTCGAGACTGCGCGCCGCGACGCCAAATGGGGTCCAAGCACGTAGAGGCTGATAAAGTCTCGACATAGTGAACATGGGTCTATAATGGCATTGTATCTTCGAGTATGCATTCCGATATATGTACGTCATTCTAGGGATACGCTTCAATCCTACGGAGTATAGGTAAGTGTTCTCACGGTGATATTATTCAAACTGATCGTACCTTGTGCCTCATGCTGACTGTCCATATAGATGTCATGGCTCATGCACAGGTAATCGATCGAAAGAACTAGAGAAAAACCGCAGAGAAGGATGAACAAGAGGGGAATTAAGACATCAAAGATCCACCAACGCCAACGTGCCCAGAAAACAAGAATCATACAATACACGCTCTAACCGAAAACAAAATGTCTTTCACTGTGCCCTCCATGAATCAAGACGACCAGAAAAGGTCACCAGTGCATGCGTTCTGAAAGTAGGAGAGGAATGGACAGAAACAGTGCGAAATCAAAGGCCGTAAATAAATCATACATCCAACCCACCATGGCTCGTTAGTCATCGAACGCCGAAAGCAATGCATAGAATAGTTAGCTGCCTGTAACAGGCGACAAATATGTTGGTCAAATGGTCCCAAGGGACTTGATGGATGGGTCATTCCCATATAGAAGAGAAGAATCCGCCAGGCAGATTATGGTCCCACGGGGGAGAGGCGGAGATACTCAGGGGGTATGAGTGGGAGGGCCCCGGGCGTATGGAGAGATGCAAATCGCAAAATGCTTTTTATCCGCTCAGTGCATGGCTTCCGCTGAGGATCGCCTGGGTGTTTGAGCGGGTGAGTGGCGGAGTGGAAAGATGAGCGGAATGATCCAACCCTACTCCTGAGATGTGAGCAAAGTCCTTGTGAGAATTATTCCAGTCGTTCTCGCCGAGCACAGTAAGCCAATTATGCCCCACGTCATGTCGAAGAACTTCCAAGTGCTGACGACAGAACTCTTCATCCATAGTCCTTTCTTTGCCTTGTGCAGAGTGTACAAGAGCAGGGTTCGGGGAGTGCATAGGCTTGACAGGACTTTGGATGCTCGATGATCCGGATTGTGGTCCGCTGTCGAGCCTCCACGGCTGTTCAACGGGGACGACAATCGAATGATCGACCGGCGCTTGGATATGTTGAATGGGAAGGACAGGAAGAGCGGTACTTCCCGAGTTTCCCAGTCCATCAGTGGTGAATGGATTGTCCACTGAGTGGTCAACTATCCTGCGTCGCTGAGTCTTCTTTCGGCGGTTGGTTGCTCCATCAATCTCTTTCTGTGCCCCGTTCACACGCGAGTCTCCCTCGTCTTGTACCGGCTTGGAGACTGCAGTTTCTGGGGTTATGATAGTAACAGTAGACTTTTGCACGACCGTTGATTCATCAGCGGGTACAGGCCGCACAATGGGCGCACCTTGGGGCTC